AGCCTCACCACTGGAGCTGTCTGATTGACTCAGCTCCTACACACACCTTACAACGCCGCGCGCGCAGATAAGTGTGAATTACAGTGTTGTTTCACACCTCAAAAAGGTTCATTTGGACGCCTTTAACGTCTGCACACATGTGACAGGAAGCAAACAGCCTTGTGTCACCGCGTGCTCGATAAGGAATCATGCAAAACGTGGGCTGAAAGCGCATGAAACCAAACAAGCAGTCTGTTTTGGGTTTTTTTTTTCATTATTATTATTATTCCTCCCATTAACTGGGGGATTATTCGGAGATCAGACGGGACAGGGCCGGACATTTAGTTGACGTTAAGTCTTTTACAAGAATCTGCCACAATCTTCTCCTTTCACTGTTCCCACCTTCTACACCCCCCTCTTCCCTCCCTCCCTCCCTCCTCTCTTGCCTTCGTCTTTCCAGCTTTCTCCCGTTCTGTCTTCATTTCTCCTCCGTTTCCCCTCCTCTCTTCTTCTGTCTCCGCGCTCCTCCCTGAGTGACAGTTCAATGCACAGCTCTCTCAGGCTTATCTAGCCCCAGCAGATGGTTGACTTGGATCACTGTTCGTACGCCACGATCTGGGCTGGCGATAAAGACTGCTACGGAGGGAAATGTACGCTATCTGTCCCTCGCTGGCGCTTTCTTTCCTTTGACTTCTCCTCTCTTCGCCTCCTCCTGATTGTCTCTCCTGATTCAGCACTCTTCCCGCTCCGGCCCGTAGACCTTTCCCGCCTCAATATCACTCCTCACCTCGACACATCCCTCCATCCCTGTGCATTGAATCTGGTGCTGGGTGATTGTCTCTGGTTCCCCGCTGGGCTGGCGCCTGTCTAAAGGGCCCTAGGATTCTCAACCACCGAGGGGGCGCCAGCCATGCCAGAGGGCCCTCCTCTCCTTCCCCTCTCCTCCGCTCTGATATCTCATCTCATCTGGTCCCTCGTCATCTCTGCGGGACAGATTAAAAGGTCAAGCCGTACCTCTTCCCCGTCTATGCATCGCAGACACATTTGAGAGGAAGAACAAACAGTCCTCAAAGTGAAGCAGCATTTCAGTTCTGTGATCGCCGCACTCGTGCAACTGATGTACACTTCACAGGCAGCCTCCGCTCGTTTTATGTACACTTCACTGGCTTGGATTGCTCACATGTAGGCTTTTTTCTTTCTTTCTTTCTTTCTTCCTCTTTCTGCAGGAGCCAGGGAACAAAGGAGAGAAGAAGCGTTTTAGCTGCCACTGGAAGATGAAGACGGGCGCTGGGAGTGATTCGAACAAGGGAACACCTTGCGTGGTGACGGGGAAGTGGAACAAAACGTTCCATGGATCCAATCTGTGATGTGGGAGGGAAGGGCGTGAAAGTCAGCTTGAGTCGGGACGACTGTGATTACGGCTCGTTCTGAGAAGTGAGAAGAAAGACCGTCGAAGTTTGTCTTGCGATAAGAACGACCATGTCAGCGCGGATGCTCCTCTGCCTTTGGCTCGTGTAAAAGTGTTCATGCGCCTTCAACTTTTTATACTTTGAAATGTCATTTCAAAGTCCCTGTTTTGTTTGGTTGTTAAGAGAGCCGAAACAGTCGCGCGATGAAACGATTATTGAAATAATCGTCAACTGATTTAGCAATCGACTAATCGCTAACTGGAGTATGCTAACTAGAGACCATACTTCGCAGTAGCTAAGCCAATCCTAACAACCCCAACAATGTATGGCCTAGTCAAAGTGATGACCTAAATCCAATTGAGACTTAAAAAGTGATGAGCATGGAGATTCCCTATCCAATCTGCAACGTAGCAGAAGTTCAGTCTTTAGATGTCCTTAAAAAAAACTACCAAAGACGGTTACTTAAAAATTTCGACTCAGGAGAGACTGATGTAAATTTATGCCATATTGTCCTGAATTTTATTTACAGTAAGCTAATACTTTATGTTACTCCATTGCATAAAATCCCAATAAAATACACACACGTCTGAGACAAAATGGGGGAAAGTTCAAGTATACTTTCATAGGCCATTGTGTTTTTCCGATGCCCCAGATAATCCGCAGCCATCTTGATCTGAACTGTGGAACCTGGCAGCCACTCAGAAGCACCTGCATCCGTCCAGCCTGACCCGCTTTTGTTCCGGTGTGACCCCGCCCCCACAACTTTGTCCCTAATTAACCCAACAGAAACTAATTAAACACAGCTATGGCCGACCAGACGCCTGAGTGAGAGCAAGAAACCGGACAGGCATCGCAAGCAGAGGAAGGAGGTTGAAACCCCAAAAACCTGAGAGGCAAAAACGAGATCGGAGTGTTAGTCCTGTGGCGCCTCGCTGACCTCATGCCCCTTCACTGCCTTTTTGGTTTTTTCCAAGGTATTTTGGGTCCTCGTTCGCATGCAAACACGTCTGCCAAAAAGCTGTAATCACAAGCACACCAGTCACATGATGCAACCGACACCCCGGAGATATTTGGAAAACGGTAGAGGCGGTATGGAAACGGCGGCGAAACAGAGACAGAACGATGCATAATGAAAGCGGGGGGGGAAGCGGGAGGAGCGGGTACAGTGGTGGGGGGTAAGAAGAGGCAAAGGACGGGCATGTGAGAAAGAAGATAGGCCTCAATAAATATAGGCTCAAAGCAGCCAAATGACTCTGGCAAGACACTTTCTGCTCTTAGTCCCAAGCAAGCGCAGCTCTCTAAGTGATAGAGAAAGTAATTAAGAGAAGCCTGCTCAAGTAGATAGGCCTGCAAAGAAGATTTGAAGGGGAACTGATTGTGCATGTCTGATTCCAGCTCTTCAGTTAGTTTTCAGCCCCCAGGCTTAGCCCGTTTACAGAGCCGCCGCTCTCCGATTCTGTCGCTTCGCCTCTGTCTTTGTGGTAATTCTTTAGAACCACTATGTTGCTTTTATTTTCTCAAAATGTCCCATGGTAGATACGCAAGAACATGTCAGGAGCGGTTGAGAAATATTTCAATCTAGACTGTTTTTGTTTTTGTTTTTTTTGTCCCTTATTTGTAGACATGAGCGTGAGGCTGAAAAGTTCTTGCAATGTCTTTACCAAATTAAAGCAAACCAAAGCAAACCACCTTCAGGTACCTGGAACCACCCGAGGAAAAGTGGAGCAACATTGCCACCCATGGACAAACACAGCTACACTGCAAAACAAGGAATAAAACCTGATGAATTGGACTGTTAAAACCAGGGAGATCTTCCTTGATGAATCCAACAACACCAAACGTTGCACTTTTCAGTTTCCGTGCCTTAGAAAAGCCACAGTTTATACCCAAAGTGCAACGAGTGAAAAGTTTAAGGATAAATATTTGGTCATGCTTCAAGAAGCATTGCACTGTAAGAGGAGTACTGGACATCTAGTTCACAAGATTTGTCGGAATTTTAAAATTTTTAAGAATTGAAATTATGCATCATCCGTGGCATGGATTTGTATTCCAGAAGCCTTTGCTGCAAATGTAGCAGCCGTCTTTGCCCTTTTAGTCTTTTTAAAGTCTTTCATCTTTCCACAAACATCGCCCGACTTGTCTCTCCAGATAGAAATAAAAAGCATTTCCACCAGCATGATGCTCCCACTTCTATGTTCCAGCTTCAGTGCATCATACCGGATAAAGTTTTCAGCAGGCCAAAAAGTTACTCTCTTCCTTATCTGCACTGTCCTCTGCATGAAGCTACAACAAATGGTAGTTCTGACATCTTTCATTCAGCATTGGCTTTTCCTCTAAAAATGTAATATCTCAGATTCAAAAATACTTTACTTATCCAAGAATAATAATAATAATAATAATAATAATAATAATAATAAGAGCATTTCCACAGTTACTATTACGGTTCTTTTTGCTGCTTCTCTAAATAATTATCTCTTTGTCCTTGTTTATGTGTAAAAACATTTCTTAAATAAATCCATTTTTGCTCCACATGATAATTATGCTCTACTCCGTTCGCATAAAATCCAAACAAACTGCATTAGTATTTTGTGATAGAATACAAAAGAGGTTGAGAGGTATGACAGTGCAGGAGGATCTTTCTGTGTATATTCTTTTGCTATTGGCTATGACAAGAACAAAAAGCAGGGTTGTAAGCATTTCAGTTTCTCTCCTTGCCAAGACTGTGGTCTCTGTCCTCCGCAAAATGCTGGTGAAATCAGATGCTTATTGTATATCTTTATTATTTATTAGTATTATTATTTTTTTTTTACCTTAATCTGTAAAGTTGTTGATTTAAAAGCCTTCATACTGTTTCAGATACAGCACACATAACGGTAAATTAAACTTTAAACAGGGAATTATTTGTGTCAAGCAAATCTACTGGTGCCATCTGCTGGAGAAACTGGGATATTGTAGTAATGAGACTTACAGTGTCAACTTTTCGCCCTCTTGTGGTGAAGAGAGGGATAGCAAGAGCTGCACTGATTTTTAATCCTCTGGAAAAATATATATATATTTTAATATTTATTCTTTACGAGGACCAAAAGTCATGAAACCATTTATTTTACTTATTTTACAAGGTTTAGGCATACATTTTTTTAAGTTAAAAGAGTTCAATTCTGATTAAGCTTAAAAATGAACAATAGCACGTTGGAGAAACTTCTGTTCTATTTCTGTTCTATGAAGGCACTGGTGTTTGAGTAAATATTGTTTTTTTCTGTTTTTTATGACAAAATGTCTTCTTTGCACAAGAAAATGTATTCAAAAACAAGCTTAAATTGCGCTTCTCTTCAACAGAGTTAATGATAGTGGATCATATCAATCACTGAAAATTTTAATTTTGTAGAAATTCGACAGAGTTTGTATCCAAAAGGAGTTTTATTCTTTATCTATGGAAACACAGGGCAAAAAAGAAAAAAAAACATTTAAATATCTCAAATCTTACATGTTGTGTATAAAATATATATCTTTTCTCCAGTCGAAAGAAGTATTGTTTTAATTAAGTCATAAAAACTACAACACCCACAGGTTACGCAACTGCCGTAAAACGACTTCTTCTGTTGCGATGGCGTTTGCGGCAGCAGGGAAATCGAGGAGAGAGCAGTGACAAACGTCGCCAACGGTCACGTTATCTCCTCAGAATCGCTCGGATTTCTTACAATATTCGGCTCGCTGGTTCAGATATTGGTTGTGTAATTATTCGCTTTGTGGATGAGATTGTGTTGGACGTTTCCAAAGCGCGTCTCTCCACTTTAATGCGGTGGGATGGCCACAGTGCCGCCTGGGCCTAGTAACGCACTGCCTACATCCCCGGTTGAAGTTGCTCCTTTCTCCGGGGCAGGGAGAGCGGAGCCGGCGGTGGAAGCCGGAGAGGCGACCTACCGCGTGGAGGTCAGCGTGTCCGCCGGCACGGGCAAGAAGTCGCAGCCGGCGAACGAGGTCAAAGGGTCGGCCAAGAAGAAGCATAAAAACATGCTAGCCCGGGCTAGCCCGGCGGCGCTCCACTTGAAAATGCAAGCCGGAGAGCAGCAGCAGCTAAACGGCTTGGTCAGCCCCTCGGAGGACCCTGACGAGCACCAGCACGCGGGGGGGCGAGCCGACAATCTCAAACCGTCCGAGGACAACTGTGACAGCGAGGCTGCGGCCGCCATGAACAGTACGGAGCACTGTCAGCACGAAGGCCACAACCCCTTCTCCAAAAACGGCAACCACTCTCCTGTGACTAACAGTAGCGTGAACGGGATGCCGGCTTTCACGAGGACCGAGGCGGTCTACGACGGCGAGGACCGGCGTGACCACGCGCAGCCCACAAGAGAAGCGGGCGTCAGCGACGGGCCCGGTGGGGAGGAGAGTCCGGTCGAGCCGCCGGCCGAGGAGCTGGCCCGGCTGGACCTGAGCGGCTCTCCCGGCAGGGCGGAGGGAGACAGCCACAGTATCCGCTATGTTCGCTACGAGTCCGAGCTCCAGATGCCGTGGATCATGAGACTAATCACCAAGGACTTGTCTGAGCCTTATTCGATTTACACCTACAGGTACTTCATCCATAACTGGCCGCAGCTCTGCTTCCTGGTGAGTACGACCCTGAAACCTTCCACTGAGACGTTGTCCTCAACTCACAAATGTCTTGCCGTCCTGTGCCACCTGTCAGCGTTTATACAGCAACTTATCATATCAAAGGGGTCATCAAGGTATGATAACTGTGACTAAAAATACCACAGTTTCACTGTATCAAATAGTAATAGAATTCAAGTGAAACAGCACAGCATTGATCAGCCGACACTGCAAAATCCAATTTTTATTTTGTTCTTTTTTTAAGATAAGCACATCAACCACCAGCATTTGATTCATTTATTTGTTTAGTTGAGTAAAGCGTATGTATAGTTTGGTGAAAAGAGTACCTCTGTCTATCTATATGCATCAAGGAGGAATGTAGTTGTAGTTTGTTTGTCCTCTGTTAGGACTACATACTATACAGTCAACATTATTAAAATGGGGGCTCTAAGTGTTGTAAAGGCCGTTGCGGAGGTGGATATTTGCCGTCTATTACATTCTAATTACGAGTAGCGTGAAAGTTTGCATGTCAATATTTTTTGTCTCAAAACTGGAGCCAAAAAACACGCACACAAAAAAACATCTGAGTATTTTTAAGATTCATGATAACGCCTTTCCTCGTTTGTTATTGGTCTTTAAAAAAAAAAATCTCACAGTCATAAAATGCGGTTTGAGAAAAATAAAAATCGGTAACAACCGATATCCACCAAGTGGAGATCGGTGCACCTCTACCTGGCAAATAAATGGCGTCTAGATTTAGTAGTGATTTTTGACGTGCTTGATGTTGGTTTTAGCCTCCTGCTTTCCTATTCTGCTCCTTGTGGAGTTAACACCTGGACAGCTGCCGATATTAGTCAGACTTTCTGATGGGACGCAGCTGCTCCAGTCATTTTCTGCGGGACAGTTTGAGTCTGCTGGTGGCCGTCGAGGTCCACCGAGGGGTCGCACCGGACCGTCCATTAAACGCTGGACAGACGTGCCGGAAGCCGCTTGCTGGCCGTAGTTCTAAAGCTACACTTCATTCAGATTGATGGGTGGTGCTCTTTTAGTTCCTCCACCGCGATAGTAGAGTTATGTCTCCTCACAAGTTTCTTGTTCATTCACACGAATGAAAACGTCCAATTTCAGTCGGCTAACTCGCAATAAGGAAGCAGACATCTTTATTAGCAGCTGAACATCCCGTATATGGTTCCTCAGAAGTGCCGTCTGACTCTTAAGTTCTGAACGTTTCACTCGGAAAGGGTCAGAACCGCCACATGAGCTGCTGGAGGAGGCACGATGATGAAATGAAAGTCAGCAGGTGTCTCGGCTGAGCCTGTGGATCTGACCGGACGGCTGATCCGCTGGCGTCACCGCCTCTGACCCCGGCTGACGCTCGGAGGAGCAGAGTGCTGACTTTGTGCCTCTGTTGCAGGCCATGGTGGAGCAGGAGTGCGTCGGGGCCATCGTTTGTAAGCTGGACATGCATAAGAAGATGTTCCGTCGCGGCTACATCGCCATGCTGGCCGTGGACTCAAAACACAGAAGGAAAAGTATTGGTAAGTGGCTTGAAACGCAAAAAAAAAAAAAAAACGTCTGGTAAACTTTAATCACTGCTTTTGTATTGTTTGGTTGATCTTCCTTGTTGGCTCTCTCGTTTTGTCTAAAGGTACTAATTTGGTGAAAAAGGCCATCTATGCCATGGTGGAGGGGGACTGTGACGAGGTAACACCAGTCGATCTCTCTTTTAGTTTTGAGTCCAAATTTTAAATAAATCTGAGGGCAAAAAAAACAAAACAATTTTGATTGAATCCTCAAGCACATTCATTGTATTTGTGCAGAGCTGAGAAAATGGAAAATATGCTTTTTCTAATATTTGGTGAGAAATGTATTAGTATTTAAAAATATAAGTTCCTACTGGAGTCTGTTTCTACAGCTCTGTTAAATACATTTGTTGTGAAAGCACAAAACAATCTTAACTGCTTTCATAAACTGTGCAAATAATTTTCGAAGTAAGAAATGTAATGCATTCTTGAAAAATCGTTTTTTATTTAATATCAACAGGACTCTGTTAGGCTCTTTTTACTCCTTCATTAGGTTGAACGTGCTCATTCTCCAGAGCTGTATTAATGCTTTCGTTCTCCCTTTATCGAGCTTCATTCAATCAACTTTGCACTCCCACAGCATGATTCTGCCACCACCGTGCTTCACTGTTGGGACGGCGTGCAGAGGGCATTCATTTACGCTGGTCTGTGCTACTAGCTAGCTGAGTTTCTAGTACAAATGTGCGCAAATCTTTGCCGATATTCTGCTGATGTTTCTATTAAGTGAAATATTCCATTAAAATCACGCATGAATAAGCTTGTTCACGCGATAAGTTAAGAATAATGGCAGTCAGTAGTCATTTCTGTGATGTGGGGGGGGAAAAAAGAAAAAGTGTTTCCGGTACAGTTTTGCAACATCCATCAGTTTTGACCGGCAGAAATTTTCGATCAGGAAACACAAGTCTTTTCAAAATTGCTTTGTTTCCATTAAGCAAAATTTATGTTCATAATTTCAATTTGCTCAGATTGAAACTTCATCTGATCATTCTAAGAATGTGGTGCGAATATTCCAAAATGCTAAAAAGTCAACGCAGTACGGCGGCGCACGCCGTGCTGTACTTGTGAAAATTCAATTCCACTTTTACCTTCGAGAGCCTCCGCTCACTAAGCCGTCCTCTGTGTACCCCGCAGGTCGTCCTGGAGACGGAGATCACCAATAAGTCGGCCCTGAAGCTGTATGAGAACTTGGGTTTTGTCAGAGACAAGCGGCTGTTCAGATATTACCTGAACGGGGTGGACGCGCTGCGGCTCAAACTGTGGCTCCGCTAGAGGGGGTGTGGGGCGGCAGCTCACCTCTAACACTAGGAGCTCAACCATCTGAGCTCTGCCCTTGGTCATTACACACACACACACACACAAACAACCCCCGTGTTGAAATGCGAGGAGTCGGCATCGACATAGACACACCTTCCTTTCCTCCTCGACGTCCGAACAACTATCGCTTAGGCGGAGAGAGACTGAAACGCCAACAGACGTGTTTTATTTTTTACAAAGAGGGGCGGCCTCTTCTCCTCCTTTGCCCCCGACCCCCCACTGCTCCCCTGCACTGTGACATGACAGGATCCACGAGGACAAGCGGCACCACACCAAATCATCCTGCAGAACACTGGACCAAACAGACCTGCAGGAAATGACACGCAGGAAAGCAGGAAGCGGCAACTGGGAGGAAAATATTTGTGAAGTTTTTTTTGTTTGTTTCGCTTTTTTTTTTGTTTGTTTGTTTTAAGCTTTTGTTTGGTTGGGAGGGTTAAAGATCTAGTCTGACTCATGTGTTTGTACTGCCACATGATCTTCTTTTTTGGGTGTGTGTGTGTAATTTTTGGTTGTATGTGCTGCTGTTGGTTTCACTGAGATTTAAGCGAACGTTTTCTGGGTGACTGCTTGGATGCGTAGCGTATGGTTCAGTTTGTTTCTGGTTCTGTCCACTGGGTGCGGCGTCCTCACCCCCCCCCCCCCCTTCTGCTGTCTCTCCCATCACCTTGACCAGAGCCTGTAAACACATGCTTGTTTTAACGTGAGAGAAAAAAACAGAGCTCCTTTTTATTTTATTTTATTTCATTTGTTTGGTCCGGAGCAGTTGTTCAATCCAAATCAATCCACAATCACCTCAAACTTTTTGCCCAACTGCTTGTTTTTTTGTTTTGTTTTTTTCACTTTAATGTCTTTCATGATATCCAACCCTTTCAGGGTTATCTTAGGGAGTATTAATTTCTGGGTTTTTTTTTTTCTCTCTCTCTCTCTTCAGTACACTGCCAGCCTCTGCAAAACGCCCCCAAAAGAGACTTATTGCCAAGGATGGTGTGGTCATACATGTCCAAGCTGTCTCTGTTTACTAATTGACATGAGCAGTCCCATTCTCAAGTGCCACTCTATCCATTAGGACCGACTGGAGTTGTTCCCTATGCTGGATTCCTGTTTGAGTATGCTGTGTGTATTTAAACTGTTGATAAAAAGAAGAAAAATAGACAAGTATTCTTAGCAGGCAACATTTTTATTCCTTTTGTTTAAGCTCAGTTTGTTCAGGATTTGTCCACAGTACGCGTCAAAAAGCAGCGGGGTCCACAATACTCAACCAACAGAGAGCTCACACTGACTGGCAAAGGAATACCGCTCCGGCTGCTTTGGGGTCAAACACAAAAAGTCAAACGAACAAGGTCAGATGCACTTCTTTTAAAATTGCCACAGCGTGGACGACTAAAGGAGAGCGCGTGTTCTGCGGCTTTAACAGCAGCGTGGGTCGGTTCTGTTCAGATTTTCTGCGCGGCCAAGTCGTCTTGCGGCGCGCGCTTCGCCTCGACTTCCGTGGTTTAGTCGACAGTATTCAAAGCGCCGCGGGATGCTGGCGTGCGGCACCAGTGGAAATGTTTTACCCGTCATCAACTAGTAGGCATGGGCTGGTTTCACGTTTTTCAAGCGACACGGCGCCGAATTAAACCACCTAAATGTTTCTAAATGTTCCCAATTTAGACGCAACGCCAAGAGTCCGTCGGCGCTGTCGCCTCTCCTGCTCTTTCTGCTGTTGAAAGCCGACAACATTTTACAAGAAAGACATTTGTCTCCTTGGAAATATTTCTTACCACAAAGAAAGTATTGGTTGGGAAGGTAGAAATGCACCACCCGTATCTAGTTAAGTTCCTGGTGTTTGCTAGCTCCTAGCTATCCAGTATGTCATATAAAACCTAGCAGAATTGGCCGTTTATCAGCTCTGTCTGGCAGTTTTTATTGCATTAAATTAACGATAGAGTTGTACAACAGTTTTCTTTTTTCAGAAGCAACGAACTCAGCTCGGAATCTTCCAACTTCCCACGGTATTTGAAGGCACCACCTAATGGCGCCTTGTTGCACTTGTGTTGCAGAACAGCCAAATATACCCAGTGCAGCAGGAGCACCTGGAAACTACTACTAAATTTAGTAGATGTTTATTTTAAAATGCCCGGCTAATTCTACTTATTCAATTGGCCCTAATTTCTGTAAAATGATACAAACGTCATTACGAGTAATAACTTTTCAACTTTTAGCAGGTGTGGGGTCAAAGGTAATCAGAACATGTACGTTTTTGTTTTTAATTGGCTCATTAATACAGAGAAGTGTTTATTAAACGTTCGGTGGGACTCGGCCCGGCCCATGCCTACTAGCAGAACACGTATGTGATCACTTGAAGCCGTCATGGCTGAAAGCCTCTTTCAGATTTACACTACATGCATTTGTTGGCGTTTCAGGTTTGTTGTAGATGAGCCTAAGAACAGAGCTGCCACCCTGTCTGAGTTTGTGTCTGTGTATTTGAAGCCACTGATCGAATTACCTATTTTTCTTTATTCAGATTTGTATAACGGTGTTTTTTTGTTTGTTTGGGGGTTTTTTTATCATGTGTGAGGTTGGGGCTGAGTTATTTGACAAGATTTTTTTTTTTTTTTTTTAATTTCTGTGCTACTTAACCCATTCAGAGGTGCAGTGAGAATGATGAGCAAACAAAAAAAAATAACCTCGACCCCCAGAAGCAAAGTGGTCCTGCCTGTCTGACATCCCTCTCTAGAGCTCCAAGTTTATTCTGAAGGTTGACCTTTCCTCAGCCTTTCCCACCGGTTGGTGTTTTGTGGCGAGTATCGGTCACTTCCTGGAATTTCAAGGGCATTACAGCCTCCATTCAGGCCATAATCACAGACTGAAGGGCTTTGTCATCATCAGTTCATAGCCACTGACTGGCGTTGCATTCGTTTCATAAAGCGTCAGCCGGACAAAGTTAGGCGTCCGGCTGACGCCCAAAGGTTCCGACTATAAATTCCCAGCTAAAAGAGGAAAAAAAAAAAAAAAACACACCTCTCAGATTATTGTTGGCACAGAGACAGAGGTTCCTGCAAGTCTTTCAGAGCTGGACACACCACCTCCAACGAGAGACCCACACGGCAGGAAGAAAGGGGGAGAGGAAGTCGTTTATTTTTGCATGTCTGTTCCCCTTCCCCACACACACACACACACACACACACACGCTGCTCCTCTCCCCCTCATCTCCCCTCTCTCCTTCATTTTCAATCTGGAAATGTCCAATAGCTTTTATTTAATGTGGAAAAAGAACACAGAAATAAATTATTTGATTTCTTTTTTTAATGCTGTAAAACTGAATTGTCTTGTCTGATGTCTGACATGACACACATACACGCTTATCCACACACTCGGGGCCATTTCAGTCTTTAAATGAGTGTCATAATTTGGGTCATTTTTAAATTGCATTTGAGCTTCATCAATGATTTTATTTTTAAATACAAGTACACAAGTTTTTATTTATGGCAGAGTTATTCAAGTCTATACAGACTACCCTGGTAATATTTGGATTAGTACGCTTTATTAAGTTCCCACCAACAATCGTTTGGTTACTTCTGGTGGTTATTTCATGTCTCATGAGAAGTAGCACAGCTTACCTATCAAATATTTAGTAGCGTTGAGTTGAGAACTGCAGGGGAATCACTCCACAAGCTTTTGAAACCAGTCCGAACTTATGTTTGGAGCAAACAACTGCGTGAAAGTCGGTACAGAAATCGAACATTTGGAAGGAATCGAGATGCTTTGTTTCTTTTTAAAGCCTTACGAAAACACGGCCATGCATGGAGGTGGTAGCGTTATGCTGAGGGTGTGTGTTCCTGCTACTAATATTGGAACTTGTACATAATTGGCTCTTTACATTGGCTCTTTACATTTCAACAAAACAATGATTTCAAACACGCAATACTCATTTAACATGACATGAAGTCATAAACGCTCTGGGGGTGACGGGGATTTGGTGGGAATGCTTCAATAAAGGCCCGTCTCCGAGACTGGAACAGATTTGATTTTAGTTTTTATTGATACAGCACAATAAAATCCTATTTGCTTTGAACGTCACATCTAAAACATTTCTTTAAAAGGCGGCAACAAATTGCAGAATCAAATATTTTTTTGGGATTAAAAATTGTTCTGGTCAATAAACAAGCAAACAAAAAGAGACGTCAACAAGAAATTTTTATATTTACAGACCGCGAACATTTTACATTGCGCTCACATTAAAACAGAAATATATAAACAAGCAGGTCACACTGATGAAAGGTTTTGACTAGACCTTATTGGTTATTGCTCATAATCATCCCACATCTTTGATCCCAGCTCACAATTCTGCTTTTTAAAAGCAGGTGAAGCAAAAGAAAACAAAAAAAAAATTGAATCTACAGAGATTTGGAAAGATCCAAACTTTTATTGTCACTCTCCCTCGGTGCGCCACGCAGGTCAAAGATGAGAAAACAGTCCAGCAGAGATGAGTTCACATACGAGTTATTTTGTACATCAGAGTATTTTATGCCATATGTTGTAAATAGGATGGCGATGTTCGACATGTGCTTTGTTCCAGCAACTTATGTCAAAAGAATTTGATATAAATTTCCTTTGAAACATCATTTAAAACTGGACATCTTTTCTTTAACATAGATCACATAACTACAATACACAGCAGATGTCGTCACTGGAAATGACACAGAAATTAAATTCCAATTCCGATAACTAAATCTTTTAACTAAATCTCCTTAACATGAATAAAAAGCAAACAAAAGGCTTTGTTTGTTTTTGTTTTCTGTAGGTCCAATATTTTGTTTCTATAAATAATAATGTAACAATAAGCTCATTTCATAATGAGGTGAAATTAGCTTTTTTACCTCTTGAAAGAGTTAAAAACAACGATGTTGAAATTGGTTCAATTTAAAGCTTTTTACAGCCACCAGGCCGTCACCACTGACCAAAAGTTTGATCCTCACAAAGCAGCAAATACTTATTTTTACAGAGCAGTGCGGTTTCTTGCAAAAATATTCACACCCATTGATCTTTTCCACAGTTCAAAGGTCGTTGTGTTCTACTGGGCCGATAGAGCGACACACAGCAGTCAATAATCATTACAGTGATTATAGTGGGCTGAACACATATGTGCACACTTTTCTTTCTTTCTTTTTTTTTAAATAAGTTTATTTGTTTAAAAAAAAGTACACGATTCAAATCTGCAGGGACGTTTGCAGCAGAAACATGACAAAGTGTGAAAAAGTACATGAATGAATATTTTTGCAAGGCACTGCGTGTGTAAACGTTAGTGTGGATATGATACCGACACCAAATTGATCTTAATAAGGGTTTCATATTTTGGGAAATAGCTTTCTAGTGTTTTTTTATTATTATTATTATTTCTACAACGGCTCAATTGAATGTGACACCATTCCTAAAGTGTCCAGTTGAGCTATTTACACTCAGCTTATGTTCTTACTTCTTTCATTGACACACATGTAAAACCAAGCTTGCCATAAACAATGAAAACCGATTAAAGTAGCTCCTCTCATAAATCCCAAAACGATAGGATTAAAGCAGCAGTGAAAAAAAAATAATTATTGGATTTTTTTTTTTTTCCCGCGACTGCTTCGGTTCTCAGCTGCTAAACATCCGGGGCTTTTGGAGGCCTCCTGATGTTTCCAGCGTCCAAAGCCCCACGGGTCACTGCCGAGGCCTTCCTCGCGTGAACTCTGCTTCGGCGTCTCAAGGCTCCCACGCCAGGGTTATCTCTGCAAGCTGGACGGCCTCCGTTCTTCTCAGCCAGGCAAACAAAAGTTCTCAAAAGGCTTTATCGGGACAAACGGGGAGAGTGTTTGCTCGTCGCTGCTGAGCAGATGCTTTAGACACGAGACTGTTTGCGTAAACCCTGTCAGGGAAAACGCTGTCGCAAGTGAAAAAGTCTGGAGGTAAACATTTCTGCACCGTGTGCAGAAATGCTTAGATCGGGGGTTTTCTCAGAGAAAACAATAAATAGGAACATGCAGAAGTTATAAAAAAAAAAAAATAAGTTTAACACTGAGGGAAAGTCGTAAATGATTCTGAACTAAGTATGCAAAACAGGATGTTTTCAAAGTCTCCATTTTTGCTGTTTCTTTGTATTTTATTGATAGCTGACAGAAATGTTCTATGAATAGTTCTTACTGCTAATAAATGATGAGTCTGAATAACTTTGGGCTGGACTGTGAAAGACTGTTGGGTTTATTCTCCAAGCCTACAATCATGATGGAAAGAAGGTCAGCTCTCTTTCACAACCGGGACTTTATCTGCAACATTAGAAACGATCTAAAGTGTTTGCAACCCCCACTGAAATGTACTTTTTTTTCTTCTTCTTCTTCTTTTTAAGCAAAATAGATGTGTTCTGTAATAAGCAAAGCCAAAATTAGTAATTCTTTTCAGTAATGGATGCATATTTTTAAAACATTCAACCCCTTCATGACAAGCATCTTTAGCAGCATTTTGCTTTTATGGTCTGTTCCAAACATAACTTACAGCCAGACGCCAACTTAGATACTTTAGTATCTGCAGCTACCAAACATAACAATTCAGACAGTAACTAGACATCATATAGGGCAGGCGTCCATCCAGGTGAGACTCTGCAATGCTCAGAGAATTTTCGTCCCTGGCGTAGGACACTCTTGTCCTCAGAGTGCTAATGTGGTTCGCAGCCAGCTCAGTGCGAGTCATGGACAGAAAATATGTTTATTCAGTGGGACTTTCATGCTGAAAATGAAATAAGTTAAATATAACCCACCCAGCCAAACAGTCACAGTGAGCAATTGATGACCTACAACGACTCAATATTGACGTGTAAAACCAGCATGAATTTGGGTTTACAGAACCCAAATTCTGTAAATATAAGTTATTTTCCGGCAGATTCAGTCCAAGTTTGTTGTAGTTTTTTAACTAGAGTTGAAGTAGTGAATAGTTTGGTGGAATCGCCCTTTTAGCCATTTTGTAATAGGTCGTGTGAAGGCGAGATACGGTGGCTCTGTTTTAGCCTCGTCTTTGCTTAGAAAACCTGGGACAGAGTGGAAAACTGCTTAAATACCAAGAACTGAAAGTTTGCGCACCTTCTTTCTACAATGATTGTATGTAACGTGAGGATCTTTCACACACACACACACACACACACTCTTTACATTGCAAACAGTGTGTGTCCTTCTTCTTCTTCTTCTTCTGTGTGTATCAGATGAGCCGTGCCCAAACAGACGAGACTGATGGGGTTAATACTGACAGAGACATTTTCCAGAGCATCCGCTGATGATCGCTCACAAAAACAAGCCTGAATGCTCTCAGAATTCGTCCTCGGAGCTGTCAGCCAGCAGCATGGCCTGGTCCTGACAGCTGGTGCCAGGCTCCCAAGGTTGCTGGGCAGGAAGACGTAAACAAGTGTTAGATTAGTAAGAGCCGTTCAGGCAAAGACGAGAAACGGCTGGAACACCGACCTCCGGCTGCCTGGCCTTCCTCCTCTGGTGTTTGAAGCTGTTGCGTCTCTTGCGGTGGAGCATTCGGATGCTGTAGAGGGCGCCGACGATCAGCAGGGCCCCGGTGATGCCGATGCCCACGGGGGCCAACATCCCGGACACGTACCCGGCCTGGAGAGGAATAGAGACTTAAATACTTGCCCTTTCTTCAGAGTAAAATAACGTTCGGTCAGATTGAAAGGAGAGCTTGTGAACTTCAGTTTTCAAGCACAAGGGTGTCAAATCAAAAATCGGAATGTTCAATGTATTGATAAAACCATTAAACTGTTAAAAATATTAATAAACAGCTGTTTGTTTCAGCTTTAAATAAGTGTTCATTCAAATTAAATAATACCCAACATCTTTTCACACTGACCAATATTTTATTTTATTTTTTTTGCAATCAAATCACAAATTCATGGCTTTGTCGTGGGCCAGTCCCACTTGCCAAACAGCACCTCTCTTCTAATTTGGATGAACAAAGAATACAATAATGTGTGAGTTAACAAACTAATATTTTCATGCAATTTCAAATTAGGTGGTTTTGTTAAATGTTCTCATGCAATTTAATGTTTAATTTTTATACTTTGAACTGTACTGACTTAAATAATTGGTTATTAGGTGACATATGAAGACAGAAGGGGGCAGTCTTACCTTTTCTCTGATCAGCTCTGCCCAGCTGCGCACTACAATAAAAAAAAAAAAAGGAAGAAAATGATGTTTACACGATTATCACATCCAGTGGCTATTTATTTAATTTATTTTAGTTTTGAAAAGGTGTCATCGTGCGCTCGTACTCAGGCCTTGGTTGCGCTGGACCCAGACCGGCGGCGGAGGGATCAGGCTGTACGGTGGCTGCGTGGAGGACGTTTCTGGCGCCTCTGTCAGGTCTTCTTCACTGTCTTCTTCCACCGATTCCTCAGAGTTCTCGTTGTCTTCATCTTCATCCAGCTCCTCTGAAGAAAAAAAAAAAACAACAGCAACTGTAACAATTTTGTCAATAAAAAAAAGGAATAATTTTAGAAGTGAAGGTGACTTACCCTCAGACTCCATCTCCTCTATTCCCGTTCTGGTTTTGTGCAGCAGCCGGTGGCTCGCAATGGTTGTTATTGTGTCATGGTGGGATGTTCCTGCTTCAGAGTTTGTGGTCCTCACAGTTCCTGTATCAAAAATGGGCTTGGTAGACTTTGCTTGATGTTTGCGTTTAATGTCAGCTGCTCTTTTTCTGAATATCCAAGAAGATTTCACAAGAACTGCAATTTGCAGTTGACAAAAAAAGAAACAGCAGCTGTGACAGATCTAGAAATGTTCACGTGTTGGCCGGTGAGAGAAGGGAACGGCACAAGGTCCTCCTCGGTGAAGTAGGTGGGGAAAAAAACCCTTATGTACAAAAGTAGAGACAATAAAGTGCCCAAAACACAAGAAAAACTATTTATTGTACCACTATCACTTGAAAGCTTTAGCTACAAATGCTCTTTTCCTTTAGTTATTTCATCATTATTTGTTCTCTGTTTTCAAATTGTAGCCTAAAATACCAGAATTTACACACGTCTTCCTACTTTGCCATTCCAATGACATCGTTTCTACATATTAACTTAGGTTTTGTGATTGAACAAAAACTAAACCAAATCTTTCTAATATTTACTTTTTGACTCGAGTCAAAAAGTAAATATTTACTTTTTACTTTTTGACTCAAGTCAAAAAGTAAATGTCAACCCCCCACTTGATGACTTTGTGTTTTTGTGTTCGTAATGATGTAAAGCACTATGAGTCTTTAATTTGAAGGCTACCGGTGGCTTCTGGACTAAAAAAAGAGTTTTGATTTTTAAGAGTAATTTTTAAAGTCATAAAATTTGTTAGTCGGTGGTGGTGGGGGCTGGGAGGTGGCGAGGCTTTGCCCCCATGGCCTCCCTGTGGATACGCCCCTGGTCGACAGATACTACAAGCACATTCTTTCAGCAAAATGTCGTCCTCGTGTTTAGTACATAAAGTTATTGGTTTTGTCGACCTTCAGATTCATTCATCCCTCCTCACCTGTCCCTGGATGCTCTTCCTCCTGCTCGGTCTGGACCCGCCGCTGTGAGGCAGCGGTACCGGCGCCGACCGGCTCCAGCAGCTCCGAGCCAGACGCCTGCCAAGGTGAAGTCCATTCGGATAGAAGAGCCGGCGGCTCCCTGGACGGGCCGTCGGCGTCAGAGTTCACCAGCCGGTCCGGGTCCGCCTCTGACGTGGGCGGCAGCCTGGTCGCCATGGCGCCGGGCGACCCGGCCGGTGCCCGGGAGACCGCCGCCACCGCCGCTGCTCCGGCCGGTCCCTCCTCTGTGGCGTCTTCGAAAGGCTCGAAGATCAGAGGCAGTGCCTCTGAAGACATGGTGGCCTCTGTGGCCTCATCCTGAGGGAGCGGGACCGCCGTGTCTGCTGGAGTTTAACACAAGAGCAGAAACACAAGGCTTTGCAGAAATATTCACACCACTTGGACTTTATATATATCTTGACCTCTTGCAGCCCAAAAATTTCATGAATTTTATTTGGCAACACCAACAAACTGCAGCCCATGAGATGTAAAACAAATAATACTTAACTGCGCTCTTACTGAGTTTAAGTGCACAACTCACTTTTCAGATTGTTGTCATATTAAATGTTGATAGTTATGTATTATTTCTGTTCGTTTTTACAATTATTGACTCTTTTGTGTTACTGTCACATAAAATCCCCAAAAGTTCAAGGGGTTATGAGTACTTTCACACCACAGAGAAGGTTGTTAACATTTAAATAAACATTAAGTGATTTCTTGATCACTTAATGTTTATCATTAAGTGATCAACACTTAATGATGTGTTGATCATCATTAAGTGTTGATCTGTCACACAACGTGAAGTAGACTGCAAAGCAACACACCATGACCCAATCTACAGAAATTAAAACCAAACTCACTAAAGCCTAAAGCCTATATATTTGTAAATATATCATTAGTCTGGTATTACACTTTTGACTTTTTCTTAAAAAAACAAAAAAAAAAGCATGTTTTTATCAAATTGAGATACAGACCCTTTATTCTCATAAAACCTCCAAAATACAGGCGAATTAAAGCAGAAGAAGAGTGGAACAAAATTCTTAACATAAAAAAACCCCGCAATCAATTCTTATCAATGGTACAACGAGAAGGGGGGTCACTTCTTGTTGATTTGGGTGGCATTTCTGCCCCTTAATGAACCAAATCCACATAATAATAACATGATAATAACAACCTGCCTGACTAGTAACAAACCCTTCCACCAAACCTCTCCTGGCTGGTGTGTCGTTCTTCTCTTTTCCCTTTTCTCTCTCTCTTTTTTTTTTTTTTTTGTCGTAACTTGAGTCAGGAATAGAAAGTAATTAGACTGCCATGAGTCCCAGCTGGGGTTCAAAGTGGAGCGTGGAAAAGCAGCGGCTTTTCTTTCCCAACCATCAAAGCCAAACTCTGCCTCTACACAAACTATATATATTATATATATATATATATAATATATATATATATATATATATATAGTTTTTTTTTGTTTGTTTTTTGAAGCCTTACCTCCAGCTGGTCTCGCCGCCTCGGTCCACAGACTCTCCAGGCCGTCATCTCTGGGCATCATATTCAGCGGTCCGATTTCAGGCAGAAGCAGATCTGGAGGCGAGGGTCTCGTTGGTCCGTCGTGGCCCCACGCCGACGGGCGTGTGGCGGTCCGAGGAGTGACCAGCGACAACGGAGGGACGGGACTGAGGGAGGCCGGTTTGGGGGACCAGAGGGGAGCGTTTGGAGAAGCCTGCGAGGTCGCCTCGGCGTGTCCATCTTGTCCAGATTCAAAGGCGGGCGGCTTGGTCGCGTCTGTTCCGCCCTGTTTGCTCTCTTGGCTGTAGGAGGAGTCCGTCCGCACCGCAATGGAGGCCCGGGAACTACCTGACGTGCGCGCGTGGGTGTTCATGTCGGCGTCCACCTGTTGTCTCCCACCTGTTGGACCCCCGGGCTTTACAAGACCTCCATCTCCGCCCTCAGGTTCGCTCTCGGTCTCCTTTCGACCAGCCCCGCTCAACCCAAATCTTCCACGAGCGCTGACCCCGTTTCTCGCCTGCGTCACTGGACCGATCCCCTCCGGGCCTCCATCTGGGCCAGTCCCTCCTCCCTCGCCCACATCCAGCATGAAGCTGGTAACGCGCTCTTTCTCCAAGGGAGCAGGCTCCGTGGCGCAGAGCTCTTCGCAGGAGCCGTCCTGCGTCCGGCTGTGGCCGGGGACGTACGTGGGGGCCCCGCAGGTGCGGAGCCAGGGCTCTGCAAGGAGCAGCGCCTGGAGAATGGAGGACATCATCATCATCATCATCTTCTTCTCTGTGTCTTCTCAGCGCCTGTTGACAGACAGCAGCGAATTAATAAATGCCAGCAGGCTTGAAGAGAGGTGGGAGGGACGGCTGTCTGTCTGCTGGTGGCTTGTGGGGTTAGTGCGCAGACATGAGGCTCCGGCACAAACCAGGGATGACGAGGCGGAACATAAAACTTCACTCGAAGGCACTTTAGTGAGACGAAGGATTTTTAAAAAGCTGCTTTGAATTGCTTTAGGCCCTCAAAGAGTCTTATGTTGTTTTACGCACATCCAACCAGTGAGGAAGATAACAGCCATGCCTGTCGCCTTGAGGTGACACAACATGCAGTTTTACCACAAGACAGTAAATGTCGGTGTCACGTCATCACAACAATGCTTAAACAGCACAAGATTTACAGTCAAACTAATTAACTTCTTTTTTTTTTTTTTTTTTTAGCTTGTTTTAGTTCTCGGTAGTTGTGGTTAGTTAGAAAATACAGAATATTTTTTTGCGCGATGAGGAAGAAATCTCAATTTAGATTTTTCTTTGTGCGCGCGCGCGCGTGTGTGTGTACGCGCGTGCGTGTGCGTGAGGTTGCACATTCATGGCTTCGCCCAGGTAGTGGAGATGGGAGTGATGAGTGAGTGAGTGAGTGAGTGAGTGAGTGAACGAGGTGAAAATAGAGGGAAAATAGGAAGGAGGAAGATGAGGAAGAGGAGGGAAAGTGGGAAACAGATGGAGAAAACGTGAGGAAATCTGACACAGCAATCCTCAGCCCCGCTGCTATAAATAGCTCCAGGTTTTCTCTCCTATAGGATCCACTGGAGATGCTTCAATGCAGATCGTTGCAATATAGAAAACACACCCGATACCAAATGCGAAAGCTAATCCCAATTTGTGCAATCTTCCCTTTTTTTCTTTCTTTTTTTTTTTTTTTTTTTTTGCTGTCTCAGGCAAGAGGAACACATATCTCACCCCCATCCGATGCAGCATAAGATCAATGCTTCGATCAAATCCACTCTCCACGCCATCGCAATCGACTTCGATCAATATAATCGATCAGCGCGCGCGTGCTCGTGCAGACCACCTCCCAGACCACCTGACAACATGACCATGCCAGCGTCTGGACTGTAAACAAAATCACCACCCCCTCCTTCTGCCCCCACTGCGGTACTGAGACCCATTTCTCCAGCGTGACGGCTCCGAATCAGCTGCCCCCGACCCCACAAGCTGCATGCGAGGGGCTCCGAATCAAAACCCAGAATACCTCTCAGAGCTCATGGCGGGTCTTGATGGTCTCTCTCTCGCGGTGTGTAGGAGAATGCCAGAGTGACGCTGCGTCACCGAACAGCGGCTGGATTCAGCGTGGCGGAGGAGTAGAGCGCAGACCGTCTCTGTCCGTCTGAACGCTGTCGACCTTGATTCTTAATTATCCCTTATTCCGTGGTCATTCTTCGACAGGCGGACCGTGGCGCTGAACGGGCAGCTCCTCCGCCTCAGAGCGCAGGTGGTGGTGGCGGCATCATGCTGTGGGGTGGGGGAGTCGAACTGTCAGCAGGCGCAGAGATATGGAGAGTGGTGGAGAAAGATGGAAGGAAGATTAACTTGGCGACAGGTAAATCACCCAATCAGAGCAAGAAACACACACACACACACACACACACACACACACACACACACACACACACACACACACACACACACACACATACAAAGGTTTAGATATGCACGTGTGTTTAAGTGATGATTTCTACATGATAATAAAACATAGAAGTTTGTGGTTGTAAAAAAAACGTGTAAAAAACCAAAACCAAAACTGACAAACAGTTTACAACATGATTTTATGCACATGCAATCAATTCCCTCATATATTTGAATTATCATCTAAAGTTCAATATTAGGGGCTCAGATAAAATGAAGTTTGATTTATTTATCTATTGTTAATAACTTGCTTTGGCAGCTGTTAAACGGTCATAAGTGTTTGCGTCTGAGGAAATGAGGTCAGCTGTAACCAGGACGCCAAACAGGTGACGTAGCAAAATAAGTCAGCCTGTTTGAAGGCGTGGAGCTTTTTATTTTCTACTGATCCCGGGATTTGCATCATAATTGCATCTCCAAACCAGTTTTCAAGGCGAGATCAGGAAAGAGGAATCAACAGCATTTTCCCTTCTTTTGGCAGATTGTAGAAGAGGAACGTTGCCAAGACGACAGATGCGTTTCAGTGCTTCATGGAAACTAGAGATTTATCATGAAGGATTTGCGTTTTAAGTTTAAATCTGTGATGTATTTTCTTTTCTTAGATGACACGTTATAAAGTGAACAATACTATTATAAAGTGACATGAATTCTTCCCTGGCTCGAGCATGTTACTGAGTTTCTGTTTCTCCCAACTGGGCTTTTTCCCTGCAGTCCCTCCGGTCAGTGAAGAGGCTAAGAGGAAGACGACAAGCTTTTTTATTATGCGACGCAAAGCCGTGACTGTTAGCGTCAATAGATAAAAAAACATATTCTGAATTAAAATGCCATTATTTGATGGGTTGGGAAGCGGAGGAGAGAAGACTGCCATTGTGATTGATTTAGGAGCAGCATACACAAAGTGAGTACGCGTTGTTAGCAAAACAGGCTACCCGCCGCCAGGTTAGCATGCTAATATTGTCGCCCATATTGTTGACTTTCTCGTTATTACGATGTATCAAAGATAAGATGAATTTAAATGTTTGTGGCTAGCAATGGAATTGAGCCATATATATTCATGTTCATGGCAGGTATGGAGTTCTTCTCATATGCTCAGCCTATTAGCTAATGCTAACGTAGCTGTAGCTGACGCTTTTAGCTACAGCAAGGCGGAATTATCAGCAAGCCAAAAAACAGAACCCTTCAAAATGCCATCTGTTTGGTTTAACGAATCTGGGATGTTTTAATTATCTATTTTTTACATATGTAAGCTCCATTATGTACTGTCAGTTTTTTCCCAATTAGCCTAAGCTAACACAGCTCCCTAAAAATGTTATTCACATATTTATTTAGCAGAGAAACTGACTTGAAGTCACATGCAGATCAATTGGGCTGCTCTCCTCTTTTATACAACGATTCCCTTTGTGAGTCCAACAACATAGGACATAGAGACCTAGTGTTAATTTGTTGAATGCAGATAGTTTAAAATTAGAATCGTTCGTGGTACTTTTTTTTACTGATTTGGTAATGTTCAACTCCCATTCCAGTATGTTTTTTTTTTCCACTGGGTGCACACAGTACTTAGAAAATTGTGGAAAAAGATTGCTTCATTTTTAGAACATAATAACAGTGGAACAGGTCAAAGTAGCGAGCAAATCTTTCTGAATTTTTGTTGTGTGATATTATTGTACTGTAAGAAAATATATTTTAAGATTCCTCTTTGTAATGAGTGGCAGAAGATTTGTGCCACGCACCCATATTGAAATCAAAAGAAGGCTTAGTTGTAAATCTTACAAAATTTGTCATATTTATGCATGTACATACCAGCTTTGTTGAAATAAAAAAATATGTTTTTTTTTTTGCAGATGCGGCTTTGCAGGGGAAACGGGGCCCAGGTTCATAATTCCGAGCGAGATTCGGAAACCGGGACAACAGCAGGTAACTCTCGTGATTTACTGTAACTAGTCAGTGTGTGGGTTAGCAACATGTGTGTCCTAATGGTACGTGCTGTCTCATGCAGGCCACCAAAGTGGTCCAGTGCAACATCAACACAGAAGAGCTTTATGCCATCCTCAAAGAGTTTATCCACATATTGTACTTCAGGTGACGTGCTTTTCCTGCAACGAGTGTGCTTGTTTCAAAACTGTTGTGTTGTTACATTAACCGAACACCATAGATAACTCCCAGCAGCGATGGGGCATTGTAACTGAGTTATGCAGCCTCATCAACTTAGAATCTATGCCTCATCAGGCACCTCTTGGTGAACCCTCGCGACCGAAGAGTGGTGATCATCGAGTCCATCCTCTGTCCATCCCACTTCAGGGAGACGCTCACCAAGGTCTTCTTCAAACAGTTTGAGGTACCACAAGATGCAACCATTGTTGTGACAGATGCTTGGTGTAACAGTTATGATTGTAAATGCGATTGTTCAGTCTCTCCGCTTCACAAAGCTGTACGCGCTCACTTGTAAATGAATGGAGTGGAAACATATCTGATGCTTCTGAGTGGCGGACATTTGGTCTCGGGTTTAAACAAAGTTAATTTTCTATTTTGTTTTTAATCCAGGTGCCCTCTGTGCTGTTCGCCCCCAGTCACCTTATGGCCGTCATGACTTTAGGCATCAACTCTGCTCTAGTGATGGACTGTGGATACACAGAGACATTTGTGCTTCCTGTATCCTGTACTTATTTTTGGTGGTGTTGAGTAATCCAAAACAGCAAACGGCAAGACTGTAAAGTGATGTTTTAAGCTGATTGTTTAAAGGAAAACAATGAGATTTTTGATATTTGTTGAGCTTGTTTGTAATCTTGTCGCAATAGGGGTTTCTCAATCACATTTTAAATTCAAATGACCTCAGAAATTTCTATTCTGATGATAAATTTTTTTTAAGGTTAATTTTGCTTACAGAGACCTTTTCTTCATTGTTTCTGATTGTGCTTTATTTTGGATATTTAAAACACTTCCCAGTTACAGTGTTGAAAATGGTTTTAAAAGTACAATATTATCGTTTGTCGCCGGCAGTACAATAAATGGTAATGTTATCGATTATCGTCCAGCTAAATGTATCACATCAGTAGATCATTTAGCATAAATCCAGAGCAGTTTTACACTTTGACAATTCAGTTTTGTGACATAGCATTTACTTATAACATTAAAACAATAGTCTACTTGTGTTTTTCACCATATTTCACCAGCATTTTAATTGTAAGCATGAAGGTTGGGATTAATTTACTTTCTCCGTTTCTTTCGTGAATAAGGTTGTACTGCTCTCTCTTTTCTTAAAGCAATAACCAAGATTTACTCCAGACGCTTTTCTGAAAACCTTAACTTTGCTGCATTAGATTTATGAGTGCACGCCGATCCTCCCGGCCTGGGAGGCTCTGCCTCTTGGGGGAAAAGCCATTCATAAGTCAGTACCTCATTGCCTGTTAATATTTCATTTTGCACTTACTTCACAGTGGCGGTTCTGCCTGTCATGGTTAATTTAAAACGGCGTTGTTTATCGTTTCCGTTGTGTTTTCTTATTGCAGAGAATTGAACGGATTTCTCGTGGAGCAGTGCACCGTGGACACAGACACCACCACTGGGCAGAGCGTACCGGCCGTCATCGGTAACGACCGGCAGCTCAGACTAAGAATGTCTGCGACCCATAATGCATCATTCACTATTCATACCAAGGGCTTGTTTCCGCTCAACGTTCCCGTGAATGCGTTGCTCTTGTTTGTAAATTATGTATTCACAAAGTCTGTGTTAGCGCTTCCTCTTCAGAAAACTGTATTCGTCAATTGATGATAATTAAAAAGATATCATGCTGAATAATTTCCTAAGTCTTAGCGAAAATCACAGCAGATCCCGAATAAATGTATTGATCCTTTTTTCCTTAATTATGAAAATAAAGACTGATACTCTGCAGCAGTCGCAGCTGTTTTTGAATTAAATATAACACCAAGTAGTTCTAATTAATCTCTGCAGCAGTGTCAGTTTAGATTCACGTCATAAATATAATTTAGTGATGCAATAAAAAGTGACGCATTTCTGTATTTTTCTCAGGAACCATCCCAGAAGAAACAGTGGAGGACATAAAGGGTGAGTTTAGTTGGCACTTTCTACTTTCCTTAATGAAGATCATTGGCCAACTACTGCATTTTGTAAGAGACATAATATTTCAGCCCCAAAAATCAGCATTTCAGAGTCGCATAACTCAATGTCGAGGCATTGCTGCTGCCGTAATTCTATCACTGGACGGTTTATACAGATTGGTATTAAGACATTGTTTCTGCTTAATTCTCTTCACATATCCTGTTAATAGATGACCTAACCTGTCTGCAAGTAACACCTCATTCAGAAGTCTGAGTAGATTGTTGATGTTCACGGAAGTAGCGTAGTGATTTATGTGTGCTGCTTTGTTTCTTGCAGCCAGAACATGTTTCGTCAGCGATTTGCAGAGAGGCCTCAAGATCCAGGAGGCCAAATTTAACCTGGATGGTACGGCTGAGGTAAGAGGAGTGTTTGCTGCGCCGGTTTCACTTCACTGTTTTAGTTCCTCAGAAAGTTTGGATGCAAAAAAATCCAAAACAAAGCTAAACTAAAAGGACCCTAAATGTCGTGAGGTTTCCTCTGTGCCTTTGCAGCGTCCAGCCCCTCCTCCGGATGTCGACTATCCTCTGGATGGAGAGAAAATCCTGCATGTTCAAGGATCTATTAGGTAATCTTAAGATCTTTTCATCTGGTTTCAGTTTTTGCCGTTTTATAACAACTTAAGCAAGTTCTTGTGGTACTTCTCACTGAAGAACGTGTCAATTATTGTCTGGACCGTGTCGTTTTAGAGACGCAAAACTTTCAGTGTAATATTTTGATCCTGATTTTTAGGATCACAATGCGATTCAGAAACCCAAATTTTAGATTTAGTCTAGAAATGATAAATTATGTGACTGACAAGAAGAAAAAACTGTAAATAAATATAACATTTATTTAAAACAATCATGAAAGGTTCCATTAGTTTATATTTAAACAAAAGTAAGTTTGTGCATAAAATTCTGTAACTTAGATTGCCAGTAGTAGGTCAGCTTGGCTGCATGGCTTTAACTTAAATTAGAAAAAAATGTACAGTTATTTTGTCCGGTCTTGCAGGGACTCAGTGATGGAGATTCTGTTTGAGCAGGACAACGAGGAGAAAAGTGTGGCGACCCTGATTCTTGACACCCTCGTAAAGGTCATTTAATAAGCGCAGCATATCCAACAGATGTTGCAGTTTTTAATTTTATTTATCTATAACTTGTGGAAATATTTTTTCTGTTTTTGTACTCAGTGCCCTATTGACACACGCAAAGTGCTTTCCGAGAACCTGGTGGTGATCGGAGGCACGGCCATGCTTCCCGGCTTCCTGCACCGCCTGCTGGCTGAGATACGCCTCCTGGTGGAGAAACCCAAGTACAGCAACGTGCTGGCTAGCAAGAACTTCCGCATCCACTCCCCACCGGCGAAGCCCAACTGCACCGCCTGGCTCGGAGGTACTCTACAAAAAAGCATTTTCAGTGTTATTTCCTGCTTTCTTGCTGACTCTCTAAGTGAGCAGATTGGGGAAAAAATGGCTGTGTGGAGAAAATATTTCTTCAAAATCACCATTTAGGAGAAACGACTCAGTCAGCTATTTTTCAGAGTGTTCTTTTTGGTATCTGTTGTTCCCTCTCTAAACTTTTGTTTTGAATTTCTCCTGACCCGCCCAGGCGCCATCTTTGGGGCCCTTCAGGACATTCTGGGCAGCAGGTCGGTGTCCCGGGATTACTACAACCAGACTGGACGCATCCCGGACTGGTGCTGCTTGAGCTCCCCGCCTCCTGAGTCGTTTTACGAGGCGGGGAAGACCCCTCCTCCACTGATGAAGAGAGCGTACTCCATGGAGAAGTGAAACATAGCCAGATGGTTTTTCACTCAACAGTTCGGTAATCTTTAACATCGGGACACTTTCTCAGATCGATGTGTTGACTTCACACACAGATTTGGAATGTCAAGTAGGCAAGACTTCAAATGCTAATTCGTATCGTCCTGGTTTGCGTGTGTGTTACTCATAAATTCCCACCATAATGATTCACTTCGACAGTAAATGCAGCAGCAATCCCTTATTGATTTGCAGTTGCACATACTGACAGACATGTCATCGGTCACAATGACACGCTGCATGTGTGTCTTCACACTTCAGTGTTTTCATTGGAAGTGAATCAGGAGAAATTCTGCTGAAGTCAGCAGAATTGTTCAAGACGTCTTGAAAGTGTTGCTTATGTAGTCAGATTGTTATGACTGTTAAAATGAAGAAATTACCCATGGAGATCACAAACAGTTTTCACTTATTTATTGTTTCTACCTTGTTGTTGGAGGTTTTGGATTGTTTTTACCCATATGTTAAAGCAACTCTGGATGGATTAAAATGTAGATAAAGAGTGTTGACTGAAGGTAAAAGGTTTGTTTTGCTTCAACACTATCATTAAAGGCGTAATCCACAATTTAGACACTCTTGACAATATGTGCAATTTGCTTACGTACCTGATAATATATTTACGTGTCTTGTTTTTTGGGCTATTCAGAACATTCCTTTGAAAACCATCATAAATACAAATAAATGTCCAGAAATGAGTCTAATCTGGATTTTGTGTTATTTTGTTTTAAAGTCTAAGAATCAATCTTTCATAAACCTTATTTACTGATTGTCGGGTATTGCCTAAGGACACCCAACGTATACCCCGGAGTATCGTAAGCCTGGCGGGCTACCAGGCTTTATTTCTGTCCCCACCAGGCTTGGCATTGCTTCCTTTTCTATTTTATTTTTTTTTTTTTTATATTTGCATTTTTTAAGACTTTATAGTTGGTGTTCCGGTCTTTCAATCTTTCAATAATGCATAATTATCAAGTAATATTTTCAAATTTCCTGTCAACTTGAAACATTTTATAACTCAAAAACACGACGCGCCGCTGGGTGAATGACTGCTCTTGCGCCCAACCACTGGGCTTAGCAAGTTTTCGGGGGAAAACCTGCCAAGTCCACAACAGCAAAGATTGACGTTGCATCTCATATTTTAAAAGTAAAATGACATTTGCTGTAAATCTTCAAACTTCCCAGATTGTCACTGCTACATATAGACCAATGTAATGTAATGTAACACCTTCCAGACAAGTGACCTTTTGTATTTTTGTAGCCTGATTTGTTGTATTTTTTTGTGTCACACTAGAGTCCGGTTGGTGTTATGCAAACATTGAAGAACATTTATTTTGACACAAATTATAGGGGTCTAATAAGCTGCTGGTTTAAGTAGTACTAAACATTTTAATCAAATAAAAGCCCATTTTTCATACATCAAAACTGTTGTCTGAAACTTTGAATATGATCTTTTAGTCAGTTGGACAACATGTTTTAAATTGTCTTTTTTTTTATTGGCTGTCTAAAATGCCATTGCTTTTAGGTTCCCCAAGTCTGCTTCTAATGACTCCTTCCAGTGAAGCGCTTCTGAAATAAATATTTCAATGTTTACATTGTAAGTAGTCTACGTTTGTGTAAAATCAATCCAAGATTTTATTTTGCCACCTTACACCACAAACTTATATTGTCAGTAAATGTCACGTATATCTTTCAAAGTAGACAGAACATGTATTGAATAAATAGAGAAAAGAGATAAAAAGCCAAGAAACCAGATGAAACCATTGCTGCTGCAGTGTGGCAATCAGATCAGCTGAGTTAATGTTAAATCCTGGATTATAAAAAAAAGAGATTCCTCATTACTGAAGTATTGCATAACCAGAGACATGCTCCAAAAGGTTTACTGACTGCAATAGTTCCAGATATTTTTTTTCCCAATACTTCAAAATACCCATTTTTATGGCAAATGTGCACAAAACCTTAGTCAATGTTCCCCTAATGTAAAAAAGAAAACAACACAATTCAGTAACTGTTAGATTTTTCCTTCAAATAACAAGTGCATTTAAAATTTAGATGCAGCTGAAAATCTCATCCTCACACAAAAAAACTTTTAATGAGAAATACTACTTTTTCTTCTTCTTTTTTAATTTGGCATGTTTTGTATTTCCAATTTACGCTGTTAGGCTGTCAGTGGAAACACGCTGTCAGCTGCATGTTGTTCGGGTGTGGCACTTTCACACAGTCAGGGGTGGAGAACAACAAACAGCCCTGCGCTGACTGGAGTTAAATCTCTGCCTTCTTGAACAGAGTTGCACCTGTTTGGCCCTTTTGGGTCTCGTAAATCACTCAGCTCTGTTACGTCAGACCACTATGGGGCTGGGAGCCAGTAGCACTACCCACAATGCATCTGCGGCAGCTTAAAGTGTGGGAATTTGGTTAGTATGGAATTTTAATCGCGGACATAAAAACAATTGACGGAGCATCACGGCGATGTAATTCTGATTCGGACCCTGTTTGGCTCTTCTAGTCAGAGAGGAAGGTCTTTCTGTCATTTTCCTCCCAGGCTTCTCAGTGTGGTCCTGTTCACTGTGCGCCCTTTTTCAGGTGATTTCATTTTTCAGCCATGGCCTTGCTCTCGTGCAGCTGTTCTGTCCCACCTGCTGCTCCAGCTGAGGACACCCGTCCTCCGACTGGAACTGGGACCTGATCCGCACCGCGGTTCCCAGAGGCGGGAAGCAGCAGCTGCCCGACTGACCTCTGCTTTTCCGGCGTAGACGGAGGTCAGGAATTGTTTTCCCTGCTACGTGGGTGAAGAGTAAGGAAGCGTCTTTCCAGAAGATTTTGTAAATAATTCATAATAATCTGAAATGGGCCAGAATTTGAATATTAAATACTTTCTTTTCCCATTTCTTCCCCCCCACCCCCAAGCAATAAGGGGGTTTTTACGGTAATTGTCATTCCCCTGGACTTTTTAACCGTGCCGATTAACTTCTACAAATTTTTTCCATTTCAGCTGATCAGAGTTGGGGAAAAAGTGAGTGGATACATGAACGTGGTGGGTCTGACCCAGAAAAGCTGAGAGAGCTAAAGCAACTGAAAAAGCTGCCGAACTAACCCGATATGTTCATCACACAAACTTCGACCTGGTTATTCCACCAAATATTGATTTCCAAACTTTTGCTGAGTTTAAAACATTAGTTTATAAATGAATATCAACTTGTTTCCTCTGCATTATTTGAGGTCTGAAAGCGCTGCATTTTTTTTTCGCTATGTTGACCATTTCTCATTTTCTGCAGATGAAAACAAAGTCTTTGCTTGGAATTTCAGAGACACGCCGTCAGTAGTTCATAAGACGCAAGAGCGACGTCCATTTCACTCAAACACATCCCGACAAAAAGGAAAATCAGAGAAACGACACCATCGGCGCGAGTCGTTTCCAACTTACAAAACCTGACATGGTTTTCAGGGCAGGCTGCCATGGAAAAAAACCCCAAAAACCCTGCAACTCATTTGCTGCTATGAGTAGACCTGGTCCACTGGTCTGGCAACAAAACCCACTTCTTCCCTGCGTGAGATTGCACCAGGCTCAAATGCCAAGTCGTCAGAAAATGTCAACAAGACCACTAACTGTGAGCAAGCAGAACCTCTCTCTTCTCAGACATCCATCTGGTAAAAAACACCAAACTGTTAACAGTTTTCAAAAGTCTCCTTGATTAAATCATGGCTTCTCCCAAACCTTTTGGTTCAAGCAACATTTGAGAATCCTTTCTAGTTTCCGAAAGTCAGGACGGGCAAGAACATGTCCAAGTCTGTGGCAATAAATACATATATTTTTTTTTACAAGCGCAGGTTTTGTGTAATGAGCGCTCAAGTTGACTCAACAGCAGAGTTTAACGGTGATTGCGGTCAGATGGCCCCATGCCTCCATCTTTGTTTTCGTCTTTGCGGCTATCGACTGCAACAACAAGTCGGCCCAATTACCCAGCAAGCAGCACTCACGCTCAGCTGAGCTCGTTCTCAGAAGTGCGAAAAGCAGAAAGAGGGAACAACGTGTACACTCACGCAAAGCGTGCGCTAAACCTCCACAGTCACGCACGCCGTTATCTCCAATGGAGCGTCGCTGGATTCGGCCGCGTGACGTTCCTGCGGTCCAGGATCAGGTCACGAGGTCGAAACGAGGAGCTCGCGCTGCGTCAGTCAAACGAGGGCTCGGCGTTTTCACGCGTCGTTAGAAACAACGACGCTCTTTTTTTTTTTTTTTTTTTTTTACATGAGATGATTTATTGCTAACACGGCATCAGAAATCATTAGGTGATGACGTATTGGTGAAAGCACGCGCCACGATGACCATTTTCCAGCTTGGACGAGTCTCGACAGACTCGACTGGGAAAAGGGAATAAAACAGGCAGAGCCCAGTTCAAGCCACGTTTGCACTTTTCCGACCCTCGGGATGTGCGGGGCTCTGCAAAAGTGACGGAGAATTATGTTTAGGAAAAAATAAATAAAAATAAGGTGAGGCGTAGCCTATAAAAGAAAGTGGGGAGGATTAAATGAGATTAGGGTTATAGGGTCCAACAAAAAAAAGAAGGAATTGATTTTGGTATCCGAAATCAATTCGTCTGAAACAAATGAGCAACCCCACCATTTGCAAACCGCAAAAATGAGTAAATGTTACTGAGAAAAAGCCCAAATTCAAAACACAACAGCAAAAGCCTGAAAAGAATCGTCTAGATTTCCATCCAGTTCCCATTTACTCCGATGCCCTTAAATAAAATTCAGCTGAATCAGAATATTGGGAATTCAATAAACTACAAGTCGTGTTTGTCCTGTTGAAAGCTTTGACGATAACCTTTGAGCATGTGTGAAACATACTTTTTCATTCTAAAAATATACATTTTTTTAATAGTCAGATGTTATCCAGTCATGTTAAATGTCACGTCTGCATTTAACATAGAAAAGTGCTGACTTTTCAGTCACATTCCAAGGCATTTAATTGGTCTGTAATGTCAATAGTAGAAATCTCCCTAAACAAAACACCTGACAAACTTGGCCAGAAGAAAATAAATCTGCGTAAAGACAACAAGCAGACCATGGACGATGCTTGATCGGCCCACTTTTTACCCAAACTCTCCAAAGCTGCTTTTGAGTCGCAGGTTTCACCGGTCACGAGTCAGTGGATGGAAGCTGGCGCAATCTCGTCTGAGGAGACGTCACTTGCTCAAATTTCTAAGAAATTCTGAGCAGTGGTTTCCGCTTAATCACTCGCCGTCCATATAAACCCTCTCGCAAACCGCGGCGGCTCCATTCTCCAGGCGTTTCATGGCTTTCCATTTCTTCCCGACTGCCTGGAAGACAGGAGGGCAAAGACTCGTCCTCCTCAGTGGCGCCATGTATCTCCTGCTGGTTCCTCTGCTGCTAATTCCAGTCCAAGTGAGAGTTTTTTTTTATATTATTATTATTTCTTAATTTTATTCACAAAGCTCCCTCTTTTCTCCGTGTTTCTGTTTTTTTTTTTTTTTTTGGTGCGTTTTGACTTTTCCCCCCACTGTAAAGTCGACGTTTTCAGGCTCTCCGGGTTGCATGAAGCAGCTGAACGAGTCTCTGTGGGATTATTTACCTGATTTCACACATTTTCTCGGATATTTACATTTTTCGTGACTTACAATGACAAACTGTATTTTTGGAGCAGATATAAAAGTCTGACCTCTGGGGTTGCATGTGGCCCTTAAGACCCTTCATTGTGGCTCTCAGTAACTTTGGCCAAAAACAAATTGACTTATGTTTTATGTAATAACAAGGTGGTTAAAATAGCTAGTTTAACCAGCTTTTGTGCTTTCTCTGCATAGTTGTTTTGCAACAGAACAATACCAGAAGTGTAAGAAACATTTGTCTTGTTCTGTCGTTTGTTTAGTTCTGTGACGATGCTGCGTTTTGCATTTATTTCGAGAGAAGGAATTAGTTCTCTTTTTTTCCTAAAAGTTCATTTTTTCTTCTACTTTAGAGCCTTAAACAGAAATGAGATTTGGCTCAGTCAGAACACCAACTACTTCTTCACTTTTACGACAGGCATCTAGAAAGCCCACAGCATCACAGATGAGCTACCGTGCTTTACAGTCTTTATCTTTTATTTCATGGTGAACCCAATGGGAGCGTTCATTGCCAAAACAAAGCTTCATCTTAAGTCTCATTTGACCAAGATTTCCATTTAAAGACCCAGTAATACTCCACAAACTTTATGCTTCTGCTACTAGAACAGAAGGTATTATTATTATTATTATTATTATTATTATTATTATTATTATTATTATTATTATTATTATTATTATTATTATTATTACATGTTTTTTTCTTCTTCTTCCAAATCAATCAAATGTTGAGCGTCGTTGTTCCACCACCACTAGAGGGAGCTGTGCGGCCGCTGGAAGCAAATTCCTCAAACTCCATTTGCTGCACGCTGGTTTTCCCCCTCGCAGAAATGACAAGCGACACACATTGCTCTGGAAAATGATCTTTTTTTCTTTTTTCTTCTTTTTTTTGTTTTTGTTTTTGTTTGTTTGAACTTAGGTGCTCAATCTTCCAGGGAAGGAAAGGCCAACGGGTAGGAACGACACACTCATTTATTCTTGCTGATATAAGTGCGTATTTTTCACACCATAATTTTCTACCCAACATTTATAGTTTTTTTTTGTTTATTTGATTGATTGTTTTTTGCTTACTGAATAAATTTAGTGCTTTCTGTAAGAGATCTACCTTTTTAATTTGTCTTAAGTATATCTGTTCCGTTCTACATTTTATCCTAACTTTATTATTATTATTATTATTATTATTATTATTATGTAGCAATGGGATTCACGGAGGTGCTAAACCAGAGCCTCTGTCGACCGATCGAGCAGCACGTGAACGTGAACGCGGAGTTCCCTGGCGGCGTGGAGGACTTCTACATCCCTCACTGCGTCTCGCTGTTCCGCTGCTCCGGCTGCTGCATCGACGAGGCTCGGGAGTGCTACCCCGTCGCCGAGCGCAACATCACCCTGGAGGTGAGGCGAGAGAAGCGCGGGGCGCGTTCGAGCGCGGCCGACCGCGCGCGACGTTTCACTCTCCTCTCCTCCTACCTGTCTCCCCCCACCCACACCCACCCCCGCAGGTGAGTCGCTCCAATCAGGTCGTCAACCTCACCTTCGTGGAGCACCAGGAGTGCGGAGTGAGGTAGACTGACGTCAGACACGGCCAGGTTGAGTTCAGCTTGATGTAGCACTGGGATATTAAAGTTGTTCTCCCTTTCAGGCTGAAAGAGCATCGAGACAATGCAAGGTCAGCAAATGAAAGGGTTTTATTTACTTATTTATTTATGTATCTTTTGGGATTTGAGCTCATCTGTGACTTTGTAATGGTTTTTGTTCCTCCTCCACAGCGAGGAGGACTCTCTGAGGAGGAGGCGCAGGAGAAGGAGGCAGAGAAGGAGAAGATGTGCAAAGTAAGCCTGACCTTCCTCCCTGTTTTCACGGCCTGTGCTCGGCGTCCGGCGTCGTTCTCCTTGACTCGTGAACAAAGCCTCCAAGACTTTAAAAGTCATCGCGTGTCATCGCTTTCGAGGCTCACGGTCACTTCTAAGGCGATGAGCCTTGCTGCTCACCGCTTTAGAGGACGTTTGGTCCAAAGACATTTCCAGAAGGTCGCAGACACGTTGTCAAATTGAGCCGAGGAGAAACGTTCCACGGATCTAAAGTGGCGAGAAGAAATCAGTCGTCTGGAGCAGATCAACAAACAGCCACTCTACAGTGGCTGTTTGTTGTAAGTTGCATAGAAACTACTTGTTGCCATCAATAAGCTTGACGGAATGATGTCAATGCATGTGCGAATGTCTGGTTGGATATTTGAACATCCTATGAAATAAGTTTGTTTTTCTGACTTTAAGGTACAGTCCGTGTATTTTCACCAGACTGATCCATTTCCAGTTCTGACACCATGGCATCATCCACATTTCAACCATCTACTGACTGGAGAAATTGGAGATAGTTCTAGCGATTATTTTATTTTTTTTGCTGACTTCCTTCCTCCTCTTTGTGCATTTCACCAGAACCACTGGGACAGAGTAGAGCTGCCCCACTTATGGGTCACTGCCGATTTTCATCAAGTCTGTCGAAACAGAAAGTGGCGAGAGGAGAACAGAGGAAGCATTTTCAACCTTAACCTCAGTAGGATCTACTTTATCAAGAAAATAGAGTCAGTAATACACAGAATCTAACAACTAGAACTTATTTACCAATCATCCTTTTAACAATACTGTATATTACAACAAACAGAACCATCTGGCAAACGGTGCAGAAGCCGTGCAGATTTCAGCCTTTATTGGTTCCTCCATCAATCAGATTTTAAATGAAGTAGGCATGTGGGTTCTCGTCACGCCGCCGCTGCTCTGGTCTGATTTCCTGCTTTGTTTACTCGCTGGGATGTACGCGAGACTGTGCGATACTTTATTGGGCGATGTGTGCTTCTGGTTTTATTGTGCGCGGCGTATTTTAATGGCTTTATTTACCGTGTCATGTCCAAGTGAAATTTTCCCTTGGGGACAACAAAGTGTACATTCATGCGACTTTTACTGTGCCCAACTTCATGTCGTATTAAGTTCTCTTTCTTGACTAAACGGCAAACATTTTTCAGGTATCTTAGTGGTCTCTTCTGGTGCTAAGTAGCATCTCTATTTGTGGTGTCACTACCAGCGATTTTCCTTTCGGGGGAACAAGAGAGAGAGAGTTTGAGGAATCTGGGTCAACAGCTTGCAGCTCTGCCTGCAGGGCGTCGCCAGCTCCTCTGCTTCACAAAAGGAGAATGCAGCAGCAGAAACACACGCGTTTTCCAAACCACTTCACCTGGAAGCTGGTTATTTTTGGGCTCCGGGTCACTGGCAGGGCACTGCTGAATTCAACAGTATGTTTGCTTTCCCTTGAAACGTATGGATCCCATCACTCACACGTGTCAGAGCGATCATATCGCTGCATTTAAATGCAATTTAGATCCATCATCTCCTTATAGACTCGCCAAAAAGTGCCTTGCAAACACGTCCACCGACTTTGAACCTTTTTCATTTGTCGCGACAACTCGAAACTTCAGTGTGAGGCTCTGTGCGATGGATGAACACAAGGGATTTATCAGGTTTTGATGTTTTATGTGAATCTGAAAAGTGTGACCTGGATTCAGATTTGTACCCCACTCAACAGCATTGCACAGGCACTATATAAAAAAGTGTCTGAAGGCGTTTCCTGTCGCTTTTAACTGTATATACAAAGAATATTTTACATGCTTTCTGCAGGAACACACTGGATGTTTTATAAGTGAGTAAGAATCTGAAATCTAGTTGGAACAAGGGAACAAAATATGTTATCATGCAGTTTGTAGCAGTTTGAATTCATTTCCATGTCTTTTGTCTTTCCAGGTGCCAGTTTTCTGTCTCGAAGACGCATCTTCCTTGAGGCAAACGTCATTTGGGATCAATATTTCCATCCTCTGTACATAGATAACTTCCTGCATTCATCTCACCGGAGGCCAGTTCTTCTTCTGCAAGCTTCTCTTCATTATTTATCAAAGAAAAAGGATCAGCCTTTGATCCTGGCTGCTGCTTGTTTCGGACCAAAGTCAACTCAGTCTTTCACATCGAGATATTCTCACGTGCCGTTTGGACGATGTATGTAAAATACAGAACACAGAAGATGTTTATTTAAGCTCTTTTTTTATATATATATTAATCAGTTGTTAACACAAAGACAATGAATGACGTACAATCGGCAAGGCGTGTGTGTATTATTTTTTCAAAAGTTTTATTTAATTAAATGATGAGTTTGGTGAATAAAAATATATGTAAACAACAGTGATTCTCTGTGGCCTTTATCTGAGACATTAAGAGTGTTTAGATAACCCTTGAGCTTTTTCACATCTTACACCTCATATAACAACACCAAACTTCAAAGTATGCTTGTGATTTTATGTGGGCATAATTGAAAATAGATTAAAGGATTCCTAGTTTTCTAATTCTCACCAGTTTAGCACATGTGGGAGGACTGCGATCCTTAATCCTTAATCAGATTCAGATTAATAACGTCAATGTCTTGCCACGCATTCTAAGTTGGATTTGACTTTGACATGTCCCTGTGTTCAAAGCTTTGGGATACTGTTTTGTCCTGGCTGATTTGTTGCCTTGTCTCGATGTGTTTTGCTCACTCATGTCGTCCAGCAAAACCTTTTGAGACCTTTCACGGAAAAGTCACATTTAAACTGAGCAGCTGTGAGGCGACCAAGGGGAGCAGATACTTTAGTGGAGCACTTGGTTGCTTCACTGAAGTATTTAAAAAGCATTCTCAGTCACAAGCACAAACGGGAAATGTTACAGAAGTGGTTAGGTTAACAGTGAGGATGTGACTCAATGAGCAGCACAATAGAGTGAACTTGGTATATATTTTTTTATTTTGGTCAAAGTCAAGCCATTGTTTGATTTTCTGTTTTCAATGTGGCATCAGTTTAAACTAAAGAGACTTTGAATATGAAAGACTTTTTCTTCCCAGAGGTCGTCCAGATTTTCTCTCCCTCAGTACGGATTAACAATTTGACAATAAGTCTGAAACCTTATCCTCAGCAAAGATGCATAAAGGTTAAGATAAGAGCAGATGCACGTGTTGCCTCCTTGCTTTTATGAGAAAAGTAAAACAGTTTTGTTTACTCGTCGGGACACGCTGCAGCAGAGGAGACTAGTAGCTCTGCTTGGGTTAGCGCCAGGCCAAGTATTTATGTGATACACCAGACGCTCTCACGTCACTGTGCCGTCTACGTTGCCTGCTCTGTGTACAGTTCAAATCCCAATGGCAAGACAAACATGTTGTCCTAAACGTGCCACACATTTGGCCCTGGTCACGTTTTTTAGCTGCTGGCGGCTCCGGCCAATCAGAGGCCGGGAGCGCGGTCACATGGGAAGGGGTGGCGGCCAATACAATGTGACGTGCCGGATGCTCCTGACGTAGCCACGCCCTCAAGCACCAAATATGGAGCCACAGCTGAACTAAATATATATTATTTCATCCCGTTTTGGGTTTAAATAACAAAAAAGGTGGATTAAAGAAGTGGAAACAATTTACTATCATTAGCACATTCTTCGTTTTGACGCAAACAGGATAATTAGAGAGCGCCTGTCGCCACCGTGCTCCGCATGTGAGCTTAACGGGCGGGGGAGGAGCGCTGGGTCCCGTGTACTGCACCGTGGAACAGCCCCGTCCAGAGCGAGGAGCTGGGCAGCTGCAGTTAACCACCGCACTGAGGAAGAGAAAAACAAGGGTCAGCCGTAACTTCAACCCGAATAAAGGTGTCTTTCATACCCCCTCTTTGGAAGAACATCTCGACTAAAAGTACGTGAGTTGTTTTGTCTTCCCCGTCGTGTCCGTGTTGTGTTTTTAGACAACTCGCTCTTCGTGGGAGTCGTCCCTCATTAGCATGTTTTAGCCTCGACGCTGTTAGCTTTGAGTCGCTGCGCGCAGTCCGGCGAAAAATAACAACGCTGTCGACCTTTTCCGCAGTGTTAAATACTAAGTTGTTTGTCCTTTGTCAAGTCACAAACACGAGTTTTAACACCGCTTGTTGATTTACGTTTGTGAAGTTTGGTTTTCTGCCCACGTTTACACTACAGTCAGGCCTAGTGGAGAATAAGGACGAGCGTCAAACTTGTATCCAACTGCATACGTCAGTTGGATACATCCAGAAAATATTTCTGAATTAAATGAGGGTTAAATTCTTCGTACATATCAATACCCAAAGCAGTGCCTTGCTTGGGTATTAATTCCTTTTGAATTTTTTCATATTGTGTCAGCTACAACACCACATTTCTATGTTTTATTTGATGGCTCAACACAAAGTCTCTAAAGAAAAAGTGGGTACATTATGTCAAAACATATTGAGAAAAAACACCTCTTCACTCTGATGCCTCCAAAAAAAAAAAAAAAAATCCAGAGACTGAGAAGCAGCTATGAGCCTTGTGGCAGCTTTGGAGGAGCTGCAGAGATCCTCAGCTCAGGTAGAAACAATCTGAGACAACAACAACTTTTTGTGCATTCCACAAACCTGAAACCTTCTGGCATTCTTCCAACCCGAAAAGTGGTCTGGACAATGACACATTCCCTTGCTGAAAGGTGATGAAGGCAACATCACGCTGTAGTGACGTAGAAAACCTGTTATATCTCGCAGAATAGTTGAGGCAGGGCCGAGGTAGATCCAGCTAGAAATGTGAGATACAGTCGGAGACATACTGCTAAAGAATAGCATCTGTAATAGTAGATGGGTGCATGTTTTTGCAAAAAACATTGCTTCTCATTTATGCTTTAAGTTGCTGGTATGTCATGTATAATGACAAGTGTGTGAAGAGGTAGAGGAATAACTTATACCAGTTGCAATAACCAATAAATCAATTAATTGCATGATAAATTAAAGTGAGGTCAATAATTTCTATTCTGATGATAGACTTTTCTGTCTCATTTATGGTGTTAGTTGTGTGTATGTGGTTTTTATTTCCATTTTATCAATTGTTTTAGTGGTTCTGTGATTTTTTTTAAATATTTTTTTGGCTGCCTAAATGATCTTCCAGTTCCAATTAAATATGTCTCTTAAAAATGATATCAAAATAACAATATTATTATATATTGCCATAATTTCTTGGACAGTTTATCTTCCAGCAAAATTATTTATTTGTTGAGACAGATGTAGCATAGTTACCTTAGCAGAAAGTATTTGTAGTATGTTTGGTTTGCTTAGTTGTAACCACCAATATTTACATGCAGCTTTTAAATGTTGTTGCTTGTGTTTTTAGCTACTTGTTTTGTGGGAGCTTGTGGACGAGAGGACAACGAAGGACAAGGATAATGAGCACCAAGAGGAAGGCCGACAGTCTCCGACCTCGCATCGTGAAGCGTGAAGGCTCCCAGATGGACTCAGAAAGAGACTCTGGATTCTCAGGTTCTCTCCCCGACCCGTAGGGCATGTTGAGGAAAGCTCCAGACGTCCCAGTGGAACCACAGCTAACCTTTCTGTCTGGCCTACAGATGCCAGCTCAGAACACCTGAGCACCATGGACACCACGGACTCTGAGGACTCTCCTCATCCCAGAGGGCAGCAGCGGGCGAAGGGTGCTGGTTCAGGCTCAAAGCCCTCCCAGCTGGCCGTGGTTGGAGGCTCCTACTCCTACGTTGTGCTCAAGCAGGTAACAGGATGAAACCTCTGCTCTGAAATCTGCCATTTCTGTAGGGCTGAAGCAAACAGTTATTTTGGTAATTAACTGATTATTGTTCTATCAATTAATCAGAAAAAAACTGGCACATTCTGCTGGATTTTTTTAAAAACAGACTTATTTAATCCATTATTGGAATTACATAAAAAATACCAAAAAACACATAATTAAATTGTATATTATTGTCTAAAATGCAATAACACAGCATTATTTTAATGAACACTTGATCATCAGGAGCAAAAGAGGCAGCTGCAGCAATAAATATTATCAACATATGAAAATTTCTGCTTGACTTTAACATCAATAATGTAGGGATGATCAGTTGAGTAGGTATATATATTTATGTGTGTGTGTGTACAGTTTTGGCTTAATTACTGCTCTAAGTATGATGTTCTTATGGCCTTTATTGAGTCTATTATCCAGCTAATATTCAATTAACCAATTACTAAATCAGTTGACAGTTATTTCAGTAATTTATCACAATTGATCCAAATCTTAATCTTTTATATTAATACTTTATATTAATACTTTGCTTTTTCTGCAAGTCTCAACTTTGATATTCAGGAAAACTCTTATGTTTTTGTATTATATTGGTATTTGAGTGACTTTAAGTGCTCTTAAGGATAAAATGTATTGAAATAAAAAACTTTTTATTATAGTTTAGCAGTAGCCCGAGGTTAAACGTAAGAGCCGACTAAATATTAGATCCAAGTAGCCCTTTGCAAATGCAATATCAGTTATAATAGCACTGGAACGATTGTTAGATATACTGTTAAACTTTTCTGAGATGGATTTTGATGTAGTAGAAAAAAACAGACATGTCGACGTCGCGCATGGAAAATGTATTGATAACATTTTATTGATTTAATTTCAGTTTGCTGAATGTGATCAAAATGTTTGAGGAACCACCTTGTTGAGTTTGATGTGTTTTACACCAGTTTTATTGAAATACCCTAAACAAGTTCAACAAGTACAAAGATCATCGGGTTTAATTTAGCATTTAAAGATTTGGAAATGAAAAGTAGAAGCGGTTCTATGTGTAAACCTGTCGCCCTCCTTCCTCTGCAGCCTGTGGAGAATCCACCCTCTCTGAAGCCGTGGGGCTTCAGCCCCGCTGTGGAAGTGGTGCAGCCTGTGGTGCCGCAGCCGCAGGTGGTCTTTCTGCAGCCGGTGGTCTCCCGCCAAGCCTCTGCATCCTCCAAGGAGACCGCCTCCAAGCACAGACGCTCTAAAAAGTATCTTCCAATCTTAAAGTCCTACCCCAAGATCGCCCCGCATCCTGGGAACAGCTCTGCTTCTTCAGGAAGGGGAACCGCTTCTTCTTCCTCCTCTTCATCGGGGTCAGAGAAATGTAGCTCGTTGACCTCCAATCTTTGGGAACAATGTCCTAGAGAGAAGGTGCAGAGATCTCTGTGTAGCAGCACCAGCAACTCCGGAGCTGCTTCCCCGAGTCTTCCCGGTACTCCCAGTACTCCCAGTATCATGTCTCCGCTGCTCCAGAGCAGACTCTCCATCCCCGCAGCAGAAACCAGCAGGGGCGACTCGGCCCCCACGCCGCCCTTCGATCACTCCAAGAACCAGGCGCTCACGCTGGACAGCATCTCCTCTCTGGAGTGCAACGCAAGCGATGGCAGCCCGGACACCAAGAGGAAGCGCTTCTGCAACACGTACAACATCCTGAGCCAGTCGGGCCTGCTGGACATCACGCTCCGCACCAAGGAGCTGCTCCGGCAGAACCAAAGCACGCAGAACGAGCTGGACCGGCTGAAGAAGCACACGGACCTGTTCCTCCAGGCACTGCAGAGCGGGGACACCAGCGTCTGCATGAAGCTGCTCACCAGTCTCCAGGAGGAGGACGGGGACAGAGCTGCTCAGCTGTGAGCCGGTTGACTCAGAGGAGGACCAGGAAGTGCGGGGGAGAGGAGGTGGTGAGGCGCGGCGAGGCAGATGGGCTGAAACTAATGCGCTCCACATTAGCGACCCCTCCCCCCGACACGCAGACAGACGACACACTGTGGCCTACATTTCAGCTGTCATTTGGCTTCGGGTCGCTTCCTGATGCACCAAACGAACCTAAAAATCATCAAAGAACTTGTCCGCTTGCACTCTGCTTATACGATGTTCCATAACACTGTAGCTAGATCCTGCAAATCTCCTTCACTAATGAGTCTGAGGGACAGATTCAGTCCAAAGTCTTTTTGCAATGCACAAAAATAATTTTTAATATATTTAGTTAATTAAAGCATCAACAGACATTAATTACTGCAGACTCCAACTTTTTAGAAGCGTTTTATCTAACCGGGCTGCAAAAGGATTCATTCCGACTGCGTACTAATAAACTGGAGTTGTGTTTATTAGGGATGCACCAATTTCCTCCTAAAGTGCACCTGATAATCTGATAACAGGCCGTTTTGTTACGTCATCTCTCATTCATTTGACTTCCTAAACCTGATTCCACAGGATTGTTTGACTGACTCCAGGTGAAAAAGTTTGGACATGTTGAAAATATTAAAGAGCATTTTGCCTGTTTGTAGCATAAAACAGCCAAAAGTGGATGAAGTGTACTTATCTTCTGCTTGTCATGAGGTTCTGTTTGAGCTGTTTTGTGTTTTTGTATTGTGATCTCATCAGGTTGGCTGATATTCGTGCTCAAATTGACTGGAGGAAAAAAAAATTGTTTAATAGCCAGTTAGATTCCTCTGTGATGACGGTTCGTAGTGCATATCGGTCACTTCTGAATGGGCATGTACTCTTTTTGTCAGCTTTATTGTTTTTAAATATTCAGAACAGTGAAACGTAAGGTGACTGAGTCGTCTGTTTTTGTGTTGTCTTTTTTTCTGTATTTTTTTTTGTATATATATTTTTTAAAGTGTATATTTAAATTTATTTCTGTTCAAAATGACAGAAGTATTAAGGCAGCTACTGATAAAAGCCAGTAGTTTTCAACCTCTTCAATCCAAATGTGTGTTTTGTTTTTTTTTTTGCTCTAAATTTAAATTTGTTTTTAATAGATCATGGCCTTCAAACTTTAATTATGTGTAAGTCGAAGAAGAAATTTGCACTAAAATCTAAGAAAAGCTTTGCAGCAATTTGTGGCAGAATTAAATGGCAGCTGTGGCGCTGTAGTTTATTTAAGATGAACATCATTTTTTACTTTTTTATTTTTACACTAGGTGCATTTCCAGACATTAAAACTGCACAGCCTGAGCGGTGTGGTGATTTGTATTTTATTTAGCTAATTGTAGTCAACTCGTAGCCACGGTTTGATATTTGTTGCTCATACTGAGATAAAGTGGTCCATATTTAACATCCCCAGTAAAATGAGGTTTAGAATATCGCCATCGAAACTGCTGTAAATAGAAAAATGTTGTTTAAAAGGTGTGCGATGGAGAATGTGAGGAAATATTTCTTCAAAGCTCGAAATTACAAACAAAATGTGTAATTTTGTTTGTAAATTACACATTTTATCCCATTTTAATGACGGTTTTTGCTTTAATAGGCACGTCAACAACTCTGTTTTCCACACTGTCGTTTAACATATGAAGCACAGTTCACACTGAAATATTTTTCTATTAAATATAAAGCGGATGTTTTGTGCCTGCTTCACAAAATCGATTCAGCGTGAGCAAAGAGGAGCTTTGTGTTAAAGATAGTGGAGGTCATCATCACTCCTCCCATTGTTTTTCACTGTAGTGCAACATTTCCACTCTCAGCTTTATGCCGTGGAGTCTTTTAACGTTTTACGGTTTGTCCCAATATTATACCCGTTGATCTGAATTGATCTCTACGTGTTGATAAATATCTGGAAAACCTCATGAGTTAAAAGTTATTCACCTTCTGACACAGACTTGCCAATACAAACCTTTTTGTTTTTCTCTCCGATACTATTTACTTGTCTGTTTACTGCCTGACCTTTGACTTTGGTGCTTGAAAAGAGGCCACAGCTTAGATTGTTTCCCCCCCTCTAAACTAAATAAAATTTCTCATTTGTTATTTATTCTCTTTAAAGCCTTAAAGTATCCAAGGTAGAGAAGTGAAGCGTTTCCTTTTGTGAAGACATAAGCCGGTTTCACAATTTCAGTTTGGCTTAAATGGTTCATTTGTAGAATGTTTCTGAGACGGAGATTAATAAATCTATTATTTAATTTACTTTATTTAATTTTTTTGATGGGCTTTAGCTGACTCAAAATCTTCCTGTTGGGATACAGAATATGTGCTCTTGCAATTTAATGAACAACACTAGATTTTATGTACAATGGGATACTTTTGAAGTATGTTTGAAAATGGGCAGCTTTTCGTCTGAGTATTTTCAAAATGTTAAGAATTGGGATTGTTCGTTAAAAATGGACGAATGGCGATGTAGATACTGCGAGCAAACATTTTTTTAAAAGGTGTAATAAATAAATGAGTTTAATTGAGTCATTCTGACTTGCAAGCAATAAGTTCTTGTTTTCTAACATTTGTGGTTGGTGAACATAGAAAACTGACTAAATCATAACTTTGTATGAGTTTTAATGTGAACTCACTTCAATAAGACTTACGGTTTGGGTTAATATCCTGTTTTGTATGTTTACATCAGTGCTTCTCAATTATTTTCCGTTACGCCCCCCATATCAAGAAGAAAACTATTCGCGCCCCCCACTCCCCACCGTGACTATCCATGTCTACTGCAGGCAGTATCAGCTCCTCTGCTATGGTGTGGGGCTTTTTGCACTGCGCAATTTGGTACGCCACCTTATATGATGCTAGCAGCGCTCGATGGTTTACTGAAATAGCCTTCACAAAGCGGGATGACTGTTGGCAAATTCAGCACGTTTTCGCTGAAAAAACTCTAGCGGCTTATCGGCGTGATTGGGATGTAACGTATTTAAGTGACGCGCTAATTTATTTGGCTTCATGCTGTCCGCTGCGAGCATTTTTAGACACAGCAAACACACCGGTCTTTCCTCTTCTCCAACTGTAGTCACAGTGAAGCCAAGCGCTAAATACGCTTCGTCGTATTTCCTCTTCTTAGCTTTCGGTTGACTTTCTGTTGTCTCATTATCTTTGTCTCTCTCCGCTTTTCTTTTCATCCCTGTTAAAAACTTTTTCATGTTGGGGGTTGTTGAATAACGGAGGCCATAGACAGAACGCAGTCTGAGCTTTTTGTTGACTTAACACTGCTAACCAAGGCAAACCTGTTGTCTTGTAAGTCGTAAAATGTTGCACTGTCGCAAACGTGACAGACGTAACAATGAGAGCGCCACTGCCGCCTACTGTGCGCAATTACACTTTATACTAGTTCGGCCAAAAAAAAAGCCTGTTCCCCAGGATCACACGCGCCCCCCCAGGTATCGCACCGCGCCCCCCAAAGGGGGCCCGCCCCACTATTTGAGAAGCACTGGTTTACATTAAGGATGTAATTGCCTGTGTAATAAATATTTAAAATAATACATATCCATATGATAATGGTTTCTTATTTGCTCCATTTTTTTCAGGTTTTTCTAAATATTAAAAAACAAGGTGCAACCAGTTGCTAAATTGCAAGCTGCAAATATCTACATGCATTTTTCTTCTCTGCCCGTACGTAAATGCACACATTTGACCGCTGGATGGCGATAGTGAGACGCAAGAGTTTTGCGCGGATGAGCTTGAAAATTGTACCTCTGGAGCCTCCGTAGATCAAAGCTGCCTTCTGTTTTGAGAAAATTCTAAAGCTGTTTGGTTTTGTCGCAGTTGCAGCGCAGTCGCTCTGAGGAGCGGCTAGCTTTGTGGCGTTGAAGAGTTCAGATAGTTAAGCAGACACACAGTCAGTCGGTGGCCATGTTTCAAAGGGGAATGTAGCTGTATTTTGGAGACTTAGCCCCGGGTAGCTAGTTTTCTCCTGCTAGCAAAGCTAACAAGGTAACCTGTCAGTTTTATCCAACGCGGTTTTCAATAAACACCGCCGTGGCGTCCTCTCGCCTTCGGTTTTGCTGTTGTAAATGTAAAAACTTTGAGTGTATGAAGCTGTTTGTTGTCGCTGGTCGTGGGATGAGTTTGACTCAGAGATGACCTACAGCTGCTGACCCACAGGAAGTCTCACCCTTTTACGGTAAGCATCAAGCTCCGCTCTGTTCCTCTATCTGAGCTGACCTCATGTTTACAGTCACTGTGTCGACTGATTGGTTCTTGTTGTGTTTGCATTAAACAGCTGAGAGCTTCACACAGACTGACTCATGCTTTCTGATGAGCTGGACTCTAAACCAGAGGTGGGTAGAAGCCAGCTTTTGTCACTTGCATCCAAGCTTAAAGAGTGACATTATTGTAATATCACCACGATGGCGGGTGTTTGTTTTTGTCTTGTCAGCTGCTGGTGCAGTTTGTCCAGAATGCCTCCATCCCATTGGTGCAGAGCCTGGAGGACTCGGAGTCCAAACACTCCTGCCTGCCTCTGCTGGCCCCAGCTGAGAGCTCCTTGTGCTCTCCTCTGGAGCTCACAGGTCGGATCACAGTGCTGCCTCATTGTTGGACATCTTGTTTCCACTTAAAGGGGGATTAGAATGATGCCAAGTTCACTGCTGTTGTTTTGTGTTTCCTCATTAATACTTACCCTAAAACGGATCATAATGCTAAGAAAAAGAACAAATACAAGCACACATATATTTCTATCCTCCTGACACTCATGTCAAACATATTCTGTGTATTGAAAAAAAATGGAGCTGAAATAGACAAAAACATTTTTTTAGCAAATACACAGAGATGCACCCATAAAGCTTTAGCTGGCCTATGCTGAAGTTTCTATTTAATTTTTAACGGTTCAGATGTTCCTTTCAATAATTATAATCACTGTATAATAATGTTAAATGAAGGTAGAGAACTGTTTTCTCTAGTAATTATAAGTTGCTTTCATAATTCTTATAACAGTTGTTCTGAAATCTTCACATTCAACATTATTTATGAAATAATTTAACTTATTTATCCTTTAAAAGGCCTTGTTTGTTTTTGTTGTGTTAGAGATTGGTAGTAATTGTTTTGTTTTTTTCCCTCTTGATAACCAAATCAGGTACTAAAATTCCACACTTTACCCCTGAAATAGATTTTTGTATCTGTTTATAATAAATGCAAAAATAATTCAACAAATTTTCAAAATAGTAACTGAACATTTCTATCTGTTCAGTTTGCACCGGTACAAAAAAAAAACCCAATCATATAACCAGAGTTAAATCTCAAATTTCCACTTGAAAACACCTTTAACTTAAATGTAGTTTTTAAATCTGACACTTTTATCATGCGGAGGAGGTGAATCCAGTTACTTTGACCCGGTTTAGTGAGGTAAATTTATCCAGTAAATCTCTAGCATCGTAACAAGCTCATTTTCTCCCACTTTTCTGTTCAACCGTATCAGAGCAGCTGCTCTGTGACTTTGTTTTTTTGTGGAACTTTGCAACTTCAAATCGTTCTGCTATTAGCTTTCAGAAAAGTAATTGTTTCTGTCGCCGCTATAAAAACCACCGGCTCGCTTTAGAGAATTTTCCTAGACTGCAGCAAACGAAGCAGGTGCAGTGAGGCCGTTCTGCAGTGGTGACGTGGGTGTTGCTGTGCAAGAGGAAAAAGGTAAATCTGCTCAAACACGCAGCTTTGTTGCATCTGTTTTAGTGAATTGGAGAAAAAAAAGGTCAGTTTTTCTCTGGTAGGAAGCTGCAGTCATGGTTGGTCCGCTTGTGGATCTCCTCGTTTCACCACGTCCCTGCAGCAGTGCTGCATTGCTTACGCCCAATTATTCACATCGGCTTCTTCTGACTCTGCTTGGTCTAATGAGCTGTTAGAGAGAGAAGCGCAGAATCAGGCTGGCTGAATTCAGAGACTCCTAACTTGGTTTAAACCCCCGAACGCCACGTTAATAGTTTGCATTCTCTAACCTTTATAACATTAAAACACTAGTATTATTAAAACATGACATTCTTATGGTATTACAACCTGGAATAATCAAACATTTATGATTAACATGGTTAAAAATACAACTGTTATAAGCTGAGAGGACAAATCTTCTTGGCTCTGATAGTTTTATATATCTGTCTTTTTGATGAAGCTGGCTCTTAAATGTGTTAACAGCCTTGTCCCAGAGGTAGTCGTATTATTTTAAAGACACTCAAAATAAAGCTACAAACAGAGACTGTAATTAAATAAGACAGGCAACATGTTCTAGAGAACTCCACAGTTGGAACAGTTTGTCAACAAAATTGTTGACTAATTTATTTATTTATTTACATCCTGGATGAAAAAAAATGCTTGCAAACAAAGCAAATCTGTGCGCTCTGAAGTCTAGCTCAAAACGATCAGACACGTCGTGGTTTTCATCTTTTAGTTTTGCCAGCGTGTTTCTTCTGACGGGAAGTAAAATCAACTCGAGCTGCGTGATAAATCATCGTTAACTTTGGTATCGGCTGATGGCAAAGACTTGGAGCTAATCCCAATTTCTCTACGGTGTCCGCTGGTATTTTGAGCAGCGGTGTCTTACATTGCTATCCAACAAAAGGCAGCTTAGCAAGAACAAAAAGAGTTTAATTGCAAAGGTTTGACTCGTCGCGTCCTTAACTTTGGATGATCTGTGATTGGCCGTGTGAAACTGATCTCATCCACCGACGTTGTCTGCTTCTGCAAAGGTCTGAAAGTCAGCCACTGTCCCGGTTTGTTCTGCTGTGAGAGAGAGCAGCTAACACTGGTCGCCCAATTCCTGCCAACGTTACAAATGAGCAAACTGTCACTTTATTTAGCAACTTTTCAGACGAAAAAAAATGGCAGCAGCCAAAATCAGAATCGACAGATCAGGGTTTCCAAAGATCAGTGATCAGACTAAAAACTGAAATCTGTTCTTCGGAAGCTTTGTGTGTGATTTTCTTATGCCATTATATTTACTTTTGTACATAATAGTATCCCTTTATAAAGTTCAAACCTTTGTGTTGTAACATAAGTAGAACAAGCTGACATTAGCTGGTTATTTAGTTGAGGTTTCTGTTCAGAAGGAGCCTGCAGGCTTTGTTTGAAACATTCGCTTGGCGCCATTTTTAATGGAACATTTAAAGAGCGATGGCGGCGCTCATTTTGTTTCAGTGTCTGTCTCTGCTCTTTGAAACTGGGAAAATTTCATTCAAGCATTGGAAGCTAGGTGGTATATACTAATTTTTTTTTTTTGTCTTTTTTTACAAATTTATTGCTTCAGTCTCCATAACAGAGTAAGGTTTGGCTCGTCTTCGGTCAACTCAAAGAAAGGACGATTTTTGAATACATTCGCTGTCATTTGTAGTTTAAGAAGAAAAAAATAAAAGCAAAAAGAAATTGATTAGAATTGAATCAGATTTTATTTTTGCTCCACATCACTTTTATTTATTGTTTAACCGTTTCCCAGGAGGAGGTCTGAGCCACGAGCCGGACAGTTCTTCCTCGCTGCCGGAGTTCGGCGCCGTGCCGCAGCAAAGCCCGCTGGTGGTCCAATCCCACGCTCAGCCTCCGGCGCCGCAGAGCCCCCCGGCTATGCTGCACGACCTGCAGCAGCCCGACAGCACCTCCTACGTCCTGCTGAACCTCGCCAAAGGTAGAAATGCCCAGAGCATCGCTCACTGTACCGACCGGTTAATGAGCTATTTACTCGTAGCTTTTCCTGGTCGACTCCCAGCTGCGTCTCTGGACTTTAGCGAAGAAATAAATCGAGAGAGTTCAGTTCTGAGACAGACTGTGAATTTATCATCTGAGACTCAAGCAGGTAATTAAAAATGAACAAGAGAATACATAATGAAAGGAATCCTTGGCTGTGGTCCACATCCGGCATAAATAAGTTTCACTGAAGCGGCTCCAATCTGAGTGCGTTTCTGTTCTTTATGTTCTCAGCACAGCAATGAAACGAGGTGACACATTTTACGCTTGGGAAAAAAAAAAATTTGGTGAGAAAGAAAGAAGATCTCTGGCAAGCGTGTCCTTTAAGTTCATTAGCCCATCGCGGGAAAGTTTCTTCACTTGTGTGTGTTCTGATTAAATGTAGAGCTCTGACCTAGGATACTAAACTCTGATTTGAGTTTTTTTTTTGTTTTCTTTTTAAATTCTCCTCTCGCCTCAGGCATCACGGCCTCCTCCGAGTCGCTGATCTTTGCCGCCGACGGCGCCGTGGACGACGAAGACGACGGCGTGCCGTCAGACTACGGGATGGACGGCAGCGCCCCGTGGTACCTGCGGGTTCAGGAGCTGGCGCACGACAGCCTGATTGCGGCGACGCGGGCGCAGCTCGCGCGAGACGCCAAGGCCAGCCAGGACGCCAGAGCGGCGAGCGTCAGCAACGGTGAGGCGGCGGAACCGTCACCAAAGCGATTTTTTTCCGTCCCGTCGGCGATTTATAAGGGACATTCAGTCTGGAATGGAAACAAAAACAAGAAGCTGGCCCGCGTCGCTGCCAACTTCTAAGACCAAGCAGAAAACCGGGTCAGGGAGATGAAGCTGTTGCATAATCAGCAGTGACTAAAACTGAGCCCAACACTTGCCATCACAAAGGCTCCAAATCAGACCGAATTAGTCACTCTCTCTTGATGCTTCTGTCAGTTTGACAGCAAGTATCCCGCAGACTTGTAAATACCACAGCGTTTCCAGGCGCTGATCGTCAGCGGCTGCGTGTATGGTCGGGCTCCGCTGCTCATCCATCTAATAGACTCCGACCACGCAGTCGTCAGGGTGCGTTCACGGCTTTTAACTCTTGGCTTGGAGAAAAGGTTTTTTTTTTACAAGGAAGTCGTGAAAACGAAGCGGGGATAAAACGGATGTTTAAACTCTGTCAGGGTCTGAGGCTTAAAAAAAAACACAAAGACGATCATGCGTAGTTTGACTTTTATATTAGTTTTTGAACCACATTTACATATTTAACTTTATCTAAATCTCTCAACTTTTATATACCTCATGTAAATGCTGGCTGAAGCTGGTGAGAAAATGTTATCATCCGCAGTGAAAAAAGGCAAATTGCAGTTTGCAAATTCTCACACTGACGAAGATGTTTGTTTCTTGAGACTTGTCCTGTGGTCGGATGAAACTAAAGTGAAACTGTTTGGTTGTAAAAACTTTGTTACATTTTGAGGAAAACCAGGGATGTTTTTATCATCCTAACGCTGAAGCATGGAGGTGTTGTGGGTTTGTTTTTCCGCCACAAATCTCTTCACAGTACGATGACGCATTAGTGTTTGTTAAATATCTAATGTTTTCATACAGCACTACACTATTTAATGATTATTGTCAGCAGGGAGATCATTTCTGTTTTCCACATTGGTTGAAACCTGTGGCCTGCTTAATAATGTGGAACATCCTTCTTAAGTAGATTTCCTTTAATTGAGCTCAAACTAATGAGCCAGCTCTCCGAAATTAGTTATAGTGATTCAAAGAGCCCTGACACACGATACCATCTATAAATTTAGTAGCACAACAAAAAATGAAGTCTTTATGACACTTAAATCCAATTTGCATAATAATTATGACACCTGGTGTCATTATAAACTGAAAAAAGTTACAAAAAGAAATTCTCAAAAAAATGTCCTTGCTGTATTTCCTGGCATTTAGCAAACAGAATCAATGACAGTAATTTGTCAGATTTTAAATTTTAGAAAGTGAGAAAAATGCAGTGTGTGCGTCTCTTAATTCAGTTTCAGCGGCATGTAATCATGATTAGTTGCCGGTTTTCTGAGTCTTTACTGTTGCACAGTGTTCCCTTCACTGTCTCAGCTGCTAAAAATACACATTGAGTGGGAACGTCCTGGACATTTTCTCCGTCCACCGTCTAAAAATATTAACCATGCGCAGAGCATCAATGCATGGCACGAGACAAATAATGTCCTACGAGAAAAAGCTTTGATTGTGATTCAATGATGTCCTGGACTGAAATGGACTCCAGTCCATGTAAGTCATTCGCCAATAAAACATAAACAAAAGTCCTGAAAGACTTTTGGGAAAATATTCAGGAAAAAAAAAAAAAAGAATCTTTTCTATTCATTTGAGAAAAAACACAGTCACACTTTCTTTTTCACGTTCAGATCTGAAAAACCAGAAAATGAAATCTGTGAGGGGTTAAAAAAAACAAGTCTCATCATTTATGTTGCATCTGACAAAACGTTTTAGCATCTGGTCACAAAAAGACAGACATTAGTAAAAAAAACAAACATTTGCTAAGCAGCTAATAAACGTCAGGAACGAGCTGCCCGCCTGTAACTCCTGCTAAAAGTAAGACGCGTGATGAACGGGCGTCTCTTCCAGAATTTATGAAGCCCATAAAATCGTCGAAATACACGCCAGCGTTCCGGCACGGTGCCACTGCTGTTATCAGACTGTTTACACAGTCTCTTTCTCCCGTCTGAATCCAGGCCCGAGCGTTTTTCTGCGCATTGTCTATTATTTATGGCCGTATCAGTCTGTGCATTCATCTCCTCTTGCTGTGAAGCCTCTGCTTTGATTTGAAACAGACCTTCAAGTCTTGCAGCACGCAGCGCCGTTGCAACCTATTGACTCACATCACAAGTCAGCACTTCATCACAGGCCGTCCTCGGCTGCCTCCGCAGGTTGCCGTTGAGAGAGTTTAGCCGTGACATTTGGGGGCATTATGACTCCCAGCTACATGTCTGATCTCTGAACACCTCCTGAGTCAGTCTGTGGCTGGAGGTCGTGGCGGAAACGTAACGCATTAGGACGTTTTCGTCACCTCTCTCCTGCAGGTTTTTGAAAAAATTTATTTATTTTTTTATTCCTCTTTTTCACATTTTCAGCCTTGGATCTTAAATGTTGTTTCTGATCATTTGCACATGAAACATAGAGCAGACAATGCCTGTATTTGTCATACTTGTGTTTAAAATGGAAATAAATAGAATCCCCCGACTTTGAAGCTAAACAGCAACTTCCAGATAAAAAATGAGCAGGAAATTATTATTTATTTTTTTTCCAACTCAATTTATGTAGTGGCAGCTCACAAATCTTTATGGCATTCACAGGTAAGCAGAACTCACAGTATCATGAAAAAATGAAAATTTTTTGTCTCTCATGTCAAAGATATAGACGAGTGACATGTCATCATGTCATTTCCATGATTGTGGATGATAATGAAAACCCCAAATTCAGTGCCTCACATTGTGAAAATGTTATAGAAAGTTGAGTGGAAGAACAAAAGCGTGGTAGGCAGCGATTAAATCAACCGGTGCATTACTGCTGTAATTCATGCAAAAGGAGCCCAGAATCCTGACGTTTCTGTTCACAGTGTCCATTTCATTGATCTTTACTAAACTTGTTTGCAGGAAAGCTGCGTTATCCAAAAGCCATAATAATCAAAATTGAAAAAATTAAGGTTTGGAATATGTCACTCTGCTTAATGAATCTACATATAAGCTTTACCTTCTGAAACGAGGGAGAAAAATCTCAAACTTTTTCGTGACGTTCACATTTTTATGTATTTTTTGCTTTCGCCTCACCATGCCATATGGTGAGTTAGCATGGAACCGAAACTGCTGGATTCAAGCTGCTGCAATTGACGCCCTCCCACTAACTCGCAGTGCATTAGACAAGTTCCCATCAGCTCGTCACTGGCAGAAAAGTGAAAAAAACACAAAAAACACGTGGGCTGTCGGAGCCGCTCGAAGCGGGGCGCCCGGTCAGGCTAAAAGGGAGTGATTGCATTCAGCTCTGAATTGTTTTCTTTTCCCCGCAGCTGTTCAGCGGGTCGCAGTCGGTGGCTGGTGATTTTATAGAGTCGGGGCTCCAGAGGCCGGCCACCTGATTACTGCGCGGCAACCGCTCGCTCGCTCACTCCCCTTTCCTCCTCCCCCGGTTGCCTAGGTGACCACCACACGCACGGCCCGGTCGAAGACGGTGGAGACAAGCGGGAGCTGCCGCCTCGGCCCGGCCGGCCCCTCTCCAAGCAGGTCCTGCGCTGCTCCTTCGAGGGCTGCGGCAGGACGTTCACCTGGCCGGCTCACCTCAAGTATCACCTCAAAACGCACAGGTAACGTCAAGCAGAACTAACTAACTAACTAACTGAGTAATGCTTTACTAACAAACAAGTAAAGCATTACTTTTTGCCAAGCAAATGAACATTAAAAATGTTGATGTTCCACTTCCTACTGCTGGAAGTTTGTTCTACACGTCCAATCAGAGCTTTAACAAAATGCGTATTTGTGTATTGAAACGGCCTAGTCAAATCCCTGACCTCTATCTCACTGAGAATCTTTACTTTGCAATGGAGAATGACGAAGTATAAAAGTACAAAGATGTCCGACAGTAGGGCCGCCTTCGTAGGATTTCCCTTGGCATTTCCTAGCAGAACTTCCAGGTATATTTCAAAATAAGAGCAGCATAAATCACTGTTTTATTAGATGACAGTCGTGATTTTCTTCTGAGATGTTTAACAGCAAGGAGGGTTAAATGTTGATACCTTGACATAAAATCAACATAACAAAATCCACATTTGTAACTGAAGTAATCCAAAACTCGAATGAGTATAATAATTTTAAAAAATGTTGCATTAACTGGCCTTGATTGCACCTTTAACTTCTCATTTTCTTCAACTTTTTAAAGCAGTAGCTGCAGATGAGAGATTTGTGTCAGTTTCTGTAAGATTTCTGCAGATAGAATTAGCTAATCAGTGTTAGCGCCATGGAAAGGCCCACACTTTAGGCAAATATTCCTTTATGCTGCAAATTTGTCTGAGTTTACAGGCATCAGTCACACTCTGGAAGTTGCTCATGTTGGATCTAAGCTGGGCACGAAGCTTTCTGTATTCTCTCTAAGTTGAATGCGTGTGCTCCTTGCGGTCCTGCTTATTGTCCAGGAACGACCGGATGTTCCAGTGCAGCGCCGAAGGCTGCGGGAAGAGTTTCTACGTGCTGCAGAGGCTGCAGGTTCACATGAGGACTCACAATGGCGAGAAGCCCTTCATCTGCAAGGAGAAGAACTGTGGCAAGAAGTTCACCACTGCTGGAAACTTAAAGAACCACAGGCGCATACACACAGGTGGGCAGGCGGGGGAGATGGACGTCTTAATAAGTTCAAAGACGCTGCAGGCAATAACCGGCTGAGGTCATTTACCGGTGGAACGCTTCCTTGGCGCAATTAAGCTGCAGATTTGAAGAGTCAGCAGTGCCGCTGCCTCCGTTTCACTGCTGCACTTAATTCAGGGTGACATTTAGATCTTTGATGGTCAGTTTTATAGTCGGAATCTTCTAGTGATTAGTTCACAGACCACACGCAGCAAATGAAGTTAGAAGATGCTGCTTCCTGAGGGTGCGCTAGGGGTCACCGTTTTATGAAACATCCTTCTCATAAGCTTTTGCTCTTCGAAACGAGGCAAAAACGACTGGAATGCGATCAAAAGATCCATTACCCGAGTAAAAGGAGGAATCCTATCAGTGTCAGTTCTCTAGCTGGACCCAGAAAGAACAAGTTTGGGTTTTTTGTTAACCACTTTAGCACATCAAATTTTTTCCTAGCTTTTTGCAGTGATCACATGGCTGCACCGCGTTAGAAAATATTGCTATGCATGCCTATTCTTTTCTCAAATCTGCCTCTGGACATACCCATAGGGGGCAGTGTAGCGCCAAGCTAAAACTATGTAAACCAATCACATGGCTTGAAAAAAGAAACACAACTTCCTGTTAGGAATGTTGTGTCAGGAGGTTCATTTGGTTGAACTACTTTTAAGTGGCGTGTTGGAATATAAAGTTATTAAAACACAAGACCATGTTGATTGAGAATCAGGTTAAAACGTGGCATATTATTTGTCGCAAACTCAGCCCTAAATTTCCTTTTTACAGTTTTCTCAAATTTTCACTTTGGTCAGAGTTTTTATGAATGTTTTTAGTGATATTAAACTGCAAGTTTGTGTGGCTGAGAGGCCAAAACATATAGAAATGTATCAATTTTCCAGATACCTGTCTTTCTGCAGCTTTCTGTTTGGGGATCATTTTCTGCTCTCTTATGCTTCCCTCTTTACGTACTGAGCAGACTTCGCTGTTCTCTGCTCGTTTTGCTCCGATATCAAGAGAGGAATGCACAACAAGCTGCATTTTCAGAACAAATGACCTCAGTGATTGGACTGAACGTTATTACCAACACGTCCCTTTTAATTAATGATTCAATTACACAGAATCAGCTGCTCGCGTGCCACGAGTGTCGGACCCGTTCGTTTTCTGTTACCCCTCTACGCCAACAAGCTAATTATTTACCATGTAGAAACAACATTTATCCGAAACGGCGATTTGTCTCATTAGCGACGTTGGTTTGCTGTTGTTCTGAACACTTGCTTGCGCTGAGTGGCACTTGTTAATGTGCTGGTTTAAACCAACTCTAGAAACTTGAATTAGGTTTCACGTGTTCACAGATGTGGTTTATTTTTGTCGTCGTCGTTTCTTCTTTCAGGTGAGAAGCCTTTTCTGTGCGAGGCAGATGGCTGCGGGCGGTCCTTCGCCGAGTACTCCAGTCTGCGGAAACACATGCTCGTACACTCGGGTGAGCCAGGCCACAGTTGTTTCTCCGCGTAATCCGTCAGATGTTTCGCGTGCGGCAAAAGAGAGAGACGGCATCGCTTTGAAACGCCTCCCTGCCTCCCAGGTGAGAAGCCTCACGTGTGCGGGATCTGTGGGAAGACTTTCTCTCAGTCCGGCAGCAGAAACGTTCACATGAGGAAGAGGCACGGGGAAGAGGCGCTGGCTGCTGACGGCAGAGAAACAGGTCTGCTTTTCACACACGGTACACACACACGGTACACACACACATCCGCCCACTCAGTGCGAGCGGTGGATATGCTGATGGCTGGACTGCGTCGCTTCAAGCAGCTCATGCTACCTGCTCCAAGATGGCTTTAATTCAAGCTTAAAGCGAGGAACAGCCGTTCTTCACAACGACACCATTATTTAGAACCATGTCCTTAAATCTCCAACTGCCTTGTTTAAACACCCTCTTTGGGGTTCCTGTAATGTAATGTATTTAAAATAATAATGAAGTTAAATACTTTGGCCAATAAACCTGATGGATTTAATGAAGGGAAGGACAAATAAGATGCAATATTTAGGTGATATAAAGGATCCTTATATCTAAAATTAAAACCTTAAAATGTCTTAATTAGGCCCGAGCAGCTAAGCGCTGCGAAGGCCTATTGTTTTCCTACTGTTTCTTATTATTATTCTGCCCCCCTAAAGAGGGGCCTTTTTGGGGGCTTTATCATTTTCAAAAACTCACCAAACTTGGCGGACGCGTAAAGGGAGTTTCAAAATTTTGTATTTTAAGGTCATTGCAAAAATCCCATAAAAAATGGCTCAATAGCGCCACCTACAAATTTTCAAAGGACCCTTTGCTATTCACTTACTTTATCCTAGAGACATGAAATTTGGTACACTTGTAGAGCTCCCCAAGATGCTCAAAATTTACAATTAATGTCATAGTGCAAGTATCACAGGAAGTCAGACATTTTGGATTGAAGGTCCAATTTTGGGGCCATTTTTGCCGTTTACAGCCTTCGTATTTGATCGAACTCCTCCTAGGGATTTCGATTGATCGGCTTCAAACTCGGTCAGTCTGTTCATAAGGCATGTCCCATCTAAAGTTATCAAAACGGTGAGTTTTTGAGTATGCTGAAGGTGGGTTAGCAGGGGTCAAAGTTCACCTACTCGCCATAAAAAAATAAACTGCTATATCTCCTACACAGAAACTCACAGAGGCACCAAAGTTTCTGTGATTGATCATTATCGGGTCTCCTACAATACCCTATGGTCGAATGATGACATCACTTAGGCCACGCCCCATGAGAACAGGAAGTGTCATGTTTTACTGTGGACGGTCGCTATCTGACCCCTTTGACCTCATCAACATGAAACTGTGCCCAGACACAGAAGACATGTTGGTGTATTGAGGATTCCAAGCCCGACCAGCTTCAATGGAGCAGGTGGGCGTGGCGGCGTGGCGAAGTGACCTCTAACGCCATCGCCATACGTTTGGCTCTCAATTCCACATTTTCGGGCCCAGCTGCTCCAAACTCACAAGGATGGATCCTCATCCACTCCCCGACAGGAATCCATTACAATATTTGGTGGGCGTGGCCTAATTTCTCTATAGCGCCCCCTAGAAAACTTTAAATGATCAGCCCCAAGCCATGCTTTAACCTACAATTACGAAACGTTGTACACATGTGTACCATGTCAGGACTTACAAAAAAGTCTCTTGGAGCCATGGTCTAAACCCCACAGGAAGTCGGCCATTTTAGATTGAAGTTCAAATTTTGACCCCATTTTTGCCATTTACAGCCTTCGTATTTGATCGAACTCCTCCTAGGGATTTCGATTGATCGGCTTGAAACTCGGTCAGTCTGTTCATAAGGCATGTCCCATCTAAAGTTATCAAAACGGTGAGTTTTTGAGAATGCTGAAGGGGGTTAGCAGGGGTCAAAGTTCACCTACACGCCATAAAAACATAAACTGCTATATTTCCTACACAGAAACTCACAGAGGCACCAAAGTTACTGTGATTGATCATCATCGGGTGTCCTACAATACCCTATGGTCGAATGATGACATCACTTAGGCCACCCCCCTGAGAAAAGGAAGTGTCATGTTTTACTCTGAATGGTCGCTATCTGACCCCTTTGACCTCATCAACATGAAACTGTGCCCAGACACAGAAGACATGTTGGTGTGTTGAGGAATCCAACCCCGACCAGCTTCGATGGAGCAGCTGGGCGTGGCGGCGTGGCGAAGTGACCTGTAACGCCATCGCCATACGTTTGGCTCTCAATTCCACATTTTTGGGCGCAGCTTCTCCAAACTCACAAGGATGGATCTTCATCCACTCCCCGACAGGAATCCATCACAATATTTGTAGGGTGTGGCCTAATTTCTCTATAGCGCCCCCTAGAAAATTTTAAATGATCAGCCCCAAGCCATGCTTTAGCCTACAATTACGAAACTTTGTACACGTGTGTACCATGTCAGGACTTACAAAAAAGTCTCTTGGAGCCATGGTCTAAACCCCAGAGGAAGTCGGCCATTTTAGATTGAAGTTCAGATTTTGATCCTATTTTTGGTGTTTATAAACCATTTCAGTAATTCGCCACTTGGGGTCAGTATTGCTCCACAAATGAAATGGCAGATAAACAGGGTGAAGAACTATATCCGTATTTCGCCAGTAGGTGTCAGTGTTCCTCCACGGTTGATAAACAGATCCATGGGCGGATGGGCGCGAAACTTTGTGAGAGCGTTGCCATGAAATTTCTAAAAGGATAGAAATGTCTCAGATAATTTTTGTTGAATTAAATCATGCAGTAAATGTAGCGTTTTCTTACTTCTTACAAACCATTTCAGTAATTCGCCACTCTGAGTAAGAATTACTCCAACAATGAAATAGAGTGCTTTAGAAACACAGCTGAAAATGATGAAAAATTACGATCTGTAGTACTTCGACATGTGCATATGATCGGCTGTAAATTACACGTGGATCTTCCGACTGACGCCAAATTGGATACGTATGACCTTTGTTGACCTCTAAAGAGAACAACAGCATTGAAATATATTTTGGCTCCACTGCGCGTCCTACATTAATCCGCCAGCTATATTTCCTCGCTAAACCAATGAATCTGCACCACAATTTTTGCATTGTCAAGGAGCGCCTCCAAACGCATCAGTGCGTACCGCCTGGTGGACGGGCGTGGAAACTGCGCAACAACTTCTGTGTTAGCACGTGGCCAGCGTTGATGGAAACTGAGCAACAGCTTCCGCGGTGCGGGCGGAGGAGCTGAAAACTGCGTGAGAGCTTCTGTGGTGGCTGACGTGAGGCGACGGTTGCTAGTACCCCGCGGTGGCAATAGGCCGGAGCGGCGCTTGGCTGCGAGGGCCGTTCGAGGCTGCTTGCAGCTTTAATTATTATTATTATTCTTCCACCCAAATGAATTGGCTTTTTGGGGGCTTTATCATATTCAAAAACTCACCAAACTTGGCGGAGGGCTTAAGCCTGTTTAAAATTTACGTATTTTAAAGTCGTCGCAAAAATTGCAACAGAAATGGCTCTACGGCGCCACCTAGAAATTGTAAAAACACCCTTTTTTACCCTCTGCTATTCACTTACTTCATCGTAGAGACATGAAATTTGGTACACTTGTAGAGCTCCCCAAGACGCTCAAAATTTATAATTAATGTCATTGTGCAAGTATCACAGGAAGTCAGCCATTTCTGATTGAAGTTCCCATTTTGACCCTATTTTTGCCGATTTTTGCCGTTTACAGCCTTTGTATTTGATCTATCTCCTCCTACGGATTTTGATTGATCGACTTCAAACTTGGTCAGTCTGTTCATAAGGCATGTCCCATCTAAAGTTATCTAAACGGTGAGTTTTTGAGTATGCTGAAGGGGGGGTAGCAGGGGTCAAAGTTCACCTACTCGCCATAAATAAATAAACTGCTATATCTCCTACACAGAAACTCACAGAAGCATCAAAGTTTCTGTGATTGATCATCATCGGGTCTCCTACAATACCCTATGGTCGAATGATGACATCACTTAGGCCACGCCCCCTGAGAACAGGAAGTGTAATGTTTTACTGTGAACTGTCGCTATCTGACCCCTTTGACCTCATCAACATGAAACTGTGCCCAGACACAGAAAACATGTTGGTGTATTGAGGATTCCAACCCCGACCAGCTTCGATGGAGCAGATGGGCGTGGCGGCGTGGCGAAGTGACCTGTAACGCCATCGCCATACGTTTGGCTCTCAATTCCACATTTTCGGGCCCAGCTGCTGCAAACTCATAAGGATGGACCCTCATCCACTCCCCAACAGGAATCCATCACAATATTTGGTGGGCGTAGCCTAATTTCTCTATAGCGCCCCTAGAAAACTTTAAATGATCAGCCCCAAGCCATGCTTTAACCTACAAATACGAAACTTTGTACACATGTGTACCTTGTCAGGACGTACAAAAAAGTCTCTTGGAGCCATGGTCTAAACCCCACAGGAAGTCGGCCATTTGGATTCAAGTTCGGTTTTTTGACCCCATTTTTGCCGTTTACAGCCTTCATATTTGATCTATCTCCTCCTAGGGATTTCGATTGATCGGCTTCAAACTCGGTCAGTCTGTTCATAAGGCATGTCTCATCTAAAGTTATCTAAACGGTGAGTTTTTGAGTATGCTGAAGGGGGGTTAGCAGGGGTCAAAGTTCACCTACTCGCCGTAAAAAAATAACTGTTATATCTCCTACACAGAAACTCACACAGGTACCAAAATTACTGTTGTTGATCATCATCGGGTCTACTACAATACCCTATGGTCGAATGATGACATCACTTAGGCCACGCCCCCTGAGAACAGGAAGTGTCATGTTTTACTGTCAATGGTCGCTATCTGACCCCTTTGACCTCATCAACATGAAACTGTGCCCAGACACAGAAGACATGTTGGTGTATTGAGGATTCCAACCCCGACCAGCTTCGATGGAGCAGGTGGGCGTGGCGGCGTGGCGAAGTGACCTGTAACGCCATTGCCATACGTTTGGCTCTCAATTTTATTTTAAAGTTTTATTTTTTTTAATAATTTTGTTTTGTGGGTTAGTACAAACATTCATTAATTTTGGCTATAAATAATACAAACATCGTCATTCAGCAAAACTTTTATTGTGTTACTCAGCTCCGCTGAGTAACACATTCTGGTCAGTGTTGATGGAGTACGACTGGCCCCTGGTGGCGCAATAGTGGTACTGCTGGCGCAATACCATTATTGCGCCAGCAGGAGTCACTGGTACTCCATCAATGAGAAAACAGATCAAGTTCGGTTTTTTTCGGACGGCCGTGAAAACGTTTCCAGCGCGTCTGCCGTGAGATTTCCAAAAGGACAGCGATTACATTTAACCTGAAATGTTATATGTAAGCCCTAAGATAATTTTTGGCTTAAAACACGGAGTAAATGTAGCGTTTTGTTAATGACTGTTATTTCCTACCGCAAGTAAATGCATCATTTCCCTCGTCTCTGCCTTAATGGCCAGTCAAGGGCAAAAACAAATGTAAGCAATTTGATTGGTTGAGAAGGACTGCACGTACTGTAGCTGTGCTAATACTTACTGTACGTACTGGCAGTCGGCAGGAGACCGTACATGGTTGAGGTTCGGCGCTGTGGACTGTACATTTTTTTTTTGCTAAACTGTTGGAGCAGCTAAGTTTTCCTGAACATTATGCCTGGTTTATGGAGCCACAGAACCGGACCACGCTAACGTTATCTTCGGTTTTGGAGCTGCAGACCCGAATGACGCTCATGAGCCGGAACGGTCTGTTGGAGAGGAGTTTTATTGCCGTTCGTCTTAAAAGTGGTAACTGGAGATGCGGTGAGTGAAGCTCAGTTCACACTACACGATTTTAGAAAAGTCGGCCAATTCTGAAAACGTGAGAGAACACACACTAGCCTATTTAAAATCGTAGGTGTAACGGGTTCGTTCTAAGAGTGTGAGGTTTCACTCGAACACATTCTAATACCAGCTACGAAATACCTTCAAATTAAAATTCTGCACTACCACAGCTGAATTTGGAGTAAACAAACAAACATGGACAACGACGTTGAATTGGTAACTTTAGTTTGCGGACTTATTTTAACCCAAAAAAGACGTAACCAAAAATCAAAGCCTTGGATTAAGAACTGGATATATCGTAAGCAAGGATTATATTTGTTGCATCGCAACATGGAGGTGAGTTTTTTTTCATAAAAAATACTGTTTTCAATGTTTTTAGAAAATCAAATGGGAGTTATCCTTTCTCCCCAACTGACCGCGAAAGCTTAACGTAGCCTATTCCAGCTCCTTTAATTGAAACTTATTATATTGTTTAAAATTTTATTATGACTGCAGAATAAAATCAAATGCGCCATTTCAACCAAAGATTGGAATGTGCTTCTCAACCAGATGTACTCTGTGCAATAATTTTATAATTATCTTTCATTAAAAGATAAAAAAAAGTCGGAGGAACACCACAGAGATTGGATGAATGAGCAAAGATGATTAAAGACAGTCAATATCCCCGATTTTAGATCAAAGCGGTCCCGACGTTCCACCGACTGAACTCGATCAGTCGTAACACACCACACACTACAGGATGATCGGTTACGATTGTTGGGAGCGACAATCTTACAACGTTCTGAGTTCTTAAGACTGATACATTGGGGTTGTAATATTTACTTGGACCACTTGCTGTGATTAATACCTAATTATTGAGAGAGATTAAACCTGTGCTTTTGTTCTAATGTACTGAAAGTTAACTGTGCTCTCTGAATGTGCATTGCCCTTGGTTTATTACTGATCAGAAGGGTTTATTAAACCGATACATCTTAACCTTTACCATTTTCCTGACTCATTTTAGGAAAATGTTAAAGTTGCACTGCATTTAGATCTCAGTTGTAGTTAACATCAAGCATGTGGGCGTGGCTTAGTGTAAAACGTTCACTATTTGCCATGAAACATAAACATTAAAAAACTTCCAAATGCAAGATCACAGCTGCATCACACTTCCTGTGTTTCTATAGAACAGTCCTGAACACATTTCCATGGTCACTTGATGAAATCACCCTAGCCCCGCCCACTTTTCAAAGGCAATCACCAGTTTTTTCTCCTGTGAGTTTTACTGTTATTCTATCATATATATGGGTTTCATCATGTGAATACTGACTTAAAACGATAAGATGATGAACTCTGTGAATGCTGGCTGCTGACCAAACCGCATTGGGGTGTAGAAATGGCGAACTGCAGTTCTTCACCATGTGCATATGATAGGCTCTAAATGATACGTTGATCATCCGACTGGCGCCAAATTGGATATGTATGACCTTTGTTGACCTCTAAACACCCCAACAACATTGAAATGTATTTTGACTCCACTGCGCCAACTACATTAATACACCAGCTATATCTCCTCGCTATATCAACGAATCTGCACCACATTTTTTGTGCGTCGTCAGGAAGTGCCGCCGAACGCATCGATGCATACCGCCTGGTGGACGGGCGCGGAAACCGCGCAATGACTTCTGTGTTGGAACGTGGGGAGCGTTGATGGAAACGGAGCAACAGTTTCCGCGGTGCGGGCGGAGGTGCTGAAAACTGCTGAGAGTATCTGTGGTGGCTGGCGTCGGGCGGCGGTTGCTAGTACCCTGCGGTGGCAATAGGCCGGAGCGGCGCTTGGCTGCGAGGGCCGCTCGAGGCTGCTTGCAGCTTTAATTTAATTTTAAAATTGTAAGTTGGCCCTAATAACATCAATCACAGGACTTAAATCTGTTTAATCTCAGATTAGGGCTGCTGGGGCAAAAAACAAAGTCAGATTTTTATTTTTTTTCCTCATGTGGTCCTGATCCTCTTCAGTAAATCTTGTATCTACTGTGTGCTTTTATCTTTTTTCTCGTGGGACCTTTTTTGTCAGACGTCTTCATTGCGTTCTAAGGATTTTTTTTTGCATCCGTCAGGGGCAGTTCGTCTTCACCATTAACTCTCTCCTGTCGTCAGCACGCACGAGGCTTGGCGAGCTCTGTGGACACATTTCAGCGCTGTATCAAAATAACATGCACATTTCTTCTGTACGTTTCTGTTGTGATACATTCATAACAGTCTAAAAAAGGCTCAATTTGAGTTGGTGAAAGCTACAGAAACCCTGTAACAGGACAGGAAATGGACCGGAAGTAAAGTCTTCCTCTCTCCATGCTTACCCAGATTCTGAAAATACCTGAATCACACTCTTCTAGTCCTCCAGTCTGTTTCCTGCGTTTTGACTTTACAAATCGCTGACACGCGTATCGTGTTTTCATGAATCCGCCGTTTCTCAAACGTCGGCCGTCACAGAGCGGGAAATTCTGTTCCTGGCATCGTTTTCAGGATGCCTCTTCAGGATCAAAGTGTCCCACAGCAAGCTCTTTCAGACCAGTCGCACAAGACGCTGGAAATTCATGTTTAGACAGAAACAATGACAGCAGACAGCGCATCCTCTCGCCTGTCATTTTGGCTCGGCGGCAGCGGGGCGGGGGGGAGAAGCGTCGCAGCTGAATCACCACAGGAAACGCTGCCAAAGCTCTAATTATAAACAACAGATTTATTCGGGTCACCCTCCCCGAAGAGGCTGGTCGTTTGGAAGAGCCGAGCCGGGGAAGACGCGGTTACACAACAGACGGGTCGTCTTCTCCGTTCTACATAACACAATTACCAGATGAATTATTAAAGCGACTTTCCCTCGGCTCTAAACAACATGGAGAGGCTAACTCAGAGCGACGGCGACGAGCAAGTTCGTTTCTAAACGCTTACTAAGAACTTACGGCCCGCTTTGAAGAACGATTCATTTAAAAATCTGAATACTTTGTGAAAAGTAAGGTTTTTGCTTTTTCTTTTACTGCCTGTCTTGCTCTCCACAGGAGAGGCTCTAACACAAAGCAGCCTGCTGGAGGCAGATGGTGAGAATGGAGGTGGCTTGGTCACCATGACAACAGCTGTGGAGCCCATGAATCTTCATCATGCGATGCTGAGATCACCAGGTAGGCATTAAAACATGGACACGCGCGCACGCGGCGGGAGGAATTAACAGTCAACACGTCCGACAGCGTTACCGTAAATGCAGCAAACGCTTATTTGGACTTAGATCATAAATGTCCTGCTGCTGCCAGAGATGCTGAGTCAACTTGTTACCAGTGTGTTGTCAACAGGGAGTCTTAGTCATGCCCGCGCCTTTTTCGCAGATTTAAAGGTTCCTACAACCCTTGATCGATCAGCAGGCACTCTTTGTGGCGTTCCTGTTTCAGTTCAAGTCATTTTCAACAACCTGATGTAAACGATGCAAATGTTTTCAGTGACTCTTGGTGGGTTTTTTTTCATGTAAAAACAAATGAGATTCACCGTCGGGTAAAAAAGTGAAGTCATTTTTTCATGAGTCGAAGACAAACGAGTCAAATTATGTTCATTTTTTCTAAATTTTGAGAAAGTTAACTTTTGTACACTTCAACCTCCTAATTTTATTGGGATTTTATGTGGCAGACTAATGTAAAGTGGTGTATAAATTCTGAAGTGGAAGAAAAAGAACGGATTTATAAATCTGAAAAGTGTGGCATGCTTGTCACAGATGAAAAGCTACCCTTAAATAAAATCTAGTGGCCTGAATACTTTTGCAAAACAGTTGATCACAACTATCAGGTGGCGACTGGTTCAAAGATTACTTGACTGAAGTGAAATTATGAGTGTAACTAAAATGTTTAACTAGCCCTTTTTTCTTATTCCTTTCATTGCAGGATCTGCAGACTCGGTGGTCGTCCTTGCTCAGCCGCATGAGCTGGTGACCATGACAACGGAGGGCCATGCTTACGGGGACGACGTGGTTGCTCTGCTTTAGTCTATTTCAGCAGCATTGGACTGACAGGCTCAGTGGGATAAACATAGACATGGTTATTTGTAAAAAAAAAAACATGAATCAGTCTTTAACACTTGTAGATATTTGTAATTAGCAAACAGTTTTATTTTGACACGTGTGAAACGGTGGTGTTTGTATGAGCCACGTTCTGTTTTTCTTTCCTCTCATGACTTCTAAAAGCAAACGCTCCCAAAGAAACGCAGAAACGGGTTGGAGACGATCGCACAGCGGAGGAAACGCAGCGACGCTTGCAGATGTGAAACTGCAAACTTGCATTGTAACACGTGTACCATTTTTATGGAACAAAAGAAAAATTAACTTTTAATAAAAACAATCATGTTTTGCACAAACAGCCAAAGCCCCCTGTAGTAAACATCTATATGAAGCTAAAATAGTTCTGTCCAGTTCCAGCTGACAGCATCCAGCGCTTCACCCGCTCTTGCTAAAGCAGATTTACAGCAGAATAAATCGACACCTGAGTGTTTAAATGTAGTCAGTTATTTCCAGCTGGTTAGAAAAGGCAGTGAAAAGTGAATCAGTTTGAAGGCGAGCGCCGTATAAATCGACCTGTTCGTTACTGCTCCTCAGTGGATCTTCAGCTTGTGAAAATGGTCCAACATGGCGCCTAGAGCCCAGCTAGCCTCCACATTCTTCACTTTCTTGGTTAACTAGAAGAGGGAAAAAATAATCAAGTCACTAAATACCTGCATTTACCATACAAAGAATAACAGTTTGAGCATTTTTTTAAGGTAAAGATCAAAGTAATGCTTAATTTATGCAAAATGATGCTGTTGAATTGGAGTTTAAATTTAAGTCCTAAGCTGAGCAGGGACAAAATTTAATCTTCTTGCTCTCAGGCTTCTGTAGCATGTTTACGTTTGCAACAAAGAGAAACTTAGACAAGAATGCACAATATAAAGTTAATCTATTCCTTATAGTATAATAAATAAAGGTGCAGAAGCTAATTAGTAACAAGCACAGTGTGTGCAGCCCCGCCCTGTTCTTCTCTTATCAATCACATCCCAGAAGATCTGCGCTTGACTCACCCTGCAGTCACAAGAAGCAACAAAATGATTTTAAACAAAAGCTGAAAACGGGACAAGTTGAACTGCTTACTAAAATTATAACCTAAAAACAAAAGCAGTAAAAGCCAAATAAAACTAATATGTCTGGCTTACTTGAGGCTCGGGGCGATAATTCAAGTTAATTAGTCGGATTGGGCCCTGACCGGGTCTGGCCTAAACTATGTTCAACTAAAACAGCTCCATCAGCCTAAAAGAGACGGTTGTGTCATGAAACAAGGCTCTTCATTGGCTCCCCAACCTGCAGGACGGTGCTGTCCTTGAAGCCAAAGCCATCCCTCAGCAGACAAGTGATGTAGGTCAGGTCCATGCACAGGAACGGACTGACAGCCGGGTACTCGCTCATCTTATTGCATGCTGAGCAGGAGACAAGAAACATCATCTCCGTTAGCTTGGCTAATCACTCATTTGTATTCTGCTGACAGATGAGGGCAGCATTTCAGACAGAAACCACTCAGGGTCCATTGAGATGCGCGCTGTGTGTCAAGTGCAGGGAGCAGCAGATCTGTCATCGTAATGATGTATTCCTCAACCGGTCTCACCCTCTTTCGCTCTCTTCTTGAAGTCTCTGACCCGCGCCGTCCCTCCTTGGACATCATCTACGATGGGAAGAGAGCGACGACGGGGGGGATCATTATGTATTTAAAATGCCAAAACAGTAATTACAACAGCTCATCTACATGCACATTTATATAGTCCAAATAACAGAGCTGATGGCCTTTCAGTGCAGACTGGCAGCGGGACGACAATTTCTATAATAACCGCACAACTATGGCTCATCAAATCCCCTGATACAGGAGCAGATGACTCATATTTCTCAGCCTCTGTCTCGCATGCAGGCGCTGTATAATTATGTAAGGTGTGGACAGGGAGGTGTGTATGTGTGTGTGTGTGTGTGTGCGCACACACACTTACTGATAAGGCCCGCATCCACAGCTCTGTCAAAGTAATAGGAGAACGCATAGAACACGTCGCTGTCTTCGAGCTCGTGCGGCTGATGAATAATCCCCTTCACCACCTTGAGGACTTCCTGATAGCAAGGCTTGTATCCCGCACGACCTGAGGGGGCAAAAACGGAGGCAGGCTTGCAAATTATGCACGGTCTCTTAGAACAATGTTTACGGAAACTCTTGGAAATGTCAAGCTGGATAATGCTCAAATTTATCACATGCCCTGCTTTAGCCAGTTAAAATGATTGATTAAGGAAAATTTCCAGCAGGATCAAAAGTTCCTGCCAACATCTTCATTTGGAATCAACATGATGGATTCCTCAAGCTTTGGAAATGCTTTTATAACTTATACCTGACCTTTATCTTGTGTCCTGCTACTCTACTACTAAGTAGAGCTGAAGCGATTCACCGAATGATTCGAGTACCATGATTATTAAAATTTGTTGAGGAAACTTTATCTGCCTCGAAGCTTCGTTAAATTAGGTTTGATTATTTAGCGCGCGTGTTCCGCTTATGAGTTGTTGAAGTGCTAGCAGCATGACGCTGAATTGTCCGGCGTTTTCTGAGGTTTTGGGGGATAAACAAGTTTTGTTAAATTGTGTGGGGCGATGCTTGGAGTATGACGGTTTTTCTGCGCTCGGAACCACATCATCAGTGTTTTGGAGAGAAAGATCTGATTACACAATTAATCGTAAAAATATTCTTCAGAGAACTAGATTACTAAAATATTCTTTTACAACAGTCCTACTGTTAAGCCTCCAAGGAGAGGTGCAAATGTCACAGTTGGACAGATTAGAAATAGGGTGGTTAGGTGTCCCGTCAGACCGTCAGTTCCCAAAACCACACAATCAAAAAAATAAAAAACCTTGTAAAAGTGCATGCAGGGTCAATGTGACCCCATCAGAGGCTACAAAGCCTGTGAAGACCCCAACAGGGCCAAAGGTGCCTTCAGCAGACAACTTGAACCGATCTTACCATCCTGGTCTCCGCTCACTTGGTAGGTAAGACCTCCGAAGCTCCAGTCGTCCCTGAACTTACTCGGCAGGCAGGAGCTTTTAAAAACCTGCCACTCCAACCCTAGGAGAGAGAGCACACGCATAATTAATCTCCTCAGCGGTCCAACATCTTCACACCAGCTTATCACGGCCCGAGCCGGCTGATACCACACCGCTTCTGCAGAAGCGCTTCCCTGACTAATCTCCGCTTATAACATGATATGTATATTAGCATGGAAACTGGAAGTACACCCTTTATCTAGATGGAGGGAAGGAAGACTCTCGTGAATCCTCTGAGAGGCAAAGCGATGACAATGAAGCTCGGTTAACCGTTTGTACCTTCTGCGCCCAGAGCACCCAGGGTGGAGAGGCGGGCGGCCATGAGTCCATTCCCAAGATAACTGCAGGAAAAGAAAAAATACACGAAACCAACCAAGTGGATTTAACCGGTCATTGTGAAAATTGTATTGTAGCTAAAGCAGAGGTTTCTGCTTGTTACTAATATCAAGCAGAAACCTAAAAGCACTAAAAGCTGTACTAATTACATCTACATCCTGTGACTGTAAGATATCATTTGAAGCTTTTGCATATATTGGCATTTTAAAGACAGAGCAGATCTGAAGCAGTGATGCCATCTGCATAATGAGATCTGTTACCTGTGAGTGTACAGCTCAAACGTTGAGTTGAGGAAATCAAATCTGGCAACATAATCGCTATCGGGAGCGCTCTCGATCGTTTTCTGCAGCAAATTATAAGTGTGATATTAAGCTGGTGTAGTTTTCCAAAGAGTCCATCAAAAAGTGCAGAAAAGTAAGCCGACCCTCAGTTTGGGCAGGAACGTGATCTGTGTGGATCCTCCTCCCAAGTCCAGGATTCCCACAGTCTTTGTGGCGCGAGCGTTCAGATGACCTGAAAAACAAAATGAATCACCGTAATCCAGCATCTGCAGCTGGGAGCAGCTAATCGCTCCCCACCTGAGATGCTATCTCCAAAAGGCCCGCTTCGGCAGACGCGCACCGTCTGAGAAAACATTCCGGCTCAGCTCGGGCCGAGAAAGATCACAGAAATTGGCTTTAGGGAACAAACTCATCCTCCTTCTCATCGGCTTCTATTTATGGACGCCGGCGTGTAACGCAATACGACGCCGGGTTAGGAAAACGCATGGAGTCTGGAGAAAACACAAGTCATCTATGCAACGAAGAAAACAGTTCGATGTTTTACTGACGAGCCTGGAGCCTTTTATTTTCCACTTTTAGTCAGGTTCAACTGCAATCATGTATTTTACTTTATACTTTCTATATGTTTAAAATTTGACAATGGAGTTGGCATTGCGATTTATGTCCTCTAAACTATTTTGTTTGTTGTTAACACCATTAGAAATGTCACTATTTATAGAGGTCGTATTTTCAAGTCGGTATTTGTGTTTTTTGCACTTGAAGTTTATCCTGGTTCTCAATTTTATAATTTTGCAACAAATACCAAAAACATATTGCGATAAAATTCTATACACACATTGATCGTTCACATTGTGAAGTGGAGGCGAAAATAAAGAATTTTCGCAATTTTTTTTAAACAAATATCTGAAATCTGAAAAGTGTGGCATGCATTTTCATTCAGCCCAGTGAGTCGGTGTGTTTTCGCTAGTGAAGCTGGAAGTGTTTGGAGTGGGTCTTTACCAGCTCTACACATCTAATACTGGAATACAGCATGATGCGGCCACCGCCGTGCTTCAGGCTGGGGATGTTTTACCCTACTACACCTCTTCCAAATGGCCATTTTACTGCTTGGTATTATTTTTGCATTGCTTTCTTCTATATAACAAGTATGGGTCACTTTGTGTTGGCCTGTTTGTTGCTGTGAGCGTACAAATTGTCAAAATGTTCAAGCTGCACAAACACTTGGCTTTACAGTACTTGCCTGTTAGAAAGTTCAGAGAAATCCAAGCCAGAATGCCTAGGTTTGAAAGAAACAGGAACATATTTAAAAAGCTGTCATTTCAGAAGACAAACAAAAGGAGAAAAAAAGAAAAGCTCACTTTGAAACAAATTTGTGAAGTGCAAGTGCATGCAAGGACAGCCGAAAATGCTGACAAACCAATTATCCGGCTGTACAACAGCCTCGTAATTACTGGCTTTCAGGGCTTGAAACGACGCCGCTGAAAAACTTTTGTTGTTGTTAATGCGTCATCGCAAAAAAAACATCTATAATCTTCTGTAATTTAGTTAAACGCCTTGATTAAGCGAAAGGTCCTGACAGAAGATCCATTGGGCGCATCGTTACGATGCAGAAACCTTCGAAACAACAACGCAGAGGGGGGAGAAAGTGCTTGTCGGGGCAGATGCCGTACCTTCGTTTGTGCCGTTCATAATGCTGACGCTGTTGTCTGGCACCAGAAACGGGGATTCGTCAAACATGAGTTGGACCTGAGAGAGAGGAGAGGGAGGCGACGTGAGGAGGAGGAGGAGAGCAACAGGAAGCGGGAGCTAAACGGCCCGAACACTATCAGCTGTAATGGCAGCTCATCCAGAGGTGCCCTCCGCTGGATGGGATTAATTCATTCCCTCTGGAACAGATTATCAAAGTATCATTCATCTTCCAAGGTGCCTCAGGGCTACCCGTTTCATTCCCCCCTTATCCTCATAAACGATAGCCTTTAACACTGAGCTTACAGCTGCATAACTTTCCCCTGCGGCATCGACGGATAAAAACAGCGTCCACACAAAAAGGTTACAAGGCCAAACAGCCTCTCTATGCTGAGGAGCTGCTGCCTTACTTTTGCTGAATAGTTAAGAGTCTGACCTGGTCCAGAAGCGCCTGGGCTTTGGCTGAAGGCAGCAGGCGGAGTCCGGCCGTGGCTCGGAGGACCAGCGGGGTTCTCTTCCAGTCCAGACGAGGAACCGTCTTCTTGGCGACCTTCAGCAGCATCCTCACCGTTTCACCAGCCTGGAGAGAGATTAAGCGCGGCAGATTGACGACATCAACTGCTCCGAATATGAAATTGCCAAACCTCTCACGTTTCTACTTGCATTTCAATTGCTAATAGACATACTAATATGTACAGGTGACTTTAAAAATGTATTTTTGTATTTACTCATAAACAGTTCCATCTGAAAAACAAACAGCATCTTCTAAAGAAGCTGATGCAACCAGACCGCAGTCCAGAGTGATCACGTTACTTCACACCTCATTATTTCAAATTTCTCTCCTCTTTATTATTTCCAGCAGGAACAACTCCCGGCTTTGTTTCTATTCCTGACCTTTCACCTCGGCTAAAGTGTCACTGATCACATTCCGACGATGAACTCACCATTTCGGGGTAGTCGGCGTACGCTGACAAGCCTGGCTTTATGGAGTGGAACATCTCATTGTCCAGAACAGGCAGCGGCTCTGGAAAGGCACAACATCCACCCACATCATCAAATATGAAGCAGTTGCTAAAAGCCCTCAAATGCCTGAAACCTCTTAGCATGCGTATGCATGATTCATCAGGCAAATTAAGCCCTATGTGACTTATGGCCTCTGAATTTACAGGTTTAATGAAGTATGAGAATGAAGTAGGTGCCAAGCAAACTTCTATTAGTGAACCAAAACACACATTTTGGGGAAAGATGATAAGAGAGACCCAGAGAGAGAGCGAGAGATCGCTTCCTGGTTTTACCCGAGTTGCTCTGGATGAAGGTGTAGACGTGAATGCGCGTCCCTGTGCTCCCCGCGTCAAACATCACGGCGTAGAAGATGCGGCTGTGGTTGGCCGGTCGGCTCAGGCTCGGCAGGATCCCGGAAAGATCCAGGAGGGACGTGCCGAACTGGGACCGGCTTGGCCCGGCCGCGGCGAGGAGGACCAGCAGAAGGAGCGGGCCGGACGGCTTCATCTTCCCTCTGCGGCATAAGAAGAAGGAGGAGGAAGGAAAGAAAAAAAAAAAAGAGGCTGTTGAGTAGATGTGTTGAACAGCAGAAAAGCAGCTTAACTGGGTGAAGACTTTGTTCCGAGGGTTAAATTACAGGTAGCGGAGGCGCGAGAAGACATCGGGTTATTTACACCGTCGGATTCGACCACGCCTCAGGCGAAGATGATGTCCAGCCAACCAAAACCAATGTTTACCGTCTGCGACGACTCGCACGGAGAGTTTAAACACAACGCTTAAAAATCAGAGGAGGCGGCTCACCGACTTTTAACAATGTATCATAAAAATGTTTCAATTCCCACAGATTCCGGTCAAATACTGATAAAATTACACGGGCGCCTCTTACGGGATTCACAATTACAGGGTTGTCCAATAATCGCTGCCAAAACTCCTCTGCCTGTACTACTGAACACTTCACTGAGGTGTTTCAGAGTTGAGAGGCTTTTTAGATCCATTTCCCGTGGATGGAGTTGTACTCCACTGTCACCCTGTTGTGTGTCGGTAAGAAAGTAACTTTAAAACGCTTTTTGGTCTTGACGTTTGCTCATTAAAGCTGCATCTGCAAAATAAAAACTAAAAAAAAAAAAAAAAAAAAAAAAAAGCCACAACAACATCCAATTACATCTGACTGACTAGGAATTACGCCGTCTCGCATGTAATCACATAATTTGTCGTCTCATATTACACCTTTCCATCCATTTTGAGCACTTAGACGAAATGGCACAGAGACTAGGGTCTCTGCACATTTTTCCAAAGCCAAAATTTCACACTTTCACCGAAAAAACGTCTTTTACGAAATTTCAACGTTAAATATTCATCCATGCTGATTTAGCTTAAAAAAAACAACAACACTTAATTGTTACAAGAACGCTGAAAAATAGACACACTTGTTTAACAGTGCCTTTGCTCCAGCTGTGCAACCTCAGTCCCCTGCGACTCGTGTCGGTGTAAATTAAATATGTGGCTCCGTGGCAGCAGAACACGCTCAGCCAAAGGTCACAGACCAGAGCCACAAAGCTTGTTCATCCTCAATTCTTTTGCTGCGAACCGAGCCTCAGAAACACCAGGCGCGTCAGGATAATAAATCCCTATTGATCAGATTAAAAATGGTGCACACAGAGCAATCGGGTGGTGTTTGTACTGAACCCGTTTGACCCCTTTGTTGCCGAATCAATCAACGCAGCAGCGTAGATAAGAACGCTTTCTTTGTGGATCTTCAATTTTATGTCTTTCCCAGAGGCAAATGCATATTTTCTTTTGTGAATAAAAAGCATCACAAGTCAAGATTTGATTCGTCTGCATTTGCAACATTTCATAGTTCTCGAGCCTTTACACCTCTTTGTTGTGAATTAGCACTATATATATAAATGTAACTGCATTCAATTATAATTCTAATTTGTAGTTTCAAACTTGCAAAAAATTATAACTTTCTGTTTGTCAGACTGTGTATAAAATCGAATCTAGAGTCAAGGTAAACATGACAATTGGATTACAAGTGACAGATATATTGAAGGCAGGTTACATACAATGAGATTATAATTACAGTTTTCAATTAACACCAACTACTAAAGCTAACTACTGAAGCAGCATGAGAGGTGAAAGTGTTAATAGTGTACTGCTGCATAGCAAATGAAAATTTTGACTCATTGTGCACTAATATTTGCAGATGTAAAACATACATAAATGTTTATTTAAATGAATTTTGGATTAGTTAAACAGTAAATTTATAAATTGATATAATTAGTCAAGTAAATGACAGGTACGACTTGATAAAACATGAGATTGGACATAAAAATGGCTCATTTTAAAGTGACCGGCTGTAAATTACCTTTAAGCATATAAAAGATAAGCTACTTTTGAAATGTATGCGGCCACAATACACATAGCAGGAGTAAAAACATCTATTTATATATTTCTGTAAGCTAAGCCTCCCTGTAAACCGTTTGTTTGTGTTCTTTTTTATTGACAGTAGAAACCAATACCCTGCAGTGAAACACATTTATGTACACGTCATTTAGGAAAGCTGTTATTGACTCCATAGTTAATTTAGACAAATTATACTAAAAGTGAACACTTATTTCAACCCGAGTGCCCCCTTACTGCCCCGAGGCCACTGACAAACTCCGGTCGCCCCTGGCTGTGAGTATCTGCTTACAATTTAGCAAAGAGAGCAGCTTATAACGAAAAGTGCCTTCAAATGACTCAAAAGAGACATTCACAAGAGACACTCAAACCCTCGGTTTATATGCTTAACATTAAGGATAATTATTAGAAAACTTTATTGGCTACAGCTGTGAGGAAACAGTCCCGGTGGTTAGCATCCCTGCTACATTACAGAAAGCTAACGGCTAAAGTTCGACGAGCTAACGTTGGGTTGTCAACGGTTAAACAAAACGACGCGTTGACCAAACTAAACGTTTCCTCGTGAAATCTTTAAAACGGTGAAATAAATGAGCCTGTAGCTGACAGAGTGGCGTCGAAAGGCTGAAAACGGCGGCCTCACCATGATGTCCGCCTGACTCCTTCTCGCAGTGGAATCAGTAGTTCTGGGTTCAGAGCCGAACTCGCATCGGAACCGACTCCTGGTACTAAGTAGTGAATTCCGAACGTCCGGATCATCGGCTCACTGAGTCTTTGGAGGTCATAATCTTCCGCTGGAAGTGATTACTCTTTCACAAACTGACAAAACACCAACATGGGATAAAGTGATTTATGTAGACTGTTTTTTTTTGTCATATCAATATATTATAGTTTTGCTCTTATGGAGCACCATAAACGACTCGTGGTCGCTTTATGCCGCTTATTTAATCGATATTAAATCCACAGTGAAACAAAACACGGACACACGTTAGTGACGTCACATGAGGCACAAAATTCTTTAGTTTGCTCACTTGTTTTGTAAAAAAGCTATGGAGTAGCTTTTTTACAAAAGCTACTCCATAAATCCCTTCATCAGTTTTTAGCAATCAGTTTTTTTTTTTTTTTTTATGTATTTAGCCATTTTAATCAATTGTGTTCAAATGTTCAAAAGTTGTGTGTAGTTTGGTTTGGTTCTGATCTCCTTTGGGCCAGTTGATTCTTAGAAAATAGGTGAGATCAGAACCTTTGTTCAAACCAAAAGACCTACTTGGCTAATTTACTCATCGTCTTTTCACTCAAATCTGACCAACTAGATTTTTTTGTGCCTCTTGTGATGTCGCTGACCCAGATACAGTCAAATCGGGATCAGGCGTTTTTCTTTCCTTCAGAGCTCCTTCTGAAAACATTTGACGTTTTTATACTTCTGCAGAGGGAATCCATGCCCCATTACCCAGCTACGCTTTATCACCAATGTACAATATGTATTTTTTAAAAACAGCACTAGATGGTACCTTTAAATCACAAACATCCGGATCGTCAGCTTGGTCATTCCCTGGTAGTTCATTTTACTCCAGAAATAATTGCCATCCATTTATAATTCATAAACTGCTGAAACAGGAGCGTGCAACACGAGTGTGCGTTTCAGCATGGTTGAACGAGTAAAGTACAATAGCTCACAGAAATCAATGCTCACTCCACTCAAATGACTTGTTTTTATTACAATAGCTCACAGCGTCATCACAGTTTGCTCTCACAAACTCAAAGGGGATTTCAAAAACTGGAACATGATTAATAACAGTTTCATCTCAGATGTTTTATCATGCTGGATGATTCAGATTTTTATGGTTGAAGTTCAGGAGATGCAGTAGAGTCCAGTCTAACCGTAACACCAGTAAGGCTACAAACTGAATCTGACAGAAATGCAAATCCAACCCGCAGCACAAGACACTATTTAGTGCACTTACAGTAAAAAACAAAAAAAAAAGAAAAATATTTTCTTTTAGTTTTACTGTAACAGCTTTTTTTTCATTTAAAAATCAGATGAATGAAACTATTTGTTCATAAACCTGCACAAAGATTCTTGTTCTGCAGCAGAAAACCAGAGTTTCTCTCCTTGTGCCATAATAAAACCCACTGGCCTTGACTAACTGAGGTTTGTTCAGGACGAGCAAGAAAACAGGTGAGGAATATAACCAACACCTGTGCGTAGGTGCACCATATGCGAGGAAAAAAATAGCTGTAATTTGTGAGTTAAAATATTCTGCATTAAAAAAAAAAGTGTTATTTTCCCAAACAGTAAAATAAAGTAACAGATAATTGCTTCCTGAACTCCACTCAGTCTTCTTGTTAAGGCAGGTAGGAAGTCAGTGAGGTATAAACTGTCTCTTTAGCTTAGCGTCCCATGGTGGGCATGGTGACGGCCGGGCTCGTTACGGTGGCGTCCTCTGCCTTCCACTGAGACGTCACAGTCTTGATCTGGGTGAAGAACTGAATGCCCTGCAGGGAATATGGGGCGAATTTGTAGACAGGAAAACACTTTTATGTCTTTGAGATCATTAATGCAAAGCGTCTTGGAAAAAAATTAATAAAAAATGAATAAATAAATAAAAAAAAGAGAAATTTTGTTTTTGTCTTTTTACCTGCTTCCCGTAGAAGTTGGTGTCTCCTCTGAAGGAACCTCTGGAGCCGGTGAAGGAGAACATGGGCAGAGGGACGGGAATCGGTACGTTCACCCCAACCTGTGGAAATGCCAAAATGAGTGGAGATGTCTAAAGCCGCACGGACAGACAACATACATTTATACCAAATGAATCTCTTTATTCCCAAGCGCTGAAATCTGAAATCTGGATTTAGGGATTTTGCAGAATCTAAGAGGATTTGTTGCAAACACTGACGAGAACCAGATGAATCGCAGAACTCCTATTTATAAAGCCGCGACAGAACAAAACAATCCATCTTCCCGATGAGGGGTCACGTTTGATAATTACGACTGCTCACTGCGCCGTGTTGATCATTTTGGCGCTGAAATTGGTTTTTAGGTCTACCCAACTGCATCCGGAGGCAATTTGGTCCACGATATTAACAACTCCGCCGAGGAGACCGACAACAAACGGTGAGGTTCTGTGGCGTTGTGCGTATACAAATTCATCAAGTAATGACAGGCTGAGATGATGATGCAAATGAGCTTCAAGTCATAAACCGCTGATGCTTCAGAAACGTTTTCAGCCAGCGGGAAAGCCGATTATCACAACACAACAAACCCCGGCTTCCGAGGTGCGCGACTGAGCTCGACATCGCTAATTCAAAAGCGACCGCGTCTCCGTTAAAGCTGAAACGTTTGTTGATTAAACTTAACCCTCGCGTCTTTTTACAAACTTCTCTCGTTCTCTCTCACCTGGCCCACATCCACCTCGTGTGTGTATTTGCGCGCTGTGGCTCCGTTGGTGGTAAAGATGGCTGTGCCGTTGCCATAAGGGTTTCTGTTGATCAGAGATATGGCTTCGTCCAAGCTGTCGGCTTCCAGGATTATGAGCACAGGCCCAAAGATCTCCTCCTTGTAGCATTTCATGTCCGGCTGAAAACAACAAGCATGATCAGAGTGTAAAAAACCCCCAATCCTGAGCGCTATTAAAGTGCAAGACTGTTACTAGTATGCTCATTTTGCAGAAAATAATGATGGATTTTAAAAAAAAACTGCACAGCTTTCCTATTTTAGGAGTCTTGGAGGGTTTCATTAGTCTGCAATGTACAATGTCTGTCTAATAATAACCATGGAGAGAAGGAAATCTGTATTCTCCTCAACTTAATGCTATAGTGGGACTTTTGGGCTAAAACTCCACCGTCGTTAAGCTCTGTGAATTTACCGATTCACGTCAACAGAACAGTAGGAAAGAAATGGGGAAAGCAGGACCAACTTTTTGATTCCCCTGATGAGCAAAGAGGCTGATGGGAGTTTTCTTTCACTTTAGCTTCAAATAGGTTTTGCAGAAATGAAAACTTCTTCCTCTGTGATATTAGTCCCTTTCCATTTTCAGAAGGCCCTAAAGGGACATGCAGCCCCAGAGAAGAATTGTTCCTCTCTACAGTAACAGTATAGCTGTCTCCATAACAATAGAGACAACTATACTGACTCTATTGTTAAGGAGACAGCTATACTGTCTCTACTGTAATGGAGACAAGTGTCTCTATAACAATAGAGTCAGCTGAAGTCCAGTTTATCTGTGGCTCCCAGTTTGTCCAATCTATAGCGGTTCTAAAAGTATTCACGTTCTTTGGACCTTTTACATTTTGTTTTGGGCTGCAACCTAATGATTACTTTAGTAATCAATTATCGTGATGATGTATTGATTAATTGGATAAGCAGAGTTTTCATTTAACCACCTGAATCTTTTTATTCAATATTAAAAATACATGGAAATATGCAAATACATAAATGATTCAATTCCTTTTTTAAATAGGAAAATAAACATTTCAGTTCCTAAAATGCATAACTTCATCTAAACCAGGTAAAGTTAAAACTGTACAGCTTGAGGAGTTTTGGATAAAATATACCGGTATTTGCATAAAAAGTTTTTTTTTATCTTAAATGTAAAATGTGTGTTTCTTTGTACATTTTTTGTCTTAATTACTGTTCTGAATATGTTTTTTCCCCCCCAACAACAGGTTTTTTTGAGTCTGTATACTGCAGTTAATTAATCAAATATTATTATTTAAATAATTTATTAGTCAAGATTAACCCAAATCATTGTCTCAGTCCTAATTTTGTCGTGTCTTTTTTTGAGGATAGAGTGTGATGGACCAAAACAAAGTAGTGCATGATTGTGAAGTGGATGGATACGTGTAAAAAATATGAACCCAACTTCCTCGCCCCTAGTTTCATAGAATAAAACTAGGGAATGAAACAGATTTATCGGTGCCGATTTCCTTAATTTGGGGAGATCGGATGATGTTTACATATGAAGCCGGTCTTATCCAGCAATGTTATCAACCTCGGCAAAGGTCTAAAAATCAACCACTGCATTTTTCTTTTCTCCTGTTAGAGGTTTGACCGGCAAACCGGCTGACCAGGTCATGTCTGCATATTTACAGTTAACAATAGTCACTCCATTGTTGCCAATTCAGCAACTTTCTTGATATTTGAGCAACATTTCAGACAATTAAACCGGTATCGGCCAAAATTGGAATCGGTAAGTTAAGCCTTTTAAAAGAGCGGTAATCTGCCATCGGCCAGAAAACAGCAATCGGTGCAGCCCTACATAAAACCTAATGAATAAAAAAAGCTTGGGGGGGGGGTTGAATACTTTTGCAAGACTGTAAATTCAGATCGTCAGCTCACCTTTACGTCGCTCAGGATGGTGGGTCCGACAAAGTTTCCGTTCTCGTATCCTTTGACGTGAACATTCCTCCCGTCCAGCAGCAGCTTCGCGCCTTCGTCCACGCCGCTCTGGATCAAATACTCCACCTTGGCCCTGGCTTCAGGGGAGATCAGGGGCCCCACGTCAGCCCCGGGCTGGTCGCCTGGAGCAAAACAATTTGTATGTTTGAGCAGGGCAGCGTCTTGAATGGGTATTTTCTGACAAAATCTGCAATAAGCGGTTATACTTTAGGCTGTTTTGCATGCAAAAAAGAAGACACTAATCTTCTGCTGACTGTTCCTGAGGGGGAGTTACCTGCGTTTACTCGCAGCGATCTGGAGCGCTCCACCAGCTCGGGGAGCCAGTCACGAGACTCCCCGACGAAGATGGCAGTGGAGAGAGCCATGCATCGCTGGCCGGCTGCTCCGAAAGCGGCCCCCACCAGCTGGTTGATGGTGTTCTCTTTGTTGGCGTCAGGCATCACCACACCGTGGTTCTTGGCACCCTGAACGACAAAAATTGCAGACAGCTCTCCAATGTGCGAATTATCACTGAAAATAATTGGCTCTTTAACGTCAGAATGGTGCAATTTGAGACCGTCCAGTGAAGCAGTGAGAGTACCATGTTGGACTGGACCCGCTTTCCGTTCTTGGAGCCGCGCTCGTAGATATACTCTCCAGCTTGGTTGGATCCCACAAAGCTGATGGCTTTGATGGCCGGATGGTCACAGATGAAATTCACAGCTACACAAACAAAAAGAAAAATGAAGAACAAAGTGGTTCAAGCCTCTTTTTTTAAATCTGTGCCCAGGCTTTAAAGAAATGCATCCAAATTATGAGTTGCACAGTTTCAAACAAGCATTCCCACCTTTCCACAAGTTGTCTTCTTACAGCCACACACTTTAATTTAATTGTGCAGTTATGAAGCCAAAACTGTCCAAAAAAAATAGTTATACTTGGAACTTCTCAAATGGCATAGACTTAACCTGTTAGAAAAAAAAAATCTATTAAGACCCTCTTAATGTCCAATTACTAATTGATTAACCAAAAAAAAGTCAATAGATTAATCCTACACTGTCTTGACATATTTTCACTATGATTACACATTTTAGGCAAAAAATGTCAATTTTCTTATTTAAAAAATACTGAATTGTTTATTTGCATTTATGAAACTGTTTCTAACATTTCAATCTGATGCATTTCAATCAAAAATCCGCAAAATGAGATGATTTTTTTAATCATGACATTTTACTATTATTACTGTTTCCCTAGTTGATTGTATGGCTGTAACTGCGTGTTGTGGTTATTATAGTCCACAAATGCAAACACTGCTCCTGCAAAACCTTCCCGTCTTTAGGACACGAGTCACTAAAATGCAGAAAGTGACTTCATTTAATCATATTTTCAAATCTATTAATACACCTTTATTGAACAAACAGTAGAAGAAAAATGATCATAAAAAACAGAAATGCCAGAGTTTTACGATAAATCAAAAATTTTATGATAAAAACTTTATCATGAAAAATGACAACTCTGTAAATGCACATGTGACTCCAGTTTATATTTGTGGAAGTGAGTTGTTTTTGGACTCCTCACTATTGTTTACCACAAACTGGCACTGAGAAGCAGAGACTCACCTGCATGCTGCCCATGGATGATGTTCAGAGTGCCATCTGGTGCGCCCGCGTCCTGCAGCAGCTTGGCCAGAAGCATGGTGCATCCTGGGACGCGCTCGGACGGCTTCATCAGGTACGTGTTGCCGCACACCATCCCGACGGGGAACATCCACAGGGGGATCATGGCGGGGAAGTTGAAGGGCGCGATGCCGGCGCAGACGCCGAGGGGCAGGCGGTATGTGTACGTGTCCATGTCCTTGGCGATGGAGGGGAGGGTTTCGCCCAGCATGAGGGAGGTGATGCTGCAGGCGTGCTCCACCACCTCTGAGGGGAAACCGTTTCGGATGGATCATTTATAAGTTAAAAAAAAATAAATACAAAATTGTTCATGAAATGTAATGAGACAGCCAAATCGCTCTTATTCTGCTCAGTCATTTACACACAGGCAACTTGGAAACAAGTCAAAAGCACCGCTACTCTGATAAAGCGTGTTCTTCACGTTGCGTTAGTATTAACACGCACGTTAATTTCCACACAAGCTACAGTTCAACTGTGATTGGAGGCAGACGGCTTTCGCAGCCAAAAGTCTTGCCCCCCCCTCCTCCACCACCTACCGACCGACTCGGCGTATTTGTATGCAGATATCTGTTTAAAGAGATTAACCTGCTACCCTGAGCCTGATTGTGTTCATTAGGGACAATTAAGAAGGCTCCCACCCGGCTCGGTAAGCTCCCGTAATAGACGGTGCATGTCAGGGATAAATCCAAGCCGAGACACGGTGGGGAATGTCAGCAGACTCGTCAGACAGGATTGCATTCGCTTCCAAATCGGCAGAAGGTTGAGCCAAAATTTACAGTGAATTGCAGAAGTACTTGTACCTCTTCAAATCGAGATTTTAAGCGACAGATGAAATAAAAGTGGCGCTTAATTGTGAGGTGGATAGAAAAGATGCTAGGTTTTTCTCTCTTTTTTTAATAGTCAGTAGACGTTTGTTTTAAATGAATAACTCCTTCATGTTGAATTTACAACTTTTTCATCAATTACTGACTTAAAACAAGCTCCTATATCTTACTGGAAAGTTACTTTTAAGTTCGTTTTGCTGTATGTCAAGTGTCCCAAGACATTTGCACGAGAAAGTAGACCAAAAAATACTTAAGATTTTGTGTTTTTGCAGTAAGTTAACCAACTTGTATTCAGGTTCCCCCTGTGTGTAATTTAAACTCACAATACATCCAGCTGTTCTGTGGAGGCTTATTGAGAAGATCAAGGGACACAGCAGGCAAGTCGGGGAGAAAGACGTGGAGAAATTTAATGGGGTTAGGTTTTAAAACACTATCTCAACCTTTAAACTTCCCTCTGAGCGTCTTTCTCTGGCAATTAATCAGAGATGCAGTCAATGGGAAAAGTGAAAGTCTTACAATAATGACACTGTGGTTCTTTCTAGTTCATTTCCTGCATCACCCTCCGATCCAAAGTTTGTGTTTGAACTTCTACAGTTAAAAAAAAAAAGAAGTTCAATTTTCAAGTAATAAGCTGTGATAAAAACTTGAACAAACTTCAAGCACCAGTGGCCCCCTGTTCAGGAGAAAATCTCTACTCCAGGCAGCGGCGCTCCAAATGGAGCCTGTCTTTCAGCTGATAATAGAAAAGTTAGCAAGCCAGAATAATCTGAGCACACAAAACCTGGGATCTCCACCAAGTACCCCAAAAAATACAGTTTTTTTCCACAGCTCTATCTTGTAGTTACTGAAATAGCTTTTTTATTTTCATTTTTTAAAGTGAACAGCACTCTCTCAGCTTCTCCATATGTTTCTTCTTGATGCCAGAAAGACTCGGTGAAGTGAGCTAAACAGGAACACAGCCTGCAAAGACTTTTTCACACACAGTCAAATGAAATATCCGAATGCTGCACCGGTGCCGTTCGCTGCCGTGGTTACATTTCAGAGATAAAAACCCTGCTACCGCTTAATCGTCGAACTTTGAAAAACGGACAATATTTGACACAGTCTCAGCTGAGGAAGGTGGATTTCTGCTGGTTTTTCTGCAGCTCTTAATAAAAGTGATTCCATCAGAAGAGAAATCAGCTAAAAATTATTTTAGTAATCGGTTAATCAATTTTTTCTGACGATTAATCAGTTAATCAGACTTTTAAAAATGGCACATTCTGCAGATTTTTTATTTAACCACTTAATCCTTTTTTATATATATTGAAAGATGCATTAAAATTGCATCTTTTAATGCAATTCTTTTGCACTAAAAGATGCAAAAAAATTGGACTTAAATTCCTTTTTAATTAAGAAAATAACGACTTTTTGCCTAAGATGAAGCTAAAACTAAAGCATTTGAGGGGTTCTGACCAAAACATATTTACGCACAATATTTTAAATGCAAATTGTATTATTATTGCGTTGGGATTTTTTCCACCAGATGGCCTTCTTTTGTGTACTCCAGCTAACGATTGATTGATTACTAAATTAGCTGCCGATTAATCCGATCAATCGTGAACATTTTACTCACGGAGCCCTCTGAACACGTCTCCCTCTGCGTCTGCAAGTGTTTTGCCCTGCTCCAAGGTGATTAGCTTTGCCAGTTCTTTCTGAAGCATTGGAAAAAAAACACGCGAAGGTCAGCTCAGCAGACGAGATGACCGTCTGAGAAGGCGGCCAATTTCCCTACAATGTTGTCCTTGATGAGCTGCTGGTAGCGCAGGAAGATCTGCTGCCTGCTGAGGACGGACGTCTCGGACCAGGAGCGGAAAGCTCTGGAGCAGGAATCCACGGCGGCCAGCATCTCTGCCTGAGTGGCTTTGGGAACGCGTCCCACCACTTCGTTAGTGGCCTGAGGGGAAGGAGAAAAAGAAGTGATTGCTTGGCATGAAATGCAGGACATTATTCCATTAATATTAACAATAGATTAGGCTGTTTTTTTTTCTCCTATCATTTACAGCTTTTGTGTTTTTTTTATGTGATGAGATGGATCTGTTCCAAGGCAGCAATCAGACACAGCATAGCTAGCGGCTAATGCTTGACAAGCTACAAACTTTTTTTTCCTCTTGCTTAACAAATCAGGCAACAACACAAAGGCAACTGAAGAGACCAATTTATTCACATGTTGCGTCTTACGAAATCCCTTGAGCCTTTTCACATTTTGAGAATCACTGCAAAAGAAAAGAAACCTTACCACATACTTTTGGTTTGGTTTTTAGAGTATATTTGAAAGAGGACAAACCTAACGGACAAGTAACTTTCTAAGCTAGATTCAGGAGCTTGTTTTAAGTCAAGAGTTCCTTAATGATGGTGAAAAGTAGTGTCACAGGCAGATTAGCTCATTTATAAATGTCTTGTTATGCAGGGCTTCTGCAGCTTTCACCAACTCAGATTTAAGACCCGCATCTCCACAGAAATGCACAAACTTCGTCCAGCTAACTGGATTTGCACGTCATAGAAGCTAAACTAAGCTAGCTAGCAAATGTCAGCAAGTTGAGTAGCCTCAACTGTCCAAAGTCACACACAGTGTGGAAAACTAAGTGCATCTCAAACCTTTGCCTGACATTAGAGTACCAATTAAATAGTCCTGTCAAGACTCAAGGTTAATTTAAGTTGTTTTAAGGCCTTAATTTTAGCTATATGAGTTTTAAGATTTTTTTAAGGATACATGGACACCCTGTTATAAGTAAAACTAATAAATTTTTTGTCAATATCAGAAAATTGCTTACTTAAAACTAGCGCCTACATTTTGCTGAAAAGTTATTTGTTCGATAGCCTTTCACTCCATTTTGAGAGGCGGAGAGGAGATTCTACATGGTTTATTTTATACAAGTAATAGTCAATCATTTGTAACTCGTCTATGCAGAAGTAGTAGCTTTTGGAGTTTGTCCAGCTTTAAACAACAGAAAACTTGAGCTCATTCCAAAACGGATCAAAACTCAGGCCCAGACTTCACTCCTCGACCCAAACCTCTGTGCCTGTTACTCTGCCTCGTTCTCAAGTCTTTTTCCTCATCCGACAGGTTTTCTTGCCACATTTCAATTGACATCTTCATAGCCTGTTATTGCCCTGCTGCCGTGTCTCCAGAGCTGGATGAACACTCACAGGGTTGTGGATGTCCAGCCACTCGGACGAGCTGGACTCAACGAACTTGCCATTGATGAAGAGTTTGGTCGTCGGCTGGAAGATAAAAGCAGCGTACAATTAATGCCCCTTTCCTGCATGATTAGATTCTTAATAACTCCGCTGACAACATCCATCAATCACTGCAAAGTGAGTCGAGGGTGTAATGTCTCCTTGAAGCGTTTCATAGTTGACTGGCTGCCACTAATTGAGCTGACCGCGATAATTTGGCTTAATAGTGTGTCTATTTACCTTCTATGTGTTCTATTAAAGAGTATAAAGGTGAACAAATCAAGGTTTTTTGTCACCGTCCTATTTTAAACGTACAACCTGGCGATGCAATCGTCTTCTGCAAATAATTCAGGAGGTTTAATTCAAAGCTTTAATTGAATTTGAAATGCTCCAAGCATGTTGCAAGGTTTGCTTCAATGCCATGTGATTTAGCTTTGCGCTTCTCGATGCCAATGAAACATAAAAGCACATCTGGAGGGATGGAAGAATTATGAATAAATAAACGTTAAAGACATAATTTATGCAATATTTTTAATTAGATCGAGTGCAATAAATAAATCATTTGTTTAGAAAAAAAGTTTTTTCCCCCCACACCCCCAGTATTTACAGCTCAGCTCCATAAATCCTAATTTCCAGCAATTATGCGAGTATAAAATGTGAAGGTGTTGATAAAGTCAAAGGCTGGCAGACTAGTTTTCAATAAATCCTTTTTTTTTTTTTTTTACAGCTTATTAGTTTCTAATCATGCATTAGAAATAAAAGCTTTGCTCTGCCTACAAAAAAAACAATCAAAGACCAACTGACTTTGATTTATTTGTGTTTCTGTGTGCATTTACTTGGTAACAATACATTTTGATTTTCAAACGCATTTCCAGACAATCACCTAAGATTGTTTCATAAAACGACAGAAAGCAAAAATAATCAGCACGCACAAAGCAATCACTCACATGAAACAAGTGAACTCCATTTGGATCGCTTCGCTGGGTTCTGTCAGCAGTGGACGACGCCGCGTCATTTCACTTCTGAAGACGAAGAACTTTCCCTGAACGGAGTCAACATGGCCGCAGATCGAACACGACTCGGAAACGCCTCCGATTAGGAGTTCGGGATATTTCACAAAAAAAGAATCTTGTGAAGGCGACGTTGTTGCTAAATGTTGCCATACATCGGTCGTGACAAATCCACTCCTTCTTGACTTTTCCCTAAACTTGAGCCGTTTTAAACCCTCTCTATGTATGACCTTTAGCGACAAGTCATCCGAGTCAAGAAAATTAACTGCTGACATTAAACACTTACTGCTCTCCAAACAATCCTTGTAAAATCCCATATTAGTGTTGCACATAATGGACAATAAATCGGTGATGTATTATTTAGCTCTGTCTCACAACCTCACCATGAACTCCCTGAACTGTTGCCATCAAGAAAAAGAAGAAGAAGAAGAAAAAAACATACCATAGCATCAAAAGCAGAACCGTAAGACTGCAACACAGCTTTACGCCTCAAGCTGATAAACCGCTGTGATATTATTACCCTTACTTTGATCGTTGCCGTTTAGATTTTGTATTTCATCTCCTCAGAGTTTTTCTTTTTTCTGAATAATATTTGAAGACCCCAGGGAAACTGTCTTGCTCAGTTGTACACCATTAAGTAAACAAGAACATGAGAGTAAACTGATTTGATTTGATGAAGCATTTGACTCAAGATGCGTCTTTGCTGCATTGATTGTTTGATGCTGCGTATCAGATATTTATAGCGCTGCTTTCCTATTATGGAGTAGTCTGTCACAAGGTAGCCAGGGCAATAAAAAGGTATCTGCCAGCATCTGTTCAGTTGGCTTATTGGTCATACTTAAATGTTCCACATCATGAAACGAATATCGATATTAGATCAACTTGGTCATAATCTGAAAGGTCTCTGACCTTTGGAATAAAAAACATCACTCACGGGCCTCGTCTGACAACATGTAGTTGGTCAAAAGATGTTAAATAGCAACTCATCGGGTTCCCGATCTAAATAAATACAGGCCCACACGAGAGATAAAGTCACAGACATTCATCTGTTCAGGAAAGGTTACAAATCCATTCCTAATGCTTTGTGACTGCAGAGAGCCGCCACGATGCAGAAATAAAGAACAGACGGAACAGTGGAGCAGGCGGCCTACCGCTAATAGTCAAAGAGCGCATCAATAAATGATTAAGTGTCGCCAAAAACTCAGAGCAATCTCTGCAGATTTGTCAAAAACTGCATTCCAGGGAAAGTTACAAGACCAAACCCTCAACTGACCAAAAATGACACAAAGACACAGAAAACATCTGGCTGATCTCAGAGGCTGATGGGAAAATTCTGCATATCGACAAGACAATAATAACACTCAACAACTAATAATGTTAGTTGTTGAGTGAAACTGCAGGAAGCATTTATACCAACAGCCATGCATGTTAGTGAAAGAGCAGAAAGAAAACAAAGGTTCTGAGGTGGCCTAGTCAAAGTTGGAATGCATGTCATGTTGAGATGCAACAAAATTATGAAATCTGCTAACGTGGCTGAATTAATACAATTCTGCAAAGAAGAACGGGTCAAATTTCCTTCGCAGAGAGCAATGTCAGGTCTCACACAAACCTGATAGAAATCTTTGCTGCCATGGGGAGCAAAAATGGTTCTTTCTTAGGTTAACGAGGCACATGAGCTGATCTGGAGAAATTTCATCCATGAATGAAATGATTAAATGATTGGGAAAACTGCATTTTTGAACTTATCTGGATTATCTCTCTCATAAATATGTTCATAAAGTGACATAAAGGAATCTAGTTTCTCTGCTCTGTAAACACACTTCGAAATGAACAAGAACTGAAAGAGAAAACAAATGAAGTCGTTATAGTAACAGCTGAGTGTCAGTGTCAGAGCTCACCACTGAGGAAGAGGAGTAGCACATGCGACCAAGCTGCAGAGGAGCCTGCAGGAAAAACAACACACATTAACCAACTTTAACCTCATTTATACCCCACAAACAACCGAAACGATAATCAATAGACTCTTATGAACAAATCACAGGTCTGTAATTATTATACACGTGTAGCTAAATAACACCTAACTAGCTAAAACTAGGACGAACTACTTGCAGAAAAAGAGGAGTGAAGGTGTAAGGAGCATGACTTTGTTAGCTAAACAGCTTCTTAGCCTCGACAGGTAAAAACGTGCATTAAAAAGCCAACTTTTGTAATTAACGCGAGCTTCACCTTGTTGTTTAACAGTGGCCGGAGGACAAGCGCTGCCATTGTGTTGAGGTCAGGTGTCTATTTTTCCTATAGCCGACCCAAAGTGAGAAGGAAACTTGAGCTCCAGCGCTTTCCAGAGGACAGGGCAGCGGACCTGAAATTTCACCGATCTACAATACATTTTCCACGCGTTATAGCTAAAAAGGAGTGCCGCAGATGATTCGTTGATCTGTGAAAACCAGGCTTTGCGCCCATTCGCTGCTTTCTCTAATATGGGTGGGACATAAAATCGCTGGCAACCAATCACTCTACGACTTTCAAAGCCGTAAATTCAGAAGGCGCTGATTGGGTGTGGAGCCAAACAAGCTGAAGTTTGTTGATCTGCATTTCTCTGGAATTAGGATTTACGTTTTAGTTTTACTGAGCTGAAATATGAGCTAGATCAGATTTCTTAAAGTCTACGAATCCGATGTTTTTGTCAGATATATCAATATTTGCCGTTGCCGCCGCAAATACTGCCCCGACGTTCACGTGTCCAACCGTTTCCATAGCAACGCCTTCAGAGGAGACATGGAGTTCCTGAAGTGGGACACTGAAGATGTCGCAAAGTGGGTTGAGTCCATAGGCTTTTCGAAATACAAGGTAGGTGACACCAAACAACCTCACTCTAGAGTGATACTGAGGACATCAACTCACTTTCTAATGGACTGACGTCATCACGTCTCTAAACTCTGTTATTTCTGTCGCAGGCTTGTTTCACCGAGAACTTCATCACCGGAAGGAAGCTCATTCATGTCAACTGTAACAACCTGCCAAAACTTGGAGTCACGGATTTCAGAGACATTCTGGTACCGGGAACAGGCAGAAAAACATGCAACATTCGTGTCATGATGAAAGCACGTTTATGTGATAGCAACACTGTCCCCTCAGATGCATCTCATCTTGACTCAATATAATATTAATGATGGCACTGCTAAGTGCACTTTATTAGTCAATGCCGAAACATCAGCGCCGTCCCATATCGTTTAGTCTAATCTCAACAAACAATTACAAGTCTCCTCTGAGTGCACTGGCAGCCATTTTCAGGTGTCTTGGTGTCGGCTTGGCACTGTCACACATCCAGCTTGACTCTGTTTCTTTGCATATGTGGCATCCAATTAAAGCTGTGTGCTGTAACCACTTTTTTTTCTTTTTTTTTTTTAGTGCCGACACACTCAACTCTGCTAAGGACTTCCCAGCATATGCTTTCACGATTTATAGCCGTTTAAAACGTACGGTTTCTTGCATAGATATCAATATCTCCGCAATTTGTTTCACATTTTTTTCGCATCAGAATCTTAAACTTTATATTGAGATTTTTATGTGGTGGGTGAAGTGGTGCAGAACTGCGAAGTCGAAAGAAAATATTCCATGTTTTCAAAGTGTGACCTGCAGCTTCATTAAGCCGACATGAGTCAACGCTTTTAAGGTTGTCATTTGTGATGCGACTAAATGTGGAGAAGTCCAAAAGAATGCTTTTGTGCATTGCCTAAGGATTCACTTGCATAAGTCCATGTGCTAAACTGACAGAAAATGTTTCTTTTGCCAGTCTTTACTCGTACACAAGTGGTTATGACGTCTCTCGTCCCTCCATTCCCTCTGTGGGGGGAGCTGCTTTATTAAATAGATTTGAACTGTATAAAGCTTGCGTCTTCAAACGCCTCATCCCTGCTGTGCGTCCTGCAGGTCATCTGCGCTCACGTACGCGTGCTGCTGGGGATCACAGAGCCCCCGTGGAACAACAGCATCGCTGACCCCCGGCGGGACACCGTGGCCCTGTTCTTGGAAGTAAAGAGCCGCACGGGACGATGGACCAACTCCCTCACCTACCAGCAGTTCCTGTACTACTTGGAAGATCCGGACGGCGCGAACATGGAAGACGAGAAAGAGGAGTGGGAAGAGGAGGAGGAGGAAAAGGAAGAGGAGAAGGAGGACGAGGATGAGAAGAAGGACGAGGATGAGGAGAAAAAGGACGAGGATGAGGAGAAGGAGGACGAGGATGAGGAGCAGGAGGAGCAGGAGGAGGACAAGAACGACAAGAACAAGGACAACGAGAACGACAAGAATAAAGACGACAAGAACGACGAGAACAAAGACAACCAGAATGAGAACAACGAAAACCAACAGTAAAGAGCAAAAAATATATATATATAAATACTTATGAACAAAAGCATGTCTGTGTCATTTCATATCAGTGTCTCATCTGATGACACAGATGAGACACTTACAGTAGGTCAGAGACGGGCCCTGGCATTAACACTTCCCAGCAGCAAAATGCCATGCACTGTTGTCAGTGTGGCCGATAAACAAAGAGAGAATCCCTTCAAGTGTGCTTTCTGCTGGCCGCCTGCATGGGTTTAAAATCGCTTCAAACAGGAACGAGCCGCTGGAAATTTCAGCGACTAGTGGGTGATCTCACAAAACGAGAGAAACAACAGAGGCTGATTGCATTTTGCCCCTCACCCAGACACATCCATCAGATTTTGCGAATGTGAAACAGCACATATCAGCTGATCAAAGGGGCTCCTGCCAGGAGAAATCCCCGAACCACCTGTAGTTCTCATTGATCTTGGGCGCATGTCATAGAACTGGATTAGTTCATTGAATCCTAGCGATCCTTGGTGTAATTTTCAGGACGACGCCAATAAACGGCTGTTTCAAGAGGAAGCGCCGTCAGTGGCGACCCAATCCTTGTCCTCAGAAAAAAACACTCTTGTAAAAGTATTGAGACCCATTAAAGGTTCCGCACATTTTTGTCAGACTGACTTTGGTGTATTATGTGGGAGTTTCATGGGATCAAGCTCAAAGTGGAAAGAAAATGACACATGGTTTTCAAAATCACCTACAGATATTTTACCATCAGATTATCTTTTAATCTGATACCCCTAAATTAAATCTATTTCATTCTAAATTTGCCTAATTACTACAACATGTCTGTAAAAAAAAAAAAAAACACTAAAATTTCACCCTTTCAGGTCACATTTCCTCTATAGTTTGTACAAGGGTTACAAGGGCTGTAGCCCAGGGCGCCAACTTTGGGGGTGGCCCAAAAGATCTTTCTTTATCTTTAATGAATGCATGTATTTTGAAAATATTTTTGCCTGATTTAACACTAATAGGCCCGTATCAGGTAAGGTCTGTTAATATTTTGTATTTTTTATGAACGTAAACAGTACTGAAATATTTGAAAAATATGAATTTATGCTTCATTTTTATGTAATCTCGGCCTGGACCACATTGGGGAGCTATGTATTATGTGGACGTCTTCGGCTGCGGCACTCTTTATCAACAAGCAGAAAATGACACTGGCAAGGTGGGTTCATAACATTTGACCCAGCAAATTATTGCTTGGTGATATTTATGCTGTTGCATTGCAATTTTTAAATTTTTTTTAGTTTTTTCACATTTTAACTTTGAGTCGCAGCTTCGCATTGTTAAAACGAAGGATTTTTGTCGCTTCATCTGCACAAATCGTGCTGGGAAACCATTAGCCATGCAAGTCCAAAGGTCTGGTCTTTGACCTGCATGGCCATTGTTGGACGCAGCGATTTTTAGAGACATGAAGAAGATGAATGAAGCTTTCTGGAAGAAAACCCACACTAACCCTTTAACTGGTATTTCTGATCTAAGCACATTCAAGAGATGAGAGACCCTTCAGAATCTTAATCTGAGCAAATCGCAAAGGCAAATGGAAAGAAATGTTGGTTGATGAGCAAAGGTGGACACGTTTCCAAAAGGGGGAGAACCCTTCAAGACAGCTACCTAACTGTCAACTTATGCACTTATGGCTCATACTTTGCCAACTTGCACAAAAGGCCAACGGGGTGGGAGCATCAGATAATGATGGATTCGGTGCCAAGTAGAGCCTGAGGGACCCAGGGCCTCTGTGTTTTAGCCAACTCAACACTTTCTTGCCCAAAAAGATCTATTGAACATCAGGGGACTGCTCAGCTATTTTTGGTTTGGTCCGCGAAAAAAAAGAAGGAAAAACGCAGGAAAAGAGTTCATGCAAAAGAAAGTGATGGATTTTCAATGCAGCTCCACTCATGTTTCATTTCATGAACGTGTGAATCTGATCGACAACCAGCTCTGTTTTTATAAGAGCTCATATCCGTTTCTTTCTTTCTTTCTTTCTTTCTTTCTTTCTTTCTTTCTTTCTTTCTTTCTTTCTTTCTTTCTTTCTTTCTTTCTTTCTTTCTTTCTTTCTTTCTTTCTTTCTTTCCTATTTATTTCTTTTTTTTCGTGCAGCAGTAGTTCGGTCCACATGAATAAATTATGATGCCTGCCTGTGAGGACGGGCTGCGAGCTTCTACCGCTGCTGCTGCATCTGCTGCTGCTGCTGCGCACAAACGGTCTCTGTGCGGCTCGGAGCGCACGGATTACCATTCCGGGCACAACGCTGCCGCCGCTGCTGCTGCTGCTGGTCAAGAAACGGAGCCGGGTCGGTGGCAGACAGCGGTCCGGGGGGCAAAGCGGGGGGGACCAACGCCGCCTGCGACGGCAGAGAGCAGAGAGCTCTCTGTCAGTCTGGATTAAAGTCGCTCCTGACTGAGCCGCTCGCGTCGCGCGGACTGGGGAGGGAAAAAAAAGACAACAACAAAAAAACAAAAAGCCTGCGAAAGCGAGACGAACATCTGGTCGGACTGAGCGCAACACCAGCCACCCTGCGCCGTGTTTTAGAGCCGAAAAAAAAAGGCGTTTCTCCTCCTCTGGATGCGCAGTGGAGGCGATCCACACCGGGACCCCTCACGCAGTTTGCGCCCCCACCCTCCACCCTTCACCCTCTTCCCCCCCAGCAGCCCCCCTCTTTCTAAAAATGAAGACATTTTTTTCCCTTTTTTTCCCTGTGAGCGTTATCTAATGCGAGAGGATCGCTCGGAAGGAGGAATTGCCCTTTATCCGCCGGGTATGGATTCCTTGAAGGGCATCGCTCGCTCCGCAGGCCGCCGCACATTATAGGAGCCGAGGCGCGTGCTGCGGGATAGCTGCCCGGAATAATCTCCGAGAGGCGCCGTCGGTCCCATTTTCAGGCGAGCCTCCCCCCCCCTACACACACCACAACCCCCCCGGTATGCCAGCACTGCTCCCGGGAGGAGATCAGACCGCAGCCAGCCTCCTCTGACCGGGCTTCACGTCTCATCTGGAAGGTAAAATTTGAAGATTTCACACCGCGGGTTTGAACTCTTTTCTCCTTCTTTTTTTTTTTTTTTTTTTTTTTTTTTGAGGAAGACTTGGAGTAGTTCTCATTTGAATGTGACAGGGATTCTCATGACAGCACACTTATACCGCAAGGTCAAAAAATCAAAAAACAAAACCCCTCTCTGTTCCCCGAGGCGTGCCGTCAGATGTAATGGTTTTATTAATAGTATCCTCTTGGATGCATTTTTTTTCTCCTACAGGTGAAACTGAGAACGGTGCCTCGCTATTCGGTCTTTTGCTAAATTAATTAAATAAATAAATAATAAAAAGGATTTGTTTGATGGTGTCCTGAGAGCCCATACTGTGATGCAGCCTGTCTTTTGTGATTATAGCTGATATGCAAATTGCACTCCGTCACCAGCACGGGATGAAGTCCCAATTAGTCCAAATAGCAAAACTGATGAGTCTGAGAAGAGGGGCATGTTGCCAGGTGACTGGAGCATCAGTGGCACAAAAAGGATGAAGAGGAAGGAGACAAAAAAAAGACAAGACAAACAACAGATATGATTGTTATAGACAGATAAGGGTCTTGCCCCCTCTGTGGAGTGTTGGTTATCCGTCTCCTATTATTCATGAGAGCCCGAGGCCCCCCATTGCAACTGCTGCCCCAGTGAAAGCGAGCCCACGCCTCATTTTGATGCCAGTGTTTGCTCTCGCTGCTCTGTGAATGTGCTCAGTGTTTGCTGTTTGCAGTGGCCGGGGATGTGACCGGTGGCCCCTCGGCCACACCGGCCTCTCGCGTTCACTGAGCCGAATCGCTTCCAAAACGGGCCGAAGAAGGGCTTCCTTTAAAGGGAAACCCGGTGCCGACGTCTGTGTGGGACCACTTCATCTCCCTTCAGATACGATTTGTCACATTTTGGGTCTTTTGTGGTCGGGTGTTGTGCTTTTTTCCTGTTGCAAGTTGTCATTTATCTGAGATGACATAAACTCCTGAAGACTAGCTTCCGAGCCGATGCCTGTGCTGTGACATCACAGAAGGTATTTGCGATTTTCTGTTGTTCTCCTTTCAAATTAAGTTCCTCTTTCGGAGATCTGTGACTCGCATGAACAAAACGTGGATTTTGTGAAGAATTGGCAAAAATGAAACAAAACAAGACATGGGAGCGGTTTATGAAAACTACAGTGTCATTATCGAAGATCTACTACAATCACCCTTAAAATATGTAAACCCGTTAAGACTAGTCCTTGGAAATAAAAAATAATATTTATTAAGAATATTTTCTGCAGGATCTGTGTGATCTACGTTCGGTCGATATGAACATTTTTATGTGCCCCATCCAGCCAGTTAGCCCCTAGCTCCATTCACCTGCAGTCCAACTCATCCCATCATCATCACTTTAACAAACACGACAGAGAAGAAATGCATGAATAATCCCATCATGGTTAGTTGGAACAAAGAACATTTGGAGCAGTTTACACCGCAAGTTGTTGTTTTTCACTGGAAAATCAAAGAAAAGTGTCACAGTCAGAATATGGCATGTTACGAGTGGTGAACATGCACAGAAACCAATTAGAATCAACAAGAATATAAACAGTTACGCTAAATGTCGTCGTCTCTCATTTGCTCCGCCGCCAGTCTGTGGTGGCTTGTGGGTCACCGGGGGTCAAACGGCGAGTTGGACGTGTAAAACTCGACCCCGTCGTAGCCGAACGCTGCAGGATCACGGCGTCACAATCTGTCAGAAGTTGCTCACTCAACAGCAGCTGATCAGCTCGGCCCTCGTGCCTCTTGTGAAGTCGTTAACCCACATAAACACAAAGTGCAGTTTGCTGTTTTTGTCTTTATTGCGCTCTATTCTTTGTGAAATCCTGTAGTGGAAATCCATACTTCATTAACCAGGCCAGCTGTGTTTTTTTTTGTGTTGCTGTTTCTGTTCTGTACTTAGAGAAAACACACACACATGCACACACCACTGGATGTTACATTTAAAGACTTTCACTGGATATGAATGTATTTGCTCCCCCATGTGTGTGTGTGCATTATATGATATGTTTACAGCCTACTATTATTATTACTAAGTTGTTTTGTTGCTGTGTGAGGCAGAAACAACAGTACCCCAAAGATCTTTGGCATAGAGAAAAATAAACAGTTGGTGCAAAGATGGTTTCTGTTTGGCCTTTGTCTTCTCACATATCAACGAAATCATAGAAAATCCTACGTGTAATACAGCATAGCATATTATCCATATTCTCTCATCTACATTCCAATAGAACTACGTTTAGCTTGTCACCAATATGCTAACTGGCTGCAGTCATTTTGTGCATTCTTTTAAATTGACTTCAGTCATCTATATGATAATCAGCTGGGTGAACTTTATGGAAACATCATATTTCCATCACTGTTTTCGCTTAATTTTCCAGAAACCTGCTCCCTTGTCTTTTGCTACGGTTTAATGGCACCGACTGTTTATCTGGAGGCATTCGACTTCAAATATCAATCTGACTGCATTCCGATGGGCATCCACTGACATTTACTCCACAGTGACGTTATGGCTTCATCTGGGGGTTTGAGGCAAATGAAAAGGAAAAACGTAATAACTTAGAACCAATTTGTCAGATTAGTCCCCAGTGAGTTAGGGATGGATTTCAAATTGGGAGACCCAAATGCGTCCATGTTGAAAAACTAGCCGAGCAGAAGGTTGCTTTTTATTCTGCTGGGAAAGACTCTGGTATTCTTCATTGGAAATATTCTTTCCTGCTAATTGTGTGAAGTTTCTCTCATGTTAAGCTGGCAAGTCTTCCAGCTGCCAACTAAAATACATCATCCTTTTGCTTACATCGCACACGGATAGCGCTGACCGTTTTCCTTTGAGACATTCGACTACAAATGCGAACCTGACTGCATTGAGTTGGGCAACTACTGCACGGCGAACACTACGGCCTCATTTGGGGGCTTTAATGAAAAACAAGAGCCCAATAACTTAGAAGCAATTTGTCAGATTAGTCTCCGATGGGCTTGGCATTGGTCTCAAAATGAAAGACGAAGACAGGACCCTGGTGGATTTAGACAAATATGAGAAGGGAAGCACACAAAACAGCAAAGTCCAATAATTCCCAGGCATTTCTCAATTCAAGGATATGAATATAGTTCTGCTTTTATTAACATATATAATCAAATTTTGATCTGTGTGTGAAAATGCTTGATTATGGCGGCTGGCTATCAACAATAGATTTGTAAGAAGCTGACTTAGGTCAGCAGCACTGTATGTTTCTGTACTCATTTTTGTCATTGGAAAGGTGCCCCAGACCACTAGATGAAGCCAATTCATATCCAATAATAAAACAAATACACCCTTTGTGCCTGTTCTCCGTCTTATTCAGGAGGCCAACAAAGGCTCGCGACCGCCATTCATTCCCACTTAACCATTAGATTCCATTCATTCTTCATTGTCACGACTCAGTGTTGCAGTGTTAATAAGAACTTTCATCACTTTTCTAACTTCCCGTTACAGAAGGCTGTGCTGCAGCAACAGCATTTTCTATGCAAACAAGAGGAAATGGAGATTCAGTTTCAGATGTCTTCTTTGTCTGTGTTTTCTAAAACACGACAGCTGAGCTTTGTTAGTACCTTCACTAATGAAAAAAAATTAAAATATATATACTGCTGCTAACAGATATATTACGCGCCACAAAGAAGGCTGCAGCCTAAGCAACTGTGCAGGTCCTGCAGCAATGAGATCCAAACAATATGAGGCAGCTTACATTTTGGTCAAAAGACCAATCCCACACGAAGCATCATTTTATTGCTTTTTAGAAAATCCACATAGAAATGAACTACAAAGTCTGCAGTTGCCAAAACCACAGGTGAAACTGATAGTGGTTGAAAATGCAATAACAACACTTAACATGATTTATCTGATTTACAGCTATAGCTGGCAAGAAAAAGGGACGCTCACTAATTATCATATCTCTGAGATTAGGCGAGCAGTTGAATCTGATTCTCAGGGATTCTCTCCATTTGTCAGCCTTGAAGCAAATTCCAGGTTCCATCAGGATCTGTTGCAATGGAGCCAAATCCCATTTGTAATTCACATTAAGATCCAAACGCGATCCGCACACCCCACCCTCCCCCGCCCAACCAGCTTGGCTTACACATAAAATGAAGAACAAGAGAAGAGTTTTGACCTACTCTCCAACTGGGAAATATCCCGCAGATCGAGTTAACACGGAATATCTTGTGATGCCGCGTGGAGTAAAACACTGGGAATTACAAGGAGGAAATGTAGATTCTAATGAACAGCACTTCTATTGATGCAGTGGGCTCTGCTTAGTATGCTATCCCCCTGGCACACGCAAATGCCCACGCACACACACATTCACACACACACACGCAAGCCTTTCTCACCGGGAAAAATTATTTAAACTGCATCAGGATTCCCATCAAGACATCTAGGTTTTCTTTTTTTTTTTTATTATTATGTGTAAGACTGGGAAAATCAATTGAGACGTCAAACCCAATACAGAATTAGCTGAGTTTGCAGTCTTCTCCTGTCATAAATGGTGCAGTGGGTCTCCGTCACGGCCTTCAACCGTAACCTTTGCTGTAGATCATGTCAGGACTGCTAGGAAGAAAAAAAGAAGAAAAAAAAAATCAGCTGCTGATTACTTTGCGCCCAAATCCGACGTTTTCTGTGTTGCCATGACATCCAGGCTGTCACCCAGGAGTTATCCCTCTCTAACATTGGCAGACTTATTGCTGATAAACAGGCGTCACAGCACATGCACACATTTACACTAAAAAGTGTATGTATGTATGGTGGAAGGTCCACAACAACATCGGCGTGCGGTCAGAATTTCTCCCAGCTCAGTGAAAATACGATCCTCTACTCGGGGATCCATTTGGCCTCTCAAAGCAGAGTCGTGTCACTGCTGCGTCGATGCCGTTCTGCCATCACGTTGCAGCAGCGTCGGTCTACCTCCTTGACGTTCGCAACACTTCCTTGAG